AACATAATGTCTTGAGGCATATCCAGCCTCTTTGCAGCTTTTCTTCCCAACTCTCTCCTGACTTTCTGGGGCAATACAACCCCCCACCCTGATACTTTCTGTGGCTTTGATTTTTAGGTTATTACTTCTGCCAGACCTGAGGAGCAGCCTTGTAGGATTTGTCCTGGGTTATTTCCACTGTACGACATTTGGTTTCGCAATTGTTTCGCTTGAGAGTAGAAAAATTGGCCTTTGGGGTTTGTTTAATAGAAAACTGTCCCGAGTCTTTGTCTTTTTTTGCAAAATAATCTGTGGGAGGGAAGCAGGGAGGCCAGTCTCTGGCATTCGTGGCCACTTGCACAACCACTGCCAGCAGAGACTTTTCATCAAGAACTCCTGTTTTCCTGGGCTGGGTCTCTGTTACATTTTGGTTACTGAAAGGATCTGAAGGTTCTTTCCCCCTGCTCTCGTTGCAGGAAGGGACAAGAGACCCCGAGGGGTTGGGGGGAGCAGGGGGACAAACCCAGTGCAAAGCACGGTGTCCTCCCCCCCCTTTGCCTCCATCCAGCTCACCAAACCACACCTCAGTCCTCACCTCTCTGCTGGCCCCCAGTGGAGATGACAACTGTGCCAAATTTTATGGTTTTATGATACAGAAAAAACTGTTTACTGAAAATAGGTTGCAACTTGTGGCTTAAAATGCATTTGATTGCAGGGGTGCCGGGGTGGGAAAGCCCCACCTGGGCACCGTCCTGATCCATCGCCCCATTTTAAGTGTACTTCAGGTATTTTTAAGCATCCTTATTTTGTAAACCTTTAATTTATAATCTGAACAGATTAAGCAAGACTTTGGCCCTTTACAGTGCTATTGTCTCAAAGCTGAGAGGGGCAAGGATGGGAAGAAGGGAATAACAAGGCAGGTTTGAGAGGGGCTTGTTCGTGTCTGAGGGGTTCAGCTCGACCTCGAGTCAAGAGTTTGTTCTTCCATTTGTTTGAAGGATCTTTGCTTTTTGGGCTTGTAATTGCTTTGCCAGCTCCTTGAATGTAGTTTTTTTTTTAATATTTATTTGCACATTCAAGTAAAATAAAATAATGATTTTAAAAGTCCGCGGCTCTCACTGCTTTCAGTTTTCTTTCCTGTTAATTTAAACTTTCTGACAGGGCCCAGAATTGATTGACTTGTACCTGAAAATGGATTTTAAATGGTAGACAAGATGCAGTTGAAAAGGTGGTTGAGCTTCTCTTGCAGCAGTTCCTGGGCAGAGGGCAGGATGTGCTGATGTGTCTTTGTTTCCAGCCGGTGCTCAGTGAGGGTGTGAGCAGAGCACTTGCTAAGGAGAAAGGGAAATAATTTTCCTGCAAGTCACCTCCAGTGGAGATCCCAAACAGGATCCCACATCTGTGCTGCCAAAATCTCTCTTGGAACCAAGGCCCACGACTGGAGGGGACTGGGGAGTCCAGGGGGTTGGGATGGATCTCAGGGAAAGGTTCTTCCCCCAGAGGGTGGTGGGCACTGCCCAGGCTCCCCAGGGCAGTGGGCACGGCCCCAAGGCTGCCAGAGCTCCAGGAGCGTTTGGACAACGCTCTGAGGGACAGGGGGGGATTGTTGGGGTGTCCTGGGCAGGACCAGGGGTTGGACTGGATGATCCTTGTGGGTCCCTTCCCGCTCAGGTTATTTGTGTCCTGCCAGACAGCAGCATCTTGCAGCTGCCTTTACTTCCAGCAGCACCTTGGCCACAGAGCTGAGGCACAAACCCAGCCTAGGGCTGGCCCCGAGGAACTCACACACTCAACACAACCAACCCTCAGGAAAAAAGTGCCTGCTCCCAGTTCTGACATCCATCACAACATCTGCTACAGGTTAAGGCAACAGCGCTGCAACCATGAAAACAACCCTCTACCCTCCTTTCCCCTCAACCTCCCCGGATTCCTGGCTAATAACACGTTGAGCTGTGTTCCCTGTGAGCTCTGCACAACAAATGAACGAGCAGATCTGTGCAGATTAAGCCGTAGTGATGTGACCCAGAGCCGATAGGAGTTTCCTTTACATCACCCCCAACACTTCCCGTTGCCATAACAAAGGGCAGCTCTGCTCTCTGGGCAGCCTCCCAGGGAAACAAACTGTTGTTCTCCCAGTAACAGCCCCTCTGATGCAGGAATTGCACGGAATAACCTGATTAAAGGGGTGGTGGGGAGGTCTCAGAGGACACAGCCCACTTTCCACAAGTGTTCTCACCGAGATCTCGGCCCTCTCACGGAGAGGACATTCCCTGTGCTCGAGGGGAGGGGTGGCCAGATGTGACATCATCACCCAAGAGCAGTTGGAGGGCTCAGCCAGGGCAGATTTGGCAGTGACAAACAGCTTAAAAATAGGGTTGCAGGATGGGATAAGAATAAATGGGTTTTGCAATTGAATTCGGAATTGCTGAAGGGAGCACCTGAGTTCAATATTGAATATTTCAGGACTTTTTTAACATTTCCATATCAGTGATCCACAAGAGGGTCAGGGCTGGGAATCAGTGGGAGGGTCTAGAACTGTGTGTGCAAGCATGGATTGAGTTTTTCCTCGTGCTTTGGCCATTCCTCTGGATTAGAACTAACTCAACCTTAATGAAACTAAGAGTATGCCCTACCAATTTACAGACCAAATTAAAGTCTAGCAATTCTAAAACCAGACCTGTGCTAAGGAATGAATCCAGAGAGACTCATCTGAGACCTGGTGTTGACAAGGGATGATGATGGTGGGTGTGTCAGCTCCGACCCCAGTGTCATGATCTTGCTGAGAAAGGACCAAAAGGAGCGATTCCAGAACATCCAGTGGGTTGCACTGATGTCAATAAGCTTCAAACAATCCTGGAAAAATGTCTTCACTGTGAAGTGAAAACTGTGAGCAAGCAGAACAATAGTTCTGAAATAACTCAAGTCATTTCCCTACCACAGTTTGCTCTTCCAAGCCCTAAAGACAAATGGGACAGGCCAGGTGGTGTTCTTACCCTCCCTCTGAGCTTTCAACTCCCCAGCCTGTGTTCCAGCATTACATCTTTTGGGTTCAGAGCCACGGAATAAAAAAAGAGCCAGCTCCCAGGAGATGATCTATTGCACAATGAATTACTTGAAAACCGAATTATTACCCCACAGGGCAAGGATCACACGACTTAAAGAGATGTTAACAAGCCATGACAAACCTCTGGCGCTGGGAAGTTTCAAGCAAGCTGTTCTGCATCTGAGGCAGTCACTAAAGATCACACAGCATCTGAAAAATGAAGGAGCCAGCGATGAGTAACCTCTCTGTGCTCCACTCCAGAGACCTGCCCATAGGAAGCAGGGCTGTGATTTGCACACTATCTGAACCTGATTAGGGCTAATTTTTTGCGTGCAGAGCATGGAAAGGATCCCGGCTGAGGCACGGAAAATATGCGGCCACATGAGTCATTCTGTAATGGTTCGTAAATCCTGCGAGAGTCGCAAAAGCAAAACATCTACCATTGCATCTCCCCTCTCCCTGCCAGTGGAACTCCACCTCTCGGCACAAGGATGTGGGAATACGGGGAAAGCAAAGGAAATAGGATCATTTTCTCCTTGGAATAGAGGAATCTCATCAAACAGCAGCCCAGGCTCAGATTTGCAACCTTCAAAGAAGAGGCCATTCATAAGCTGAGGAGGAAGAAGCGAGCTGCTCCTCAGGTTGCCAAACCAAATTTACAGTTCCTACTGCTGGGCTCCAGCTCCTGTCCTTCCTCCCTTGCAGAGCCAGGCAAGGCCTGGAGAGCAAGAGCCTAAAAACCAGCACCCCTCCAACAATGACACACTGGCCCACTGGCCCATCCACTTGCTGGCCACAAGCAAAGGAGATGGGAGAGCATTTGGGAGCTTCCCAGTGCAGGGCAGAGCACAGAAGGGACTTCCTCCAGGGGTTGGAGATGGGGGGACCGGGCAGCAAAGGATCTTAAAGGCTCAGGTAACACCTGCCAGTGCCTCTTCCAGCATTATCTGAGTTGTCCTCTGGGTGCAACCAGTGCTGCTCCCAGCTCTGAACCCAGGGAGACAGCTCAGTCCTCCAGGGTGGGACTGCCCAGCTCTGGGAAAACAAGCTCTTCTGGGGCAAGAGTGACTGGAACTCACCATTATCTCCCCAGCTGCAGGGATTTCCTGAGCCCTTCTCAGGCCCCTTTCCTGCTGGATGGAGCTGCTCTCCCTGCCCAGGTTTATCAGGGGAAGCACAAGTGTCTCCCTCACTTTGCCACTTGCCCTTGGTGCTCCTGCTGGTTCTTCCCAGCACAAATAGCCCCGACCCAGAGGGCTTTTAATCATCCTCTGCAGTAAAATCGAGAAGGTGCAGGATCCTCATCCCCTGTTTAGCCACAGAACAGGAGCAGAAATGAAGGAGCAGATCTCTGAAGGGCCGAGCCTGGTGTGGAGGCTGCAAGGTTGACACCAAAAACATTCAGTTGCCAGAACACTAAAAAATTCAATTGCCAGAACACTAAAAAATTCAATTGCCAGAACACTAAAAAATTCAGTTGCCAGAACACTAAAAAATTCAGTTGCCAGAACACTAAAAAACTTCACTTGTCAGAACAAGAGCCTGCAAGAGCCCCTGTAATCCCTGGGAGCTGGGGAGGTCTCTCCTATCCTCAGCTCTGATATCTCCCCCTTTGTAAGCCCACTGTGAGCCAGCACGTGGGAAAAGATCTGGATCTTCCACAGAGCCACTCTGTGGGTGGGAAGGATGCTCAGAATCCCCGTGGGCAGGGGTGAGTGGGCTCAGTTCACGTGCAAAAGCCTGACCACGTCTGGTATTTCCAGGAATATCCCTGAGCAGGAAGGAGACCCAAGTGAGTCACTGACCATGAAGTGCAGCCCTGGTACGCTTTGGAGCTGGATTCTTACGCCCCTCCCAGTCCCCCTCTGACGCTGGGGTTGTGTCTGCCAGGGCAGCAGAGGCTCTGACAGCCCCCACAGCCTCATCCTTCCCGGGATCTTGCCTCTTGCTTCCGTGAGTTAAGGACTGACCGAAGGAAATGCGTAAGCAGGGGCGCTGATGCTGCTGTTCCCACACAGCTCTGGCACCGCAGTGGGGCACTGGATCCTGCACCAGGATGGGGACCCTCGGGAATGGGTGGATGTCTCACGGGCTCCTGCTCTGCTGTGCCTTCTGGGGACTCCACGTGGCCTCTCAGGACTATGATGGTGAGTGTGTGGCTCTGGGGTGTTTGGTACCTTTATAAGATCCATCAAAACTCATTTTGTAATGAGTTTACGTGGCAGCACACTCTGATAGAGCTTCCTGCAGGCTCTAGCTGAAGCAGGGGGTGACAGGAGATGACAGAGGGGATGTGGCAGAGGAAGAAGCTGGGGTGGAAGAAACGGGAAAGAAAAAGCAGAGCAGTAAAACTGAGCACTGGAAAGCCAAATTTAGACTCCCACAGCCATGACTTTACACTGGAATGGCTCCAGACTTCCAGCTCCTCGTGAAAGCTGGACAGAAGAATTGCTCTTTGGCCTCCCAGGCCTGCTGATGGTTGTACAGCACCACAGTCACTCGTGAGCTGTGGGAAACCCCACGGGGCAAAGGAATTGGGTCCATTCTCTGAGAGGTTGCTGGGGTGACTCCTGCACACCTCAATCTGTCACCCAGGTTTTTCTGCCCACCACACACCAGCCTTTCCAGAGTACTCCCAGTCCCAGGGATCCCACAGCAAGGGCAAAGAGCAGCCTTAGGGGCGAGCACTGGGGATGAGCCAGTAACAGCCTGCCTTGTCCCCCAGATTACTCTCAGAACAGCACCAGCGACCAGGACAAGGCTCCAGAGATCACCCCGTGTCCCCGAGCCATCCCCGGGGACAAGGCCACGGTGAACAACACCACGTACCTGCTGATCCCCGAGGCCACGCGTGCCCGGCTGGGCAGCGCCCTCACCGTGCGCCTCATCCCCGCCCTCTACACGCTCGTGTTCCTCGTGGGGCTGCCCTCCAACGGGCTGGCCCTGTGCGTGCTGGCCAGCCGGGCGGAGCGGCTCGCCCCCACCGTGTTCCTGATGAACCTGGCTGCCGCCGACCTGCTGCTGGCGCTGGTGCTGCCCTTCAAGATCTCCTACTACCTGCTGGGCAACCACTGGCCCTTCGGGGAGGGGCTGTGCCGGCTCAGCACGGCGCTGTTCTACGGCAACATGTACTGCTCGGTGCTGCTGCTCACCTGCATCAGCGTGGACCGCTACCTGGCCGTGGTGCACCCCTTCTCCTCGCGTGCTTTCCGCACCCCCGCGCTGGCCGCCTGGACCTGCGTGGGGGTTTGGCTCTGCTCGGCCGCGCTCACCCTGCCCCTGGCGCTGCAGCGCCAATCCTACCCCCTGCTCGGCGCCCAGCTCACCCTTTGCCACGACGTCCTGCCCCGCCGCGAGGAGGACGGGTACTATTTCTACTACTTCGTGTGCCTGATCGCCTGCGCCTTCCTCCTGCCGCTGCTGGTGGTGCTGTTCAGCTACTGCTCCGTGCTGCGCGTCCTGCTGCGCGCCGGCCAGCGCTACTCGCACCCCGCCAAGCTCACGGCCCTCGTGGTGCTCACCCTCGTGGGCTTCTACGCCCCCAGCAACCTCCTGCTGCTGGCTCACTACTCCAGCGACTGCTCCGGGCTGCACGGGCAGCTCTACGTCAGCTACATGGTGAGCCTGGCCGTCAGCACCTGCAACAGCTGCGCCGACCCCTTCGTCTACTACTACGTGTCGGAAGACTTCAGGGATAAGGTGAGGAAAAGGCTCTTCGGGAGCGGCAAGCAAAGCAGCGCTTCCCTGAAGACCTCCAAGTTTTCCCAGGAGACGCCCCCCCGTTCCAAGAGCTCGCTGGTGTGAAGCTCCCCCGCTCCCGGGGCGCTCCCAGCACACCGTGGGGATAAAGATGAAGGCAACGCCGCGATTCCAAGAGTTTCGTCCAGGAGCCAAGTCCTTTTTTCCTGTCTGCACAGCGAAGAGGGAGTAAAGCTGGGCTGCGGGATTCTTTGTGGCGCGAGATGCTCGGTGCTGACCTCACACAGCAGCTTCTCACCTGGTCAGGGATCACCAGGGGTGTTCTCGCTGATGCACCTGGGGTTGGTTTCCCTGACCCTGCCAGCTGATTGCTCTCTGCCTTCTAACTCTGCTCCTGCTCCTCAAACACATATTCCCTTCACCTAAAACTGAGACAGACCAGGCACTGCAACCCCAAATTTCTAAATTTCAAAAGTTTCAAAAGAGACTCTCCTGGACTGAAACAGTCAAGAGAATGTAGAGCACTGGCTTTTCTGGCCAAGGCATTCTTGGCTTGATTCATAAACAACCCCCCAGTAATGTCAGCTCATTGTGCAAAAATCCCATTCACTCATCCCTGTTTTTGCAAATGACCCTTGACATCCATCCTTTCTTTGGGGCACAGATTGTATTAATGGATTTCTTAAAAAAAAAAAAAAAAAAAAGTCTCTTGAAGGGCAATATTAAAGCAGGAATTGAGCAAACTCTTGCCCTAGGACTCCACACTTCTTTTGTGTAATGTCACCCACAACCAAAAGCTGAAAGAGGTGCTCAGGCTTGTTGCTTATGGGAATCTGTTGCAAATTTGCCACATTTGTCAAACTGCAGCAGTCTCATCTCTCCTAGCCCAGTAAGAAGCAAGGTAGAAAATGAACAATAAACCTCCTCAAAGTTCCTGAATTCTTTGGCTTTCCTGGTACAGACTCGACCGTGTGAATAAAAAGAGGCAGGCAAGGTTGTCTTAAAATAAGTTTTTAATAAAAATATTTATCAGAATCTAAAACAAACACTTTTCTGGACTCAGACTTGCTAAGATTTGCGTGAACAAAACAAAAATGGTCAGAGAACTGTTTGCATGTACCTGTGTGTGGAGGGGCAAAGGGCAGGTGGAAGATTAGAGCCGGTCTGTGGGTGCAGGGGATGCACCAGGGGCTGACTCAGAAACAGCAGGTACTGAAAAACCCAACCCCAACCCAAGCTGAGGGTTTTTTTCTAAATAGTTGCTCTATTCACAATAATGAAAACCAGGTTGTTGTGCATTAAATGGTGACAGTCAGCAAAGCAAGTGCTGGTGGTGTCAGTGATGTTCTCCAAGCAAGCTGAACATTCTTCTGGTATTTGTTTTCTACTGAGGCTTATTAGGAGGGAGGGAAAGAGGCAAGACCAAAACACTAGGACAGGAAAGAACAGGGGAACTATTGCTTTAAAATAAATACCGTGGTAATGATTACTCTGCATAATGTACAGTTACAAATATATAAATATTAATCTCCTTGAGAGGACTGCAAGCATCAATCACTGATAACTAGCACTGCTGCAGCTATTCAGTAACATAACTCAATGGAAGAAGCTTTTCCTGTGTCTTACAAACCCACTGGCACTTTTCTCCTTTTTGCAGTGAGGGACCATCAGGGAGAGGAAAGGAGAATCATCTCTCTGACAGAGGGAGGCAAATTTATTTTTGAGCCAGAAAGAACCTGCTGGCTTTGCTGGCTTTGGCTTTCCAGCACCCAGTTGGTCTTTTCCTTGGTGAAAAAAAAACCAAAAAAGAAATAAAATCAATCCTTCTCTCCAAACTGGGACTGGCTGATGTGCACAAAGTGGGGGCCTGAGTTGTCACTGCTGGGGTGTCCTTGTGTGTCTCAGGGTGTGACTGAGCAGCTCCAGAGTGGGAGCTGGGCCAAAACCTGTGAGCAGCTTGGAGTCTGAGCCAGCTGTGCTGTGCCCAGTGGTTCTCAGGGCCTGAAGAGTGTCTGTATTCCAAGTAAGATGTTGAAGGATGGAGAAAAAATAATGAAGAATTAACGATGATGACAAGAAACATGAAGAGCAAATGTGGGATGGGGGAAAGCTCTGGACAGAGCTTAGGGTGGAGAAGAGGAGGGCAGAGACTGCTCCTTTACTCCTGTGAAGGGTGGAAAGGCAACCACAGTGGTGCAAGTGCAGGTTCCTTTATGCAATTCCTTAACTAAAATGACTGGTTTTTTTTCAGTACAGAAAGCAGCTGGTTTGGTGTGGCACGAGTAGGGGGAGGCAGAGGCTGCCAAGAGCAGATGTGCTTGCCCTGGAAGTGCCCAAGCCGGGGAGAAGCACTGGGAGGTGAAGTCAGGATCCAGAAATCCTGTCCCATCACCCCCCACATGCTGAACTGTTCTGTCTGATCCCAAGGCTGCTCTGCCTTTGCCTGCTGAGGGCCCAGATCTCCATGGCTTTGCTTGGAATGGGAAAACAGGAGCAGGACTCCTGTGCCTCAGGTACACACAGATCCCTCACACAGGGCTACGATTGATGGGCTGGCACCACCAGCTGGAATTATTTACCTGGCAGCGACAGGGAGATGTCTGAATCTGGAATTAGGACATTCCATGTGCCAGGGCCTGAGGAAAGGGGAGAAAGTCAGGTTTAATGCTTGGCTGAGACTCCCCACCTTCACCTCCTCGTCCCCAAGGGGGAGGCCTGACTGCCCAAGGACCTGGGAGAGGACCAAGCAGTGGAAAAAGATTTCAAATCTCCCTCAGTGGATATCCAAAGATACACAATGGGTGAGAGCAGGAAAGTGCAGCCAGAAAGGGACTGAGGACAGGAGACTGAAGCATCCAGAAGAGAGATCTCATTTTTAGGGGAAGCCAGTCACAGACAGCATCAGGGTGACTGTCTCATCCTCCCACACTCACAGCACCAAACAGCTGAAGCCTGAACCAGCAAAGAGCAGGGTTTGTATTGTGCAGCTTTGAGATTTAGAAAAGGAAAAAAAAATTAAAAAATTTAAAAAAAATCCAAATGTTGCAGCTCACAGTAGATCTGTTATTTACCCAGGGGATAAATATTGACTCAGCCCTGTGTGTGTACACAATAGCCAGTGTCTACCAGGCCAGCTGCTTACAGGAGGTGGAATTGAGTTTGAAGGTATTTATTTATTTACCTGCCAGGCAGAAATGCAGCCAGTGCTTCCCCTGTGCTGTGCAGACACGGGGGAGGGCAGATCTGCCCCCTCTGCAGAGCCAGGACACGTGGCAAACTATCAGCAGGGCAGCAGTGGGCACTCAGAGCTGCAGCCACGGCAAGATCCTGCGAGGAGAAGGCTGGAAAACTTGCCAACAAAGCAGCTCTGGAATTTCTGGGAACTTCAAGACCCAGACCTTCCTCATGTCAGCTGCATTCTGCAAATGTCTGGCCCCAGACAGAAAAAAAAAAAGACTGGCAACTACACATGCCCGACCTCTGGGATGCCTCCTGGTTTGTCCCCATGTGGACATTTTTCTGGGATAAACTTGCCTTTATTCTGGAAAGGAATGTCTATACTGGGGTAATATTCTTGTCATTGGCTCCTGTGTAAACAAGCCCTAAAAATGAATGGAGCAGGGCTTTTTTTCTGTTTCCATTCACCAATAAACAACCCTCAAAAGGAGTTTCCACCCTGCTCCGGGTCCTGGTAACAATAGAAGTGGGAAGATAAAATATTAACACTATTTTGCAAGAGGCAATGAATTGCATGTAACTCCTCCAAAGAGAACGATGCTGCTCCAGGCAGGAAGGGGAATGAAAAAAATCTTGGCCTCCTCCACTTTTGGAAAACACCAAGCTTTTGTTTTGAGGTTTTTTTTCCACGTTGCTTGGGGCAGGTCAGACCGAGGGAGTCCAGCCTGGGAGCCCAGGGATTGGTCCTGGCCAGCAGACCCTGGGCTGGGCAGGGAGTACCATGAGCAGAACAACCACCGTGCTGGATCCCAGTGGGAGCAGAATAAAAGGGATTGGCGAAGTCAGGCAAGCATTTTAAAAGGACTGTGCCTTGCTCAGCTTCATTTTCATGCCCTGGTTGGAGGAGGAAAGGGCTGAGAAGGCTGCAGGCAGCCTCTAACAGCACATAGTGCAACACAAAGAGGGTTCCACCACCCAATCCTTGTCACTGCTGGAACTGGAAAACTCCCACCTGAGGCCTGCAGACACAAAGCCTTTCAGCCCTGGCAGTGGATTGCAGTTTTCTCTGGTAAAATGTACTTCCCAACAGCTTCTCTGAAGGTGGAGCCACAGGGAAGTGTCTCTTTTGTGGATGCAGCAGACTTACAGGCTGGGGGAGACGATTAGCCTCTTGCTATTGTCATAATTAGCAAAACACACTGATTTTTATTATTATAATTTGAGCAAAAAGACTTCTCAGCCATCTTTCCTCAAAAACAGCAGTTCAGCTAAGCACAAGGCCTGGACTTAGCTCCTAAATGTATCTAGGAAATGGCACTTGCAGTATATCCTGACAGCAGAGAAAACACTTGGACAATGCTCTATGGGTTTGAATTCCAGCCCCTATTTTTCTCACCTAGAGGGCACAACACACTGGTCTCCCATCACTGGAAGGGCTCCAAGGAGAATGCACAAAAGGCAGGAAAAACCGACAGGAAAATCACGCTGAGCGTCCCCCTCGGAGCTGCAGATCCGCCCCGCGGGGCAGCGAAGCCGACAGTTCCGAGGGCGTCAGCAAGTAGTCATCGTTTCATCGTTCAGTTTGTGTTCTGCAGCAGGTCTTCTGGAGGAACCAGCTCATCCAGGGGTTGATTCTGAGCCTCTTCTCTCGGTGTAAATGGCGGATTTCTGGTGGAAAAGAGAACACGGTGAGGACGAGTTGGGTGGGGAAAAGCTTCGAGGATCGTTCTGCTGGGGATGGAGCCACAAAGCCCTTCAAGATCCCGTTCCCAGGGAGTCCTTGGTGCAAAAACCACCCCCTTTTGAGGAAGTAAACATATTTTAGTCTCCAAGCAGATTTCTGACCCCTCCCTGGGCTCACCATTCTGCCGTGGTCGCCTCTCCCTGGATCCCGTCCCCTCCTCTGAAGGTGCTCCCTGTTGTCAGCTCTGCCACCCCCTCAAACCCGTCGGGTTCTGCAGCAAAGGGGTCGGGGTCGTACTCGTAGGAGTAGTAGGACAGGTCTGTGTGGAGAGGGGGCCCCTCCTCAGCTGTGGAGGGAACCAGAGGGCAGGTTCAGGCAAAGTTTCTGCATCACTTTTTGCATCACAGAGAAGGGGAACGACAGGAGAAGCTGCTACAGAACAGGATTTTTCAGCTTCCCAGTGAAAGACCTTGAGACCTGGGCAGTGGGGGAAAAAAAAAGGGAGGGAAAAGTGTGAAAAGGGGAAGGAGTGAAAGGGGGGGAAGGAGGGAAAAATAGGGATGAAGAGAAAAAGGAAAAAGGGGGGAAAGGAAGTCTGGACCAGTCACCCTGAGGGCTGCACACAGTAAGACAAATGAATTCTCAGTCCATCCTGAGGCACTGGCAGGGCACTCTCACAGCACAGATCTCACACAAAAGGGCTGTGAGGGGGGTGGGTGGCTGCCCACTGTCCAGAGGGCAGAGCTGCAGGGCAAAACTTTGAGGAGCAGCAGTAGGTCTGTGTTTTCTAAACTGCTCCTGGAGCCAGCTCAGCTGCCCATCCTTCCTGTTTGCTTTCGGAGCACTCTGCTCTAATCCAAACCAAAGCAACCGCTGGAGCAGAGTTAGTGCAGGGAGGAGGAGTGCCCCACCCCCACAAAGCTGGCTTTATTTAAGGGGAACACTCATCACTGCCTTTGAAAACGTTTGTTCTCGAGGAATAAAATATCTAAGGATCTTCCCCGTTGCCTCCCACATCCTCCCAGCGACGGGCTTGGCCCAAAGCAAGAGCAGAGTCAGTCCCTGTGTTCACTCCTTCCTGGCCCTCTCCGTGTGTGAACCTGCCAGATCATGAGCTGGTTCTGTGAATGGATGATTGCTGTCCACCAGGGATGGAATTAACATCACAGGCCTCGCTCTTCCCAGGAATTCAAGCCCTGGAGTCGAAGCAAAGAGGAAAGGGCAACGTTTCCTGCCGCACACAAACCACTCCCCCCCTCCCCAAATGTTTGTGCTGGAGCCAATGTTTGCTGAGCAGCGATGGGGTGAAGGGAAAAGCGGCCCCTTGCCAGGTCAATCAATCCTGAAGGAGCAGTGCAATCCCAGGGATAACACCCTGGCCAGGAGGGAGAGCTGGGGATGACTCCACCTGGAAGCAGAGCTCCTGCTGGTGTTCCTGGTAGGAGCTGGTGAGGGTGTTTAATTTTATAATAAAATAACACCAGCACCAAATAAAAGTATGGTAATTCCATCCAGAACTTTCTCCCAGCTATCTGCCCTTCAAACTGCTGGAGCAGAGCTGTGCAGGTAACGTGGGGAGAGGGCTGGGGATCAGAGAGCTGAGCCTGGATGGGCTTCCTGATCCCCCCAGAGCTGCTGCCCACACTTGGACAATGCTTTTCCAACAAATCCATGCAGAACCACCTCAGTGTGATGTCAAGATATTGTCCTCCAACATCACTGGCTGTCCACTGGCTCTGCATTTAGTGCTTTTGGCAGGGAAGGTTTAGGAAGTCTCAGAACAGAGTTAATGATCTGTGAAAGCAATCAAAGCACCACCACCTCATTAGAGAGGTGGTATCAGAGTTACTGAGGATCCTTGAGGCTCTGGAATCCACTCAGATCTTTGTAGCCAAGTGTGACAATGATCTCAGGAGAGCCCCAGTCGGAAAGGCCCTGAGATTCTGACACTCCTGTTCATGAGACAGCTCCTGCTCCAAGGGCTTTCAGTCCAAACAAACAGGGCTCCAGCAGGCTGGGAAGGAACACCAGCTCAGCCTCAGTGCTGAGAGCCAGAGGTGGGTCCATGCTACTCATCAAAATCCTGCTCCACCCTTTAGAGGCTCAGCAATTCACCTGTGACAAAGAACAGCTGAAGAAGAGGATTCAGACAGGAGTAGTTTCAGCTGAGTCCTGTCACCCTGCACACTTCCCTCTCAGCCCAGAGAATCTACAGATGCAGGGAGGATCCACCCATCTGTACAGAAAAAAAGCTGCAGTTTTAAGATGAAACCTCAGCCCGTTTCTCCCTCCCTTTGGAGAGGCATTTTCAGATGCTCTGGCAAGAGCTGGGTGCTACAAGAAGCTCTGCACCCTGATTTTTCAGGACCACCCATATTGCTGAACTCCAAAGCTGGGCTTTGTTCCACCAAACCCACTGGTGTGTGTGGAACTGCACCGAGCCTGTGGGTGCCAGGGGGAGTCCCAAACCATCTCCCACTGATTGCTGGGAGGCAGCTGGCTCCTTATTCCCACTGCTGGGTAACATGGACAAGAGCTCCAGTGAAAATATCCATCAGCCCAAGCTGAGCTGCCCCAGCGTCAGGACCCCAGACAACACAAACACCACGCGCTGCTCCGAGAACAGGGCATTTCCTGAAGATTAACACACCCTGGCAGTTTCTCCCCAGTCTGACTTGGCTTCCTGGAGTTTTTTATCCTTTTAGGAAATCCCAGATTTAGGCATGGCTCATCAGAGCTCTCCCTGGAAGCCCCAGAGCCGACTTAAACCAATCTCATGCTCCAGTGAGAGCAGCGAGCCCAGGAGAGCCGCGTGTGGGGAGGGATTCATTCATCTGCTGCACTTTGATTCACATCCCCTGTGCTTGACCTGAGAGGAGCCCGGGGGGATTAATGAAAATCACATGCTGGGCCCTTTTCCTGATGCAGGATTTACTCAGGTTTATTCCTGAATGCTTGCAGCTCAGGGCAGGCTCTGCCTGCCAAGAGGCTCAAAACTCCCAGATCCTGGGACAAAACCAGCTCCAAGTGCCTGTGCTGTGATAAAGATCCTCCTGGCACTCAGGTTTGTTCATCTAAAACCTGTATGACAGTGCCACACACACACACACAAAATCAGAATTTCCCCTTTTGCTCTTAAAGCAGCCAATGCTGCTTCTGTCCATCCAGAACAGAAAGCAGAGGGGTGTTTTCTTTTGACAGACACTGCAATGCAGATTATTTCAGAAACTCATCTGAGGCACTGGCAGGGCACTCTCACAGCACACATCCCACACCAAATGGGCTGTGACTCTGGGGTGAGTGGCTGCCCCCTGTCCAGAGGAGAGAACTGCAAGACAAAAACTTCGAGGAATGTCAGGAGGTCTTTGCTTTCTGAACATTTCTGTGTTCTGAGCAGTTTTGGACTGTGGACCACCACAAGCTCCACAATTTTTTTCCGCCCAGGTAACCATATTTTTACTTGAAAACAATGCAATTGCAGCCTCATTTTGTAGAGCAGCAGCAAAACACTCGGTACGGCCTCCCATTCCAGCAGCACCCCATGAAGCAGTTTGGGAATGCTGCTTTAAAGGGTTCAGATTGCAGATTTTCCATGCTGAGTTCATGGTATGTGCATGGAATAAAAGGCAACAAGCCCTCATCTCAGTTATCCTGCAATCTCATACATATTTATATATATATATTTATTCACAATTAGTCCAGAAAGAAAAGGGAGGGAAAGCAGGACAGGCATTAAACACTAAGACTGAATGACTGATAGAAACAGTAATAATAGAATATTCACTATGTTTTTACACTTAACAAGCAAAATGTCCACCAGCTGCTGTTCAGAAGGGAAAGAACAGGCTGGGGGCTCACAATGGGCACGTGCACTCTGAGCTTTGTGCACCAGGAGGACACGAGAAGGCACAGGGACTTCTCTTGAAGAATTAAACTCGTTTTTGTCAGGAGAGTCAGAGGCCAGGGGAAAATTAACGAGTGGAAAGCAGCCAGGAAAAATCTAGCCCAGTTTATTTACTAGAAACGGCATGAAACGAGCCGTTCTATTGACCCTCCACTGCTTCTTGATGGGATGGATTGTGAGGCCTGAGCGAGTTCGACACAAGTCTTGGAAAAAGTCTATGAACATGAGCACCAAATAAAATGAGCAGCCAAATTCCTGGCTACTCCATCTCCTGACCTTAACTTTGTTTTTGCTCACTGAGGCCCTTTATTCCAAACAGCAGCTCGGGGAGAATCAAGGCTGCCAGCTCCACTCTTGCTCAGAACTGCAGGGACAAAGTGGATCCACCTGGATCCTGGTTCTTGCAGTGGTTTGTTTGGGCTGTTGTCACGTCCTGTTCAGTTGTTTGGTGGAACATATTACACCAGCCTGGTTGTAAATGGCATCTTTCCTGCACGTGCTGAACTGAGCAGGTACCCTTGCAAGATTTCCTGAGGGAAAAAGGACTAGAAGAAGAGCTGTCTGTTGTTGAATAGTTCTCACCCGTGGTTTCCTTGACCTCTTTATTCATTTCCTTGATTTCTGAATATTCTGTCTTTTCTGTAGCATCTTACAGTGTGTTTGAGAGCCAGATATATATTTTAGACAATAATAAGACAAGCTTTAACCTTGCTAAAGAAAAGGGCCTTGGATAAATGCAAAGGTGTTACCTGCTGGGGTCTGTGCAACACTGGGCTGCTCAGCTGTGTGGGAATGTGTCTCCCTTTCTTCTGGCAAATTCTTGGCTGCAAATAAAAGAGAAACAAACTCATTGCTCATAAAATTTCTTAATGCATCCACAGAAAACGTTTGCATTTCCAGAGGTGGCACAGTGAGTTTCCTGAGCTGCTGCACACCTTGAAAGCCCCTGCAGAATCCCCACAGAACACCCCATTTCGTGGATTTCATTTTTATCTGGGATTATTACTTCAGATCAAACAGTTATCTGTAATTTTCTTTTGAATTCATCCTGATGGGTAAAATCTGAGAAAGGGAAAGCCAGTTATTTCAAGCTGCTCTTCTAACTTAATCCTCTGCAGCAAAATAACACGGAGGAGATTCAGAATCGTCGCTCGCTTAGCTGAGGATTCGCAGCGACAGGATCACAAAAAAGAACGGGGAGTTGAAGGAAACCTACAGGCAGAACACTGAGACATGGGCATCTGCTCTATCCTGGTGTTGTTCCTGCAGGAGGCCACTTCCATCTGGCAGTGGTTGGGGTAGATGTGTCCGTCCGATCCGCACACGGGCTCCCCGTCGTAGCCGCAGTCGCGCGAGCACAGGCACTGCTCGAAGTACTCGTCCTCCCAGCAGCCCAAAACGTTGTGGCAAGGCCCAGAGTGAGCAAAGCCTGGGGGGGGGGCAAACAGAACCAGCCAGAGCAGTGGTTTTTGCATGGCCAAAAAAAGGGGAAGGTGGAATGGAAATATCTCATCTTCGTCTTGAATTCCCTAAGACTCGTGACACAAAATTTACAGAAAGCCTTTCTGAAAGAATCATGCACTGCAACAGCTTCCAGGCCTGGGATAAAGGAACTGTTTTGTGTGCCACAGAGCACAGAAAGGAGCAGGGAGTTTCTGGGGAATTGTTCCTTTCGCTGATGCGTGAAATTGTTCAGTCTTCCTACAGTTAATTGTGGAACAATATCACCAGGTATTTCAGAGAAAGAAAACCAAATTGCATGGTGAAGAGTTTTTCCCTTTTTGCTTACTGACACACCTCCTTGTGCAGGTTCTTCCAGAACCAGACACTACATCTTGCCTCTGAAGCAAATCACAGTCACTTTGGTGCACGAAGAGCACCCTTGCTCTGCTTGGGTGCCATCAGTTTAACAGCCAAACCCCACAAACCTTTGCAAAGCTCCCACTAACTAACACAGAACACTTTTCTAAAGATAATTTTGAGTTCTGCACGCCTCTGGGTTCTGTTTTCCAGAAGATCTGCGTGGCTTTGGTCTAACTTACCAACCCACTGGCTGGCTGAGCTTTCCACCTCATTGCAGGTCGGGCCATCGCAGAGCTCCCGAGCCAAGGGACTGTTCTCACTCACGTTGTAGAAACGAGTGGCTTCAAAAGCTGCAGGTCAGGAGGAGGGAGAAATCACAGCTGGGCCTTCTGCCTGGAGCCCTGAGGCTGGCAGGAATCAGAGGAAAAGAGGCGCTCACCTGGCTCGTAGTAATCGTACACTTTGATGGGAACGGGAGCTGTTTTCCCGACTATGTGCTCCCTGAAAGCCTGGAACTTGACACAGGTCATGCACTGGCTGGGGATCTGCATGAAATGGTGGAAAAGATTCACAACCTGCACTTTAGCTGGAGAGAGGGACAAATAAACACAGCGTGGTGTCTGATGCAGCCTGCTGAGCATGAAGGGCCCTCCAGTTCTAAGCACAGGGACTGAGATAATGAACAAAAGCCCAACAGGATGAATTAAAACACGACCTTTAAAACACATATTTGCCACACCACAATGGCAAACCTGACACTCCAGCTGTATTCCCTGTCAGCAGGCTGCTGGTTGACCAACTAGCAATTTCCTGCTGCTGACCAAGCCAAGAGACATCTCATCTTCCACTCTCAGGTCTGTGCTGTGATGTCTAAATTAAACTGCCTTTAGCAATGCTAGCTGCCCCTGAAGGTGAGATTATTTTGAGGCAAAAAGTAAGTGATATCTGCCCAGAAATGCTCTATGGGCTGAAGTTAATCACCTGTTTCCATTATGCTTTGATTTCCAACTCACCTGCATCAAAGGAGGCCAATTAGTCAATTAAAAGTAATCCCCACCTGTGAGGGACCATCAACACCAACACACTGTACCTGTGCCTCATCCACATTTCAGTCATTTTTTTATAAGAAACAAAGTCATTACCTCATCAAAATAAAACAGGACTTTTCTTCCATCCACTTCATATCTTTTTAATCCAATTTGCTTGTTCATCAATAACTAGGGGGGGAAAAGACAAACCCAACAGGTTTAGTTTCATCTCGTTTTATAGAAGTGAGGTAGAAACAAGAGAAGAAGAAAGATTTCAGACTGCTTAGAAAACTGATCACACATGAAACCCCAAGGATTTCTTCTGCAGGCAAAGGATGTTTCCATAAGAGAAGGGAAATGGCAAGAGGGCTGAAGTTGCTGTCACACAACTCAGGAAAAGCCACCTGTGTCCTTCCCTGTGACCTGATGAGGAATTGCTGGCAAGGTGCACAATGCTGAGGGCTCTTCCTGGTCCCTGGTGCATTTATCCCCTTCACACTGAGCCTGACACATCATCCAGAACCCCATGGAGCAGCTCCCAGATTGTTTTCAGCACCAAGGCTCCAGCAGGACCTCGGAGACCCCAAAACACTCAATAAGTCTCCTATTTACACTCCCTCAGACCACCAGGGAATGGTGCTGGGTATCAAAGGTCCCCTTCTCCCACCAGCTGAAAAATCCAAAACATTCTTCTGCCAGGAAAATTAATCCTCCCATTTGAAAAGAGCAGCCATTTGAAAGAGCCCCAGGCACCCCTCCCTTCTGATGAATGGGGTCAGGCCAGGCCTCTGCTCCTCATCTTCTGTCCCTCCACGGATTTGGGATTTGCATTGTACCAGCCAGGCCTCCAGACTCACCTCTTCTGCTTTTTATTTATTGGGACGATCTGCATATCCAAGGAATAATAGCAGAACAGGATCTAAGAGGACTTCCCACTTCTACAAAGCTTTATTTGAAGTTTTCCAGAAGTTACTCCTGTGATTTCTGCATTTGGAATGCTGACATCTCAATATTATGACTGCCCTGCTTGACCAGTCATTACTACTGCAATAAACTGCATTCAGAACCTTTCTATTGCAATAAACTGTATTCAGAACCTTTCTACTGCAATAAACTGTATTCAAAACCTTTCTATTGCAATAAACTGTATTCAAAACCTTTCTATTGCAATAAACTGTATTCAGAAGGTTTCTGCCACGCAGAAAACACCTAATCCAGACACTGGGGAGCATGAGGGTCTGTGGAAAAGGACTCTTGTGTTTTAATCCCAGTTTGGGGAGCTGAGTAAGGGTCAGAGCAGATATTTTCATTCTCAGTCCCATTACTTTAACCTCTGTCAGACAATCCCATTTGCAACATAGGGATAACATTCCCTTGTATTTTTTTGTTTGTTTGTTTTTGGTTTTTGGTTTTTTTTGGGGGTTTTCTTGTTTTTGGTTTTTTTTGTTGTTGTTGTTGTTGTTTTTGGGTTTTTTTGTGGGTTTTTTGTGGGGGTTTTTTTGTGGGGTTTTTTTTGTGTTTTTTTTTTTTTTGGTGGGTTTTTTTTTTTTTTTTTTTTTTTATTATTTTCCTAAGTTATTTTGAGACCTTAGACTAAAAATTCCGTGGAAAGGGGAACAAAGCATTATTATTATTATTATTATAAATAATAGTAATTATTAATATTTCAGAATTACATGAAGCAAAAGCCATTTCCACTGCAATCAGCCTTAACTGTGCCTTCCCTCAGCAGAGCGCTCCCAGTTGTTAAAAATCCAACTCCCAAGCTTCCTGCTATGACCGTAACGAGCCAAGGAACATGTGTTGGAGTCCCCCACAACATGGAAGGGGCCAATTTAATTTGTCCTTATAATTTGAGGGGCCTGCTGGTGGCTGTAACTCCTCAGCGGTGGGATGGCTGCAGACAGTGCTTTTATGAGGGCTCCGAGGGGCTGGCGCCACCGGGACCTGCTCAGCTCAGCTCAAGCCGCATTTTTGGTGGTGAGGTTTGATCCCCCCCAAGCCCGGGGTGACCTCCCGACCCTGTCGACACCCGGCATTATTAGGAGGATTTGTGGCTGCCCTGGGCGTGCACGGAGCCTTCATTAACCGGGGCTGCCCCGGGGGCTGCTGCTCCCACACTGCTCCCTCCACGCATTTACAGCCCAGCCACGCCAGGGAATGGGCTGGGATGGCAGGGAAAGGCAGCTTTGGGAATGATGGGACCTGCCTGTGCTGAAGGTGGGGTCCGAAATACAGCAGGGAACGAAGGCAGTGGAGGAATTTTATTGTGCATCCACGTTTGATGGCCATGGAGAAGTCACAGAAGAACAGGAGAACCCTCTGCCTGCTTCCACCCAGGCCAGGCTTGGGACTGGGACACAACACAGGAAAGGTTCGTGGTGCTTCTTCCCTGGGAGGGTGCGGAGGCCCTGGCACAGGTTGCCCAGAGAAGCTGTGGCTGCCCCTGGATCCCTGGAAGTGTCCAAGGCCAGGTTGGATGGGGCTTGGAGCACACCTGGGCTGGTGGAAGGTGTCCCTGCCCATGGCAGGAGGTGGAACTGGATGAGCTTTAAGGTCCCTTCCAACCCAACCCATTCTGGGATTCTACCCCGAGCAAAAGGGTTTTGAAACATTACAGAGCCAGTTCACTGGGCAATCAGAATCAGGCTTCCTAATGATAATCACAAATTTACAATGATCCTGCAGTGTTCCTGCAGCTGAGAACGTGTTGCAGCATTCCCTGGACACAGGTTAGAGCAAAGCAGGGCTCACAGCGCAGGAGGGGCTGCACGTGGCAGCATTTTAGTGGTAACTGCACACAAAATAAGCACATTTGGTTGCCAAGTCTTCCCCTGGGACACTCGTGCCTGGCCCAGCCTTGTGAACAACCTCAGAGCAGAGCAGAGTAGAGCACAGCTGCCCTGGCAAAGGGAAAAGCATTCAGGGACCAGAGGGACAGAACCTGCACAATCACACACAAACACGTGAGACCTTCTCAGCTCCTCAGCTTAGAAACCTTCAGCTCAGTCCCCTGGTGACCCCAGGGAGGGAGACACTCACCCAGTGCAGCCTGGAGGATGGGAACTCCTAATTTGGGAAGGAGGACAGGGATTTGTTCCTCAGCCTAACAATTTTCCTGTTCTTCTGCAATGAAAATCCCTTTAGGTCCCTTCTTTCAACTCCTTCCCTCTGCTGATAAGACATTCCAGGGGTTTAGGACCATAAAGACATCCTGTTGTTCTCCTCCTGTGCCATTTTGAGCTCTCTGCCTCGAGCCAGGTTGTTACCCCTATTTTTTCTGCCATTATTTACATAAAGAGAACTTATCTGACAGCGGCACAAATGACCCCAGCACCTCCAGCAGGAGCAGAGAGAACAGGAACCAAACCCACTGCAGGTCCCTCCACCTGATTGTCCTCCTTTCTCTTTCCACAGGGATACTGGAGAACTCCTACCAACTCACCTGAATAATCAGATTCAGTTTTGTTGCACCATTTGTTGCATGTGTGAGAGAGAAAAATCAGGCCCAGAAGTTCATCAGGCAGATGAAAATTGGTGTGTTTTGACATGCACGCATTTGAAAACAGAATTCTCCACAGGCAGCTTGGGAGCTGATATGAATAACTTCAATATTTCTCTTTGCAGGAATAATTTCATATCTGATTAAGACAGGAATATTCCAGCACAGTTCCCTAAGAGTTGAAAGGATGCAGTTCCTTCTCAGGGGTTAATACACGAATTTCTGTGGCCTCAGTGACAGCCCAGGAGACCAAATGACAGCAGCTTCTGACATGGATTGTCAGCCACTCCAGAGGGACATATTTGCCTCATTTTCCCCAAGAAAATATAAATAAAATATAAGTCATATATATAATCTATAATATAATAATATAAATTAGCCAAATCACGTGCAATCCTAGAGAATACAAAGCCATGTGCACTTTTTTCTTGAATTAAGAATTTCTTGAATTTCTGCCTGTTCTTTGCCATGGTTCTGCTTTAAAATTCTCTCCCCAAATCCCTCCCCCCTTCAGTAAATAATGAAGAAAAACTTATTAACACAAGAGCTCTTTTGGAAGCAAGAGATTTTTTTAGCTCTTTACCCGTTCTCAAGGACACAGAGATTTTACACCTCTTTGGTTAAATAGTCCTTAAAAACCTCTTTGCAGCACAAAAAGCCCAGCAGTGAATGAAAGGTTCCACAAGATGCAACGAATGCAGAGCTTCCACAAATCTGCAGCCAAGCTCAAGATTACAGAGCATCTGCCCTAAAAGGTTGGCTGGGCACGAGGCACATTCTGTCCACCTCAGCTTGGCTGCAGGAAACACGATGTTCTTGCAGAGAGGAGGGGAAAAAATATTTAAAAATAAATAGAATAAAAAAAAAAAAAAAAAAAGGGTCCAAAATTCCAAGACACGGAGCCTCCAAAGAAATGGGATCCAGATGTTGGAGATAACACAGCTCACTAAGCAGCCGTAAACAGCTCCTGTTAGAGCACATTTGCACTTCAGCTTTTCCAAGGGCTCTCAGTTAATTGCTGTGCATTGGCTCAGGGAGAACCTTCCCCAGCCCTGCTGGTGCATTTGGTCACCCTGCCCACAACATCTGGCTGCTCACTGCAGAGAAACAAGGGCTGACAAGTGAGGTCTCTGCGCCTTCCCCTCGTTTTAATTCCATCTTTTCAGCGCTGCTCTGCCATTAAATTTGATTTAATTTAAATGGCTTTTGCCCCCTTCCCCCCTCAAAGGGAATCCCTCCCAGTCGTGCCTTGCATTCCCATTCCAGCCTCTTACCTGCTCCAGGCTCTCGATGTCTGCCCGAAAACCTGAGAACAAGGGCACTTCCAAAACAGCCATGTTGGAGGATCCAGAGTGCAGCCATCTGCCCATGGGAATGAAAACAGGGAGAAAAAACCAACTCAGCAGCCGAGATAATAAATGATAGGTGGGCGACTCAGGGTGGAGAACAAACAAAATGAACTTCAGAAGAACAAGAAGTTATTAAAAGGATCTGCTTTTCTCTGAAGTGCTCATGGAAAGCCACAGAGTACTTGGTTTTACAAAGTCCTCTTCTTTTCTTCGACAAAATGATGGCCAACTGACAGGGGACAGAGATGTAGGAGATGTGCAGGGAAATGGAAGAAGAAAAGCAGAGGAATGTCACCTGTGGGGCTGCTTGCTTTCTTTTTCCATCAATCACTGAGAGAACACACTTGGTAAAAGGAAAACAACCCTTGGAATAGAAGAAATTTTGGGGTTTTTTTAAGCAGAGGGTTGTAGATGGACTGTGGTGGAAGAGCAGTGTTACCTCCCAACACCAGCCAGGGTCATTCAACCCTGGAGTTTCATAAAGGCCATTTCCCTCCAGCATCTAATTGACACTGAGAAAAGTATCTTTGCTAACGAGTCAGCAAACTCACCCTGTAGTTACTGATGTTAAAGAATTCACTGCCCGTATTATCTTCTATAATATTAACGAAAACTCCAAAAACCCACTGAAATTCAGAGTTTTTGCTGCTGAAGAGTTCATTTAAAAAACCCCACAGGGGAAGGGGTGGAGGGAAAGTCTATTTGGGCCGTTGCAAAAGTCTCAATGTTTGCAGAAAGGCAGAAGAGCCGACACCCTAACCCAGCTCGTGGTAACCCCAGAACAACCCCCCTTTTCTCTGCACTCCCAGCCAGCTCTGAGCTCTCCCTGCCCTGTTTGCTGTTGGGTTTCACCATGGCGAGGGTGGACCCAGGAGGGCCCATCAGCTCGTGCCCAGCGCTGAGAAAACACAATTCACAGCTTTCCAAAGCCAAACCCTGCCAGCTCTGAGCTGGAGGCTCCTCTCTCTGGAGATCCCCTCCAGCTCTGGGGTGGGTGGGTGGGTGAACTGGCTGAGGATGGAACACCCCACCCCAGCTCTACGCCCACAGTAGCATGAGGTGGCCTGGGGACAGAGCCAGCTGGCTCTGGGTGAGGCTCTCCAGGCTCCCAGAGACATCAAGCCTTCTTAATTCCAACCTAACTGCACGCTCCCTACTCCCTAATAAATCACACAGAGTCCCTTTGCCTGCATTTCCCCCTTTCTCTGTTCCATCTCCCAGCCCTGTGTTCTCCCTCACTCCCCAAAATCACCCCCAGGACTTCACTGAGCACGCCAGCACTTCATTTACACCCTGAGAACACCCCCAGCTCAAAATCTCTCAGCTGTCAGCCTCAGATGACACTCCTCTCTTCGTGTGCCTAAATAAGATGATGGAGTCGAGAGCATTGTTACTGGGAGAAGGGGAGGGAAAGGAAGATTTCATTTGCTTTTGTTTTCTTTCCAAGCAGTCCAGCTCCTTGCACTGGGCTTCCCCTCACATTCCTGTCTTTGCTCCAGCAATTCCCAGGGCAGGAGTTATTTCAGAAATATCAGCAGAGGGGTTGTGTTGATGCAGGGCAGCCTCCTCAGCATCGTGTCAATAATATTTATAGAAGTATTGACACAATTAAGGTATTAGTTAACCAGTTGAATTTACCTCACTCTGCTAAATGAAGCCTGTTACTGAGGACTTAGAAAATAATCCAGAGCTTTTTCTTTTCATCCTGACACAAACATTCAAACATCCCATTTGTCATCTTCAGGGGTTTGGAGAGGGAACAAAGAAACTCGGCGATAAAAACCCAAGGTGTTGCCACCTTTGCAAATTTGTTCTTCCTTCTCTGTGCCTGACGTGCACTTGGCACCAAAAATGCTCAGAGCCAGCAGGCAGTGCTAGAGAACGATCATGGGATGGCTCTGTCCCACCACCCATGACGGTGGTTGAAAGTCCTCCTACCCCACTGGAGACACGAACAGCGCAGCAAGGAAGAATCTGGCAATGATGATCAGGAAATTAAACGTCCTGGCGAGGAGCAGGGGGTGGCATTTCCTACCTGGTGCAGGTCTCCAGGATGACTTTGTACTCCCGGTGGTCCTGGTCCGACGCCGGGTCATCGTCGTCCCCCAGGGCCCTGTCCCTGTGCGAGGCCTCGGAGCGATTCTCGTCCGCAGAGCCCGAGTTCAGGGGGTTGGGGGCCTGCAGGTGCTGCTCTGACTTTGGCTCCTTGAGGTTGACCAGCAGCTGGAAAGCTGGCTTGGCGATGGGGTCGGGGACGTTGTAAGTGACGTCAATCTGCGGCGGGAAGGGGGAGAAGCAAAACCAATCAGGGTGGTTTGTTTTTAGACACCAACGTGTCGTGGCACCCACAAATACTCCCTGAAGACCAAAATGAACACCAGATTTCTTCAGAGAGAGGGAATGGGAGGAAAAGAGGCAACAGAGGCTTTACCATGTGGTTATACAGAGGTAAAGCTCAACCAGACCAGATCCAGTCACATTTACATCTATGAATTAAAGCAACACCCCGTTATATCATTACTTTGAGAGCAATTCCGAGTGTAACTCCTTCCTCACAGCAAGCTGGGGTTTACAAAAGTAGCAAACAGACTGAGTTTAGAGATCATCTGCTCACATCCTTTCTCCAGCCCCCAGGGCAGCCTTACCTGCATCAGACAGCAGCCTTCACCTTTGGCACTCACGAACAGCCCTGTGGGAATGCTGGGGATCTGGGGAGAATCCACAGTTAAGACATGGCACTCAGAATGGAAATTAATGTCAGTTCAGCTTTCCCCTGTCCAAATATCTTTGTGGTTATAAAGGAGACTGCAGAAGTGAAGTGACTGTGATTCTTTTCAGCCACCTGCACTTACAATGGCAGAAAAAAGCAGCAGCACAAAAGAAGCCTCAGGGGTGAAAATAGGATGAAAAATGCCTTTAATTTTGAGTGCTGCCTCCTTCATCCTAGAACCCAGCCATAAAAGCCCAGAAAGTCCCCAGATCTCAGTGTTTAACTTGTGCTTTTACCCTTCCAGATCCAAGTCCTCAGTCAGAACTCAGCTCACATGGGCTGCTTAAAAAATTTGGCCACACAAACACAAAACCACCCACCACTGCAGTCTGGAGGACTTTTTTATTCATCTTGTTGAGCTCAAATGTCTCCTGGTAGTCTAGGTTAGTAGAAGCCAAGGAAATGGTCAGGTTGACTCCTCCAACATAAGAAAGGATGGCATATTCAGCCAGAGCCTGCAGGGCCACACAGGTGTCCTGGGGATCAGAAGAAGGAGGGATTAGAATAGTGAAGAACACAGGAGTAAAACTTCCAAACAACTGTGCCCTACAGTCACCAGCTTCTGGTGGCAGAATCTTCCTTAATCCAGATGTCAGGGTTTTGCTCACTTTTCCTGTCACAGGTGCCTGTGAGGACAAGGACAAGTCTGGGTTCCTTTCAAATTATCAGTCTGGGGAAGTTTTTCCTCTTATCAGGACACAAACAATTTCTGTCTGGACTCTGGATGAAAACTCTGCATTCCTGAATCAATTGATAATGAATCAAAACTACCTTTTATTTTTTTTTTTTTTCCCCCACCTGAGTAGATGAGAATCCTCCCAGGGCATTCCTTTGCTGTGAAAGCCATTTTACCACAGGGAGTGCAGAGGCCACGTCTCCCAGGAGTGTGTAGGTCAGGAGGGCATAGGATGTCATTTCTACCTCTGCAGAGACAACTGAAAGGGAGGGGTATTAAAAAAAAAAAACAAGAACAAATACCCAGAAGTGAAAATCTAGGCAGATCTACAGATAGTTCTATGAATATTCATTAAATGAAAAATACAACTCATAATTTTGAGAATCTGTAGAAGCAAATACAGGAAAATAGTCTGCACCCAAGATACATCACCTTCCAAAGATGTCTTGCCTTCACATAATAGATCACCTTCTTTCTACCTGATTATTATCCCATAAGGAATTTATCTCCCACTCCAGTTCTGCTTTGCTGCTGCCCCTACTGTATTCCTGTCCTGAGATTTTCATTCCATACCCAGCTCCATCCTTCCTGAACGTTGGTGTCCCTACATCATATCCCCTGTGGCCCATCCTCTCTGGGCCCCATCCTGCTCTGTCTCATTTAGTTCTTTCAGCACAACAGTACCTGCTTTTGGGAACTCTCCTTTCCTCTGGCCCCTGCCCTGCCTGACAGTTTCAGAATACCCTTTATTATAAAAACAATCCAATAAAATCCATGCAGCCATTGGGCTGGTGGTGCAGCCCTTGCTTTTATCTCTGTCTTTGCACTGCAGGTACCTGATTGAGAGAGTCCATCGTTAAATCCCATGAAAGTGTCTTCATCAGTGACCAGGGTTCCTGTGAGGCTCCAGTGTGTAAAGCCATCTGAAAAGAGAGAGGACAGTGGGATATGTGTGTTATCAGAGCAGGAGTTCAGCTCAGCCTCTGTGTGTGGGAATAGTCAAATTCCCCCTTGGAATTGTCTCCATCCGTGCCCTGAACTGCACTGAACTGTCCCTGCTGTCCCTGGGCAAGAGGCTCCCTTCAAATTGCAAAGATGACTCAACGTGACAAATGAGGTAATTCTTGGATTTTTGGATTAAAATACACCAGCACACCCTCGGGGAACGTGAGGTGTTCCAGGGCAAACACTCGTGGACAGGAAAGGCCCTGCAGAGCCTCTGCTGCTCTTGGCTCAACATCAGCAGGACTGAGGTGTCAGCCTTCCCCAGTCCCAGAGTGAAACTGTGCTGGGAGGAGACATCTCCCAGGCTCCATCCCCTCCAGTAACCCCAACACAGCACTCACAGGATATGCTGAGCTGGAAAGGACCCACATGGACCATCCAGTCCAACTCCTGTCCCTGCAGAGTCACAACCTGAGAGGATCATCCAAACACTCCTGGAGCTCTGGCAGCCTCGGGGCTGGGCCCACTGTCCTGGGGAGCCTGGTCAGTGCCCCACCACCCTCTGGGGGAAGAACCTTAGTCTGTAATTGCCTGTTCTTGCAGGGGGGCTGATGGTTTAGGTACCTTGGGTGATGGCCATGCTGTTCATCCTGCGCAGCGTCACCGCCGCCGACGGGCTGTGCAGCAGGGTCAGGGCGTAGGCAGTCAGGGCAGTGGTGTAGGGGTCTTCTGCTGAGTACAGGTTGGACTCCAAGAAGTGCTTTGCTTTGTCAACTGCTGTTCTTTCTTCCTGTATTCAGGGGGAAAGAGCCCAGACGTGTTACCAGCCTCTGTGTCTCAGAACTTACAATCACTTTATTACTCACTGTATCACATCCCTTTAAAAAAACCACCAAAAACAAAGCAAAAAAAAAAAACAACCCACAAAAAATCCAGCAGTGAACTAGGAAGGATGCATTTTGCTCTCTGCAGAAAGCTGAAGAAATTCCATGCCCCTGCAAGGCAGATGAACAGAGCAGAAGCGAGTTCTCCACTGTAGGTTTGATTGTGTTCCTGACACTCCGGAGCGTCTGGCAGACGCCAGAGGATAATAAAGGCCAAGGTTCCCAGGGGTCCCTGCAGCCAACAAACATGTTTTATTAACTCCCTCGATGACCTCACCATGCAGGAACGTGGCTCTGATAATTTATAGAAACAGTTTAATTGGACTTGATGTAATTTGGTTTCCTTTGATTTCCCTGTGGCACTAACCTTCCCCTTCCTCATTTCCTAGAAAAGATCATTAGTAACACTTGCAAATCTCCTCTAGGAAAACCATTAGACCCACAGAAAATGCACTTGCAGCAAGTAAAAAACGCTGCAACCCACGGAGAGCATCACATCCCTGCTCAGAGGGGGGCACTGAAGGGCAGGGGGAAGCTCCTCTGGGAGCATCAGAGGATTTTCTGCATTTTTCATAAGGGTGAAAGCCTTCCACTCCAACAAGAACAGGGGGTTAGGGGGCATCTGCTTGCAACAGCAGCATGCTCTCTCTTCAGGCTCCTCATCAGAAGTGCTGAGGTTAATCAGAGCTCCTGAAGGGATAAGTTCTGTTTGCACTGGGCTGTCTCGACATCTCCCCCACTCCCAGGGTTGTGCCTCAATGGGCCATCCTTTTGTCCGAGCGCAAATCACCAAGAGATGCTCTAAAATCCTCCTCCTTTCACCTTCCAGGCAGCTCTACCTACACCCACCACCCCCACCACCCTTTCCCTTGGCTGCTGGAGAGCAAGGGAAGAGCTGGATCCGTGTTCCCAGTCCTAAACAGTGGGAATGTTTAACTGTGATCTCCTCTGAGCATCTCCAGGCAAAACCACAGAGGACAGGAGCCCTGTTTTAATGGGAGTTTTAAGAAGGACTCTGAAACACCAGTTGTACTGGAAATTGTGGTTTTGTGGTGGTTTTTGTGGTTTTTTTTTCCTGATTCAGAAATCATGCAATGGAATTGAATATTCTGATAGAGCTGTTCTCTTTTCTGTAGTGTTTCTGTTCTCACTACAAAGAAGAAAAGGATTCTTCTGCAGAGCCCTCAATCCCCCCCCAGTGCAGGAGAGCAGCTCTCCAAAGGCACTTTAATCCAACAGCAGTAGCTTTTTGGCCCCTGCAGCCAAGGCAGAGCACAGCAGTTTGCTGAATCCTCGAGTTAAACTGCTCTTAGCACCAAGCCAGCTTTTCTGAGCCTTTCCAGGCAAACAACCAGGAGCTGCAGAGGCTGAAATCACACCTTGGAGCTCCAAGGCAGAGAACACTTCTTGCAGGAGTTTCTGGGAGAGGTGGAGGGATGGGGCTGCAGGGAAGTGTTTTGCTCTGGTAGAATAATCATGAGCTGATGGTAGAAGGGTGGGAGATCACCTTGAACAACTTCAGACCAGATTCCTCAACTTTAGAATAATCTCAAGGCTTTGCAGCAGCCTCTGCTGCCTGGATGCTGTCACTCAACTGATCACAGAACCTTTGAGAGCAAACAGCAGTGAAGTGAAGTTTAAAAAAGAAAATAGAGAGAATTTTTCAGAACATGTAGCACGTGAGAGCTGTTTAACTGAGTTTTTGTTACCTCAGAGGTGACACCTGTTTCCAGAAGAGATGCAACCACATAAGCTGTGAGGGAGATCTTGCCATGGATTCCCCCCTGGAAGGGCAAACAACACAAACCACCAGATGAAAACCAGAGAGGAGGACACTGGATAAAGAGCCTTGAAGCAAGACAGAGAACATGTCAGAACTAGAGAAGCTGGGGCATCCCAGAATCTCTTTTGCTTGGCACAGGAAGAGTAGGAAACTCAGGAACCCAAGATTGGTTGGACCAGGCAGTGGCCTGAGGACACACTCCATGCACACAGGACTTGTGTAGGATTTGGACATCCTGCTCTCCCTCCTCTGGGGACCCCACCCAGGCACACTTCTGCCAGACCTGTCTGAACCCAAATTCTCCTCCTTCTTCCAGCCATCCAAGTGCAAATTTCGTATTAAGCATAAGGAAAGTGCATCACTTCATGCTTTGATAAGAACTTTAAAAAGGTTCTTGTGGCGTGGTTTTTACCTGGATGTCTTTATTTAGTATCCTGCCCATAGCAGGAAAAGAACCATCTTCTTTCTGGTGCTGGATGATCCAGTCTTTGGCAGCTGTCAGTTCTTTGGGGTCGATGAAAATAAACCCACGGGACTGAGCAAAGGACTTGAGGACGAAAGCTGTGAGCCTGTAAATAGGAGTGTATCATTTTTACCGAGAAAACAAATTCAGAATAAAGTATCAGTAAGGGAAAACCAACATTCTTAGAAAGCAAACAAAAAAAATCATGTTGGGAAACATTAAATATTGTTGTTAAAAAATTCATGTGTGAAAGCACCTGAACACTGCCCAAACTTCTGGGTAAGAACAGGGCTAGGGGTCAACTAACTTGAAAAGTAGAACTCAGAGATACATTTGTTGTAGTTGTGGCACACCCCGAAATATAGTTCTTTTTTTATAGGTGCTCATCTGCCACCTAAATTATTAAAGTTTTTAAGTCAAGAATCAATATTTTTAAATTAAGAATCAATATATTTCTTATAAGAAATCCAGATCCATTGCTGAAGTCTGAGTTAGACTTTAGAGAGAGTAAAGATTTAAGGAAGCACACCAGAAGTGCTTTTGGAATTCTAAACCTCTGACAACAAGTGTGAGCACTGGCCAGCTCTGGGAGATTGAGTCATCCCATTTACAAGCCCCTGAGGAATGGGAGGGTAGCAAACACTGCCTAGCAGGGGAGTTTTCAAGTGTTAAGTAATTCCATGTCACCACATTTGACATGGAGGGACTGGGAGATGCCAGAGCTGAGATAAAAGCTCAGGGAGGCAGCAGCATCAGCGGTGCTTCCCCTCCAGTGAGTTTGGGAGGTAAATCAGTCAAAACCAAAATACAGAGCAGATGGAGAAGCCAGATGACAGCACAGGCACGTGAATGAAGACAAGGATCCACTTGAGCTGAGCCAGAGGCAGCCACACCGAGGTGATGCCACAAAACTCCCAGGCCAGGGTGTCCCAGGAGCACATCACGACATGAGCTGATCCCTCACTTCTTCATTTCTGGCTCTCCTGTTGTTCTGAAAGTCCTGCACTTATTCTCAGAGCATAAATCCACCCCAGTTCATCCATAAGAATTCTTTGGGGGTGTTGAGTTGGTTTTGGGGGGGTGGTTTTTTTTTCCCTGCCCTGGTAGAAGCCTCGGCCATTTCCAGACCCAGCACATTTCTCTGCACACACTGAGTGGTGAAGCTCCATCCCCTGGGGGAATTTGGGGCTTAAAGGCTCCATAATTGCTACTCCACTTCCAAATAGGAACCTTAAGAAGGGCTTCTGTGCCTGAACTTCATATCCAGTGTATAAATTGGGGAGAATTACCTGGAAAAGGGGCCCATCTGGGTTCGGGAGGGGGTGTCTGGCATCGGTCAGTGAGTGGTGTTTTGCCTTATTATGTCAATTATGTCAATATTATTATGATTTACCATTATTACTGCATTTTTTACTTTATTTCTGGTTATTAATCTGTTCTTATCTCAACCTCCAAGTTTCACTTTGATTCTCCTTCCCATCCCACCAGGCTGGGGGGAAAAGAGAAGCCGATTGAACGAGCAGCTCCGTGGGGTTTAAATTTCCAGCTGGGCTTAAACCAGGACAACACATTAGTGTAGATCTGACTATCTCATCTGCTCCTGAATCCTGGAACAACTATATCACACCTCCTAGGGTGGTGAGGACACTCAGCAGCAATTCTGTACTGACTGAGTGTTTACTGTATTATTCCTTTTCTCCACTGTGTGCGACACCACGACAGAGGCTGGAAAATCCCTCTTCTTTCGCAGCCAGTTGTGTATTTTTCCCATTTAGCAAACACTTCCCACTTTTTCTGACTGTGTCTTAAATAGCAACTCACCACATGCTTCCTGAGGAATCCCTCTCCCCAAAAGCGCTGTAGGAGCCGTCCTGTCTCCTGTAGGTCAGCTGGCGTTGGTAGCCTGGAAATCACAAAAGAATTGGGGGAGTCCAAAACCCTCACGCAGGGAAAACCAAGGATTTCGAGTGGATGAAGACTCAGAGCATCTGGCACTCGTGTAAGGGGTTCAGCCTCTTGTTGTGCTGTGAGTGAGAGCCAGCTCTGTGTCCATGCAGCCTATCCAGAAATCCTGTCGGGATAACATCTGGGACACTGCAGCTCCTGCCTTCTGGACACTGGAAATGTTAAAAATGTGATACTCCTCTGAAAAAAATGCAGTATCAAAAGACAGATTATTATTTTTTTCCTCAAGCCCACAGCCACTCTCCTTCTGCTCTACTGAATGCACAGTGCAGATGAAAATGGTTTGCCTTCAACAGCACAGCTGGATTCAGACTTTTCTCCAAAGCTGTTGCTTGGGACAACTTAATGCAACTGTAACATAACAAGAACAGCTGGGATCTCGATGCACACCAAGATTTCCAACCTACCAGGGTTGTCTTAAGGCTTGTTTTAAGCAACATTATTAACAAGCTGAATGCTGAAGGTAAGAACTCTCTCCTGAAATGTCTTCCTAGACTGAAAATGAAGAAAGACACTCCAAGTGCTCTTCCTACCAGGAAAATGATTTGCTTTTCAAACCTGCTGGTCTGTAACAATGAACTGCCCTTCCTAATTAAGCACTCTGGGAATAGAGGAATAAATGAGTTGAACACAGAACACACACTTGGATAAATCTCTTAAAACATCCATTGGAACTGCCCATGTCTCCTGGACTTTCCTGTTGCTCTGCAGGCTTCCAGTGCTCCCAGGGAATGCAGGTGGAATGGTTTGAAGGGAAGGAACAAAGCCCTAGAATTTCCTGATGCTCTTGTATCAACCACACCTTTGCCTGAGGATTGTGGCACAGCCACAAACACAGGGCAGAAAAGCCTAAATAATAGTTTGGAGGTTTTTTTTCTTCCTCCAAACAATAGGTGTGACATTAAATTGGATTCCTTTTCTTCTCTGCAGGCCTCAGGTTCAATTTACTACTGAGCCCTTCCTGCTCACATAGGTGGACTCACTGGAGAGATTCCCCTCTCCAGTTTTCCCCTCTTCACCTGCTTTTGTTTGTGGGGAAGTAGAAAATAAAAATGCTGACTGGTTTAGCTCAGGCCACTTCTAAAGTTTAGGGGAGGCACAGGAATTGTTGGGTGTCAGCACTTTCCACCCTGGATGACGAAGGGAAGAAGTTTTCTGGCTTGCTTAAGTCACAAAATCCTTCTGGAGCGAGCAAACAGACTTTCCCCATCTAAAACCTTGCCCTTGGCAGGGCTCCAATAAACACAGAGGAGTTTAAAACTCGGGAGGATTCCTTCTGTAAGGGTTAATTAGCCAGCAGAGCCTGGAGCCAAGAGCCTGGAAGGGTTGCAGATTCGTGAAAGGAAACAAAAGCAAAAGATGTCGCAAAGGAAACACTGACTTGGACTGGCAACAAATTCCCTTTGCCTCCTTGCTCTCAGCAAGCCCCAAACGTTGCAAGTGGAAGGAGGGGAGCCAGGCAAAGGAAGCAGCACTGGGCTTTAGCTGCTGAACACAAGAAATATCTGGCATCTTACATTTTATATTTATATTTTCAGAGGAGAACCACCTAATCCTGTCACCTCTGATTTCATGGCATGACTATTGTCTGACTCATACACAAGAGAGCTTTGTCCTTTTAGGGTCGTTCTTGGTTTTAATGATCTCTGAATTCTTAACTGAGAATTGCACTTGGTTGTAAAACTATTTTGCACGTGGCTCTTCTCAAGGAAATGCTGAGAAAAACAGTGCAAAAAAAAAAAAAAAAGGATAGATTGCTTTGAGCTGCTTAGTGAGGTAGGACAGGACACTGAAAGGACAGATAAAATCCTGCATTATTTGCCTCTAAGATAACTCTTTTGGATACTAACTTTGGATTTTGGGCACACTGTTAGTAAGAAAACACTGTTAAAAGAAGGAAGTCCAGAGGAGAGCCATGTCCTGACTAAAGTGATGGAAAGGCAATTCATGAATAAGGGCAAGTACTGAAGTGTATGGATTTTTACTAAAATTAATTTTCCTTGGCTTTCTAACATGTTTAAACATAGAAATCAGCTATCTAAGGAAAAAAAAATAAAAAAGATAAATCAATGAACAGCCAAACTAAGAGTTATTGAAGGGAAACACAGGTTATGTATGAAGGGAAAACATCTTGCCATCAAAATCTGTTCATCTGCGAGATTATCCTACGAGAAACGATGACTCCTCATCACTTGGGCCGCTCTCGATCAGAAAGCACAACGTGACACAAGGAAAACTCCCTTCCAGCTTTTCCCCCCTCTGTAAATTGTGAATGGAACGAGTTTACCTTGCACAAGGTAATCGGTGGCTTCGATCTCCACCTCCTGACTGAGCTGTTTGGTTTTCTGCAGGTACTTCAGGACAAAGACGTTGGGAGCAAAGTGGATCATGTTCTGCTCCCCACAGCCAAAGGGCAAGCGCAGGAGCCTGTCCAGGTTGTTCAGAGTAGGACCCATCACGTCTCCTGTTTGAGAAAGGGGTGATCTGTTCATTATCAGGCACTTAGGCTTGGCTTTTGGTGTCTTTCTGATTAAACCCCACCTGACTACACCTGTATCTCCTGCTTAAATAAGCTGTGTCACAAGTGGCACGTCCTTCATGTGGTCAAATCCAACGGGAGATTGAAGGGCTAAGATTAAAGAAATCCCACATTTCGGAGCTGGATTGTCCACGACTTCCCAATTTAAGGTGAGTTTGGAACACAGCACAATTTGTGATTATGATGATTATGAAATAAATGCCATGAGCTCTAACAGACAGTGCCTCTGCAAAGCCCTCAGCATCAACTTTAAATCACCCTCAACTCAAACAGGGTCCAAAAAAGCGACAAAAAACCCCCAAACCAATCGCTCGTCCCAGAATTAAGCAGCATAAACCTTTGTAAATGCCTCTGACTATCTCATCAGGTGTGCAGCACTCAAATACTGGTCAGAATGAAGTAACAGCTGGAGTATCTCTTCACATTTGATACCCAGTGACACCTCCTCAGAATTGATACCTATGATTGAAGCCGTAGCTCTTTCTGATCCTGGAATTATGTTGTGGGGAACTCCAAGAGTAAATGCTTCATTGTGATTCTCATCAGTCTCTTCTTTCCTCCAAATTTTAAACTCTCCCATTGACCCCCAGCCTGTGGAAAAGCCAATGTACTTCACCTCGAGCCGTCTGGGGACTGTCCACTCCACAATAATTGACTCATTTAGCACCCGAGTACCGTGGCCAACCTGAAAAGGGGACAGAAAAGCAGGTGGTTCCAGGAGCCCCCACATCTGCAGTCCCCCTGCCACGTGGTCCTTGGACCCCCCCCAGCTGGGATGTGCATCAGAGAAGGCTGCACATGGATCAGCTCCTTCCTCTGTCCCACCCACAAAACAGTTCAAGGAGGTTTAATGAGAACCCCACGTGCTTGACCTTCAGGGACTGAAAGTGTTGAAGGTTGAGGTCCTGGGGACAACACCGTGGCACAGCAGATTTGCTCTGATCAAAGCAGCCTGAGCAAGAATTAAAACAGGAAAGACAGCAGGAGAGAAGCTTTAACCTTTTCCACCAGCCTGAGGAAAACCTGCCCTCTGTGTGCTCTGTTTAAAAAGAGACTTTGAGACCCTCACAGAGGAGAGTTCGGTACCTGGATGACTCCGTTTTTCCAGCTGATCCAGAAGCTGCGGAACTCATCCCAGGAGAGGATCCCAGGTGTGTCCCTGCTGGCCACGGGCTCGCCCATTTTGCTGGTGGAAATCCAAGTTTTGCTGTTTTGATGCCCCCCAATAACAATCTCGGTCATCTCTGCCATGTCGTGGGGCCCCGAGGACAAGGCCAGGTGAGCATCGTTGTGGGCCTTCACAGCAATGTCAAAGTGGCTCATCTGGGCAGGTTTCTGCATGTACTGGTACTCATATTTGTTAGGGGTGGAGATGTGGATTTTCTCTAGCCAGAGAAAGGATGGAATGTGGTGAGAATTAGAGCTGAGCTTACAGACCTCAGAAATAAGCCCCTGCTGATCGCTGAATTTAAACAAACACACCTTTCCTAAGTCATGCTTTTTTCCCAGCTTCTCTTAAAACAAACTGTGACAGTAAAAGTGGATGTTTCTTCTCAGCTTTTATTTTTACATCTTTCCAATAGAGAAGATACTTCAAACTGCTCAGCTGAATTTCTCATGAAGTCTGCAAGTGATTTTTCAGCTCAAATCTCAGTGGTCAGAAGCATCTTTGTTTAGCTACTGGAGCCAACCCTGAGCTATCCAAATCTCTGGCAGAAAGGACATACTGATTCCAGAACTGAATTTTAAAACACCAGCTGAAAATATAATACAGTCCCAGTTTCTGTCCACAGTGCTGAATACTCAAACTGTTTCATAAAGTAAAGGAATTTAATGGCCATTTCCAGAAATCACTTGGGCAGTTAGAGCAAATTCATAATTAGCCAGCCAGGTTAGAAAGACTCTTTATTCAGAAATTCCTCCTCCTCACTCTAACTCATCAATCACAGAGAAATGCAAACAAAGATTTATTCTTTTTTCTTTTTTTTTTTTTTTTTTTAAGGAGATGAAGCCAAATGTTTCCATTTAAAAGTCAATCAAACAAACTGAATCTCTCATTCAAATCATGAACTTACCATTTGGGCAGAAGAACACACTGTAGGTGTATTCTCTGGACAGTCCCTCTGGCTATAGAAAGACAGAAAATCCACACATAAACCCACAGGGCTTGGATGAGCAGGAACAGATCTCAGTTTGACTTGGAAAACACTGAAATTGTGCAGTTGTTTGTGTTCTTTACAGAAAAGAGATGGCACCGTGTGCCAGCCACCAGCAGAGACCTCCCAGCACAGCATATTTCAGATTAACAGGGTAAGCTTAGCCAATAAAATCTCCATTCCTTTTTCTCCTGAACAGTACTGAAGATTCACCAGGTAAACTCAGAGCCACGTGGGCTCTTTCTGTACCACTAAATCATTTCCCACCATGCAAACAAACCATGAATCAACCTGAGGGCTCTGATAAACCACGTTTGGTTCCCTAAAAACTGGCCCGATTTGCCCCATTTTTATCTGAATTATTACAGATTCCTATTTTCTTACCTCGATAATGACACTGCTACGAACATAATCCACTCCCACTGGGGTTCTCTTGTCCAGGAAAGCATCCTCAGAGTGTTTGCCGTTCTTTAAGCTCTGCATCCCCTCCTGACAGCAATTAGTCCCACCATAAGCAAAAGCTTTTGCTGAGGAATAGAAGGGAAAAGCAGCAAGTGTTTTGAAACAGGAAGATGCCCAGGAGCTTAAGAGAAGATGGGAACTCATTAGATCCAGCTAATTAACAGCACATCAAGCGGTTTGGAATCACAGCTCTCTCCTTATGCCATATTTGAGTGATCACATCTAAAACCAGGCAAGACTTGGCCAGTCATGGGACAACAGAGAAACTCTTCTCTAGTTTTCAGTGTTGGCCAATTTTTACTGGGATTATCTGTTGAAAGATGTACAAAATCTGCCGTTGTTCTCTTATTTAAAAATCCCCACTGATCCCTCCAGGTCCAAACCTCACTTAAGCAAATATCAAACAGGAAAACTGATAACCAGGGAACCTCCTGATCTTTTAACAGGCTCTCCCACGCATGGCAGGTGGAGAAATAAGAATTTTCTGCCGAAAGAGGAATCAAAAGAAACGCTTGTAAAGCTCCTTCAAGCAACAAGCTGCTTTTAGTTCTGTCCTACCCGTGATGTTGCTCAGTCCCAGCTCGTTGAAGGAGAGAACGATAGAGGTGGGTTTGGCTTCCCCGGGGGCAACGCATTTCTTTCTGGTCAGGTGGTGCTTCCCAGGATGCCCAACAAACTTGATACCTTTTGGGACAGAAATCTTCACGTGGACCTGCGAAAACGTCGGGATTTATTGCAAATTTCAAGCTGCGAAGCCACCTGTGAAAATTCCGCGAGCCACGAAAAAACACTTCGCAAAAAAATCACAGCACAGGGATTTGCTTGTTCTTCCAGCTTTCTAGGCATGCACTTGAGTGAGAGCAGCACTTTCAGCTCAGCAATTCTACAAATATTCCCAGGAGATGCTACTGAGGGTAGGGAGATAGTGAGTTTGAGACAGGATTTCTTGAAAAACGAACAAACAAATAAAAACCCCACTCCTTGTGGCAGCTTTCCAACGACGAAGGAATTTCTGTGATCCACAAGGAGCTCCCTAATTTCCTTCTCTATATTTTTTTCCCCCTATACTTTTCAATATTTGTATTTCTGAAGTGCTGCAAGACACTCCAGACCACTGCACGATGTGTTTCAAGCTGAAAGCAAATAAAACAATGACTCTTATAGCAATATTTACCTCTTCAAGGCCCCTGTGCTGAGCTTACCCCTAACACGAGGCTGGTCCCTCACCTACTGTAACTTGGGGATCACTGGGATGTTCTGATAGCAAACCAGAGCTGAGGTGCCCAGCAAGGAGGGGGTTGTTACCTCCACACACACAGCCAGGTAGTTGTAGACGGTGAGGGGGATTTTGGTCTGCTCCCCGCGGATGACGTGGTAGGGCAGGGTGAAGTCGATGAAGAAAGGCTTGAAGGTCTTCAGCTCTGTCTGCCTGGCAATGCCCAACCCCTTCTCCTCAGACAGAGCCACGGCCTCGGTGATCCAGGTGGTGATGGAGTCGGGCACTTCCACGCTCAGCTGGGCTTCTCCCGAGGTGTCACTGCCCAAAGGGACAGGGAATAACTTGGGGTCAGCAGATCAACTTCATTCCGAAGCCTTTAATTCAAGTGCACGTTTTGGGGGAGTTCCCTCCACGTCTGAATTTATAAGAGAGCATCAGTGACTACTTTGAACAGCAGTTTATTAAAGGCTCAATGTTTTTTATCGGTTGAGGCCTGTAAATGTTTATAATGAGAACAGCAAGTGGTTAGTTCTGCAAAACAGTCTAAACATACAAATTTGTATGGGATTAAAACCTTTATTTGCAGCCTCATCAGAAAGTGAGTTTTCTTATGTGGCAAATGTCTGCACCAAGTCAAAAAAACCCCTACCACAAATAAAACTAAAAAAATTCCACCAAAATCCCAAACCAACCAACCAACCAAAAATAAAACAAAACAGAAACAAAAACCCACACCAAAACAAACAAAAAAACCAACAACAAGAACTAAAAAAAAAAAAGTTCAACAATAATTTATTTAATTATATCAGCATTAATATCAGCTAGTGAAATAAAAGTATTTTTTGTTGTCCCTGTGTCCAGTTCCACACTGCAGACTCTGCTTGAATAGAAGGTCAAATGAGAAAAATTAAAGTTATTTTAACTAATTCCTTAACATTTAAGCCCTCATCCTAACTGGGATTATGCCTCTGGTACCTGCAGTAATCCCCAGCCCTGAAGAATCAGCAGAAGGGTGTCCTGGCTCCAGGACTGGCAGGATTCCAGTCTGTTTAACCGGACAATTTGTTGCAGCTGATGTTCTTTCCACTGAGATTGCAGCCCATAACCAGCATTAACATTATTTTCACACATGAGGGCACTTACTCTTCTGGGCGGGGGGCCAAAGTACACACTCATTTCCAGCCATTAGACCCTCCAGCCAGGCTCTAGGAATTTTTAGAATTGGTTTGGGAAGTTGACATTAGGCTTTTTTTCTTTTTTTTTTTTTTTTTTAAGGATTGTATTTTATGATTATAAGTGGTAGAAGAAAAAAAAAATAAATTCTTCCTGTTCAAGAGAGTGGAAATGAAGGAATGGTCAACTCGGTTGTTCCTAATGAAATGAAGTGGAGAAAATGCAATCTGCAACTTTTTATTCCACACTCTCCCCCACTTATAATTAACTGCCCCAGCTTGCTGAGGCCCAAACAGGCACTTCTGGAATTCTTTGTGTATTTCTACAAAGCATATTTCATGCTCAATTGAGCAGATTTGAATACACTTGCTCCAAGTTCCTGTCAAATTCAATTTGCAATCATTTATTGAGAAGGAAGTTTACTTGCAAACCTGGAGAAGCCTTTTAATAATTGCTTCAAATTATCCCAGAGGTGCTGCTGTGGGAGAGATCAGTTATCTGTTTCTTCATTTTCTTACTTCCAGCTGTACCCAGAGGAAACCACAATTTATGAGGCAGTAAATTAAGGTTTGGGGGAGATGCTTTGGCAACAGAGAAAGAAGGAATTTGAAAAGCAATCAGTAGAGAATCAGTGTGGTCACAACTGGCAGGTTCCACTTGGAGGAGGTGAACGCACCTCAAGATCAGATGAAATGTTGCCAAGAGCATTGATTAAAGTGGTAATGAAGAAAAACAATGAAAAAAACACCAGAAAACACCAATGGAACTCCAATAGGTTTTACAGAGCTTTGTTTTTTGTAGCTGAACAAAAAACTGGATGTAATCAAGTACCTGACGTTGAGGCAATGCCAAATCCACGTCTCAGGAAAGAAGGTTCTCTTTCTCTTCTCTGCCCTGCTGGAACAGGAAAGGAGTCCTTGTGAATGAATTCTATTATTAGGACAGTTTTAAGTGATAAATCAGAGAGTTATCACCCGACTGCAGCTCCCATCACCAAAATTCTGGCTCGCTGCAGACTCATTCACCAGCTGATCACTCGTAACACAAATTACAGGGTCCCCTCAAAAACCCCACTGTGCTCACACACACACTCTGCACACATAAATAAGAATGTAAAAAAAAAGCCAGTACAAATAAGATGACATTATTTCTGCTAGTTTTAAAGAGTGTCTGATTTTATGATCCAAATCCTTTTACTAAAGGAAGTCAAAGGGAGCACTCTGAGCCTGGGGCTTCCAGGATATGATATGGCCTAACTGACAGCAGTTACCACAATCACTACTTCATATTCCTCTCCCTTTCTTCTCTTGGACTTGTCTTGACCTCTAATATTTTAATTATTTAGTCACTTTTCCTACACCTTCGTTATCTTTTTGTTAATTAACCCCCTGGCTCTGCTTAAGGGAAGCTCCCAGGATGTTCAGGATGCAAATGAAAAGCCCAGAATTGCTCACTGCACCTCAGGGTTTATTCTTCCTGCACCTCAGGCTTTATTCTTCCTGCACCTCAGGCTTTATTCTTCCTGCACCTCAGGCTTTATTCTTCCTGCACCTCAGGCTTTATTCTTCCTGCACCTCAGGCTTTATTCTTCCTGCACCTCAGGCTTTATTCTTCCTGCACCTCAGGCTTTATTCTTCCTGCACCTCAGGCTTTATTCTTCCTGCAACCCCTCGTTTTGCCCACCAGTTGAACGGCCAAAATATCAAACAATTCACTCTGTGAAATCAGCTCTGCCTTGCAAATGTTGAGAAGAAGCAACTAATTCCCAGAAAATTCACATGTGAAAGTGATTCCTATCATATCTTATCAAATCACATCATATTCATATCTTCATTTTCAAGACTATTTCTCTATGTTTTTCCAGAATTAAACTCAATTTAACAAAGTAATGTCAGCTCTAAGTTTTGTTAAGTCTATCAAGACATCCCTTTAAACCTGGGAGTAGGGGAGGTGGAAAGCAGCTGATAGCAGAGAAAAAAAATCAAATTATTCGGAGTAAATGGACAATATATATTTATATATAAAAAAAATATGTTACCTTGGTGTTATTTTAGAGTGCATTGTGGCCACCAAGGTCCCAGTGTGTGGCTGGAAGGCTGGCACAGCCTCATCTGTGTACATTCCCCCGTTCTGCCTGTGGTTCAGGCTGACTATGTCAGTCATCACCACCAAACCGGTTTCCTAGAGCGTGCAAACAAAGACCACGAAACAAAAACCAGCAAGGGAAAAGAAATAAATGAAGGGAATTAAATGTGGAGCGAGAAAAAAACTTTTAAAAATAGAATTCCTCAGTCCTGCTGCAACATTTATGGGGTAAATCTCAATTGAAACCTGAGGACCTTTTAAAAATCTCCTATAAAAATGAAGATACATTGGCAGGGGTTTTATGAGAAAGCTCTTGTCTGCTTGGTAAATGCATTTAAATCATTATCTAACATTACTGGGCGTGTGTGACTGCCAGGCAGCTACAGGTAAAAGAAATCACTACACAGATTTTTCCCTTAGAATGCAACATTACAGCTTTTTACCCTTCCTAATATGTGAAAGCCTTTGGGGTTTAAGGCAACATAAGAAAACAATTTAGCTAAAAATGCTAGGAAGGACAAAGAATGAGGAGAGAGAAGGGCTGTAGGAAGGCAGGATCATTATTAGCAGCAGTTATGTGGATTAAAAAGGGGAAGAACATCACTGGTTCTCTAGGCCAGTCTGTATTAGCATGTCTTAAAGCCCACAGGTGACTGTTCTCAGCTTGAAGGACTGCACTGTTTGTATCCAAAGCAATGGAAAAAACCCAGAATTTCTTTGAAATGCTCAACTTGAAATTCCATGCCAATACACAGCACAGATCAAAGAAATAAGATATTTAAAATCTGGCCAGGTTTAACTATATAGAAAGACACCAAGCAAATGTAACCACTGAAATAGATGGCATTTAAGCAGTAACTTGATTGAGGATACAAAGAAAACACTCCTGGTCTTTCATGCAGATGGGCCACAGAAGCTGGCAGAGCTCGGGCAGGAAAGAAATGTGATTTCCAAAGGGTAGTCCAAAAGGGAAAAGGCTACAAGGAAAGACTCACATTCCACCTTCCTTCCCTGTCAGAGGAGCTGCAGAAGAGACCTGCCAGCTCATCCGTGGCTGGAGGAACCTTCTGGTCCCTCTAATTCTCCAGAGTACCAGCATGAACTCCATCCCCCAACAGGGCAACTGGCCCTCCCATCAAACCTGGCCCAAATCAAACCACATCTCTCCGATATTTTTGCTGGAACAGCGAACAGTCTCAAAAACTACTCTCCAACTTTCACCCCCCCGGGAGAGACAGCTCTGGCAGGGGCAAAACACAGAACTGACAAATCATCTCTGCAAACACGAAAGCAAAACAACTCCCTGGAGAAGGGAGGCTGCTGGTTCCTACTGTGAAGGCGAAGCGAGCGTCCTTGGTGATGTCCCAGTGCCAGGGGAAGACCGAAGAGCGGCGGCGCCGCCGGGAGGACATGCCCGGCCACCAGAAGTGCCCGTCCTCCTTCGGAGCCCCGAAAGCATCGGACACGTCGTACTCTGCCAGCTCCTGGAAGACCTGCAGGGAAAAGGAGGGAAAGGGTGAGAGGCTGCTGTGCTTGGGTGCAAAGCGGGGCACGAGGTGGGCGTGGATCTCGTCAGCGCCCTGAGCTCCTTCTACCTGGCTGGCTGTCAGCTGGAAGCCCGTCTTCAGCAGGTACACGCTCTTGTCCACGGTGGCAATGCAGACACAGCTGGATTTGGCAGCTCTGACCTTGATGTTGACGACGTCCCGGGTCTGGTCTCGTTTGCCGAGAGCGCCACAGCAACCTGGGAGCGATGGTTTAACCGCGGTGATGCGGGCGGGTTAAACTGCAGGGGGGAGCAGAACTCATCCCTGCCTTCCCCCTCCCCGGCTCCAGAGCCCCTACCTGGTTCTCAAAGGAGGAGTTGACCGTGAACTGCAGGCTGTCTGTGACCCCCTCTCCGTTCTCCCTCACGTAGTACACCAGGAGATGGCCCAAGGGAGCCATGGAGTGAAGGACCGAGAACCTCAGGAACGTCACACACACCTCAACCTCTGCTGCAGGAGGGCTGGTGGGTGCTGGGACAGAAATGGGGGAAAAGACAGTCTTATTTACCAAAATCTCTCCTCTTCCCTCCCCATCCTAATGCTGGGAGGCACACAACTCTCCACCCAATTCTTCTATTCTTCCCTGTTGTTCCCTGTGTTTTTCTTCAGTTCGATCTTTTCCCTCTTTCTCTTCTTTGTGAAAGCTGATGGGCAATTAGCACCCTTAACATAACCAGGCAGCACAGAGAAGGTAGATTTTTCCAGCCATAAAAATCAAAGAAAATACACAGTTAAGTTATCCAGCCATTAAAAGCAAAGCAAAAAGGGGTATCTACTGCTGCAAAACTCAGCTGAGAGAAAAGGCATCAGTGAATTTGAAAAAGATTAGGCAGAATCACTGCAGCAGTTAAATAGAGTGGCCCAATGGTTTGGGTTAGGAGGAAGCTTTAGGGATGATTTAGTTCCAGCCCCCTGCTGTGGACAAGGACATCTTTCACAGGATCAGGTTGCCCAAAGTCCCATCCAACCTGCCCTGGAACAATTCTACAGACAGAGCAACCACAATGCCTTTAGTCAGGCTGTAAATGCAACAAACCTTCAGTGCAGAAAGTCATTCCAAATTCCCAAACCTCTGGTTCCCAAAAGCTGGGTTGGGTACTTGTTTTACTCTTTGCCTGACTCCCAAACTGGTTGCTACTGCAGGCAGGTTACCAGCATAGACACGTTCTTTGGCAGCTGTTACATGCATCTTCCTAATCTTTATCCCCCTGCTCCCTAAATTCACCAGATTTGTATTTTTATGTTATTCCTTGTTCAAACTACGAGTCCACACTTCATTTTCCTTCCATGTGTGGACTGCCTGATCTCCTCCTTTAGCCTGATCCACGTTATTAGTCCATCTAATGTCCTCTTCTCAGTTCAAGCTCCACCAGCTCACACTGCCCCATCCCATCACACATTTCCTTGACACTCTGCTGAGCCCAAGCCAAGCAAAGATCAGTTTTCTTGACACAGAAAGACTGCAGAAAGACTGGAGAAAACCCTCCAAGAGTTATCCCTCAGGGAATTCTTTTCTATGCATCACTATTTTTCTTGCACAAAATGATTCTGTGCTCTTTGAGGAGCATCCAATTCAAACAAAGCGGGTCCTTAGGTTTGTGGAAAGGTGGTTGTTTTTCCCCCTGAAAGCAGGAGGGGGATTGCATTTCTGCTGCCATCTACCTGTTCCTGGGAAGTGTGTGATGCCAGTGTTCTTCCCAGAGGGGGAGGTGGCTCTTTTGCTCCTCTGCTGGGTGACGTTGCTGGGCTGGAGCCCCGAGAGGACGATGTTGCCTCGTGATGCCACCTCGTAATGCAGGGTGAAGTTGCAGGGACAGGTGGACTTCACTGCAATCCAAGCCTCCTCTCCCACCTGCAGCCAGAGACAGGAACAGCAAGAGATCTGGTGTGTTGCAATGCAAGCTTTTGATTCAGAAAGCACAGAAGCCCCCCTGGGTTTCAGGCCACGGGAGGTGTGACCCCCCCTCTCCTAACAAACATAAGCATTGGGAAGTTGTGTTACATCAGCACTGTTGTCATGGGCTTTCCTCACAATAAAAAGGGGCCAGTGTTCAGCTCTCCACTCCCTGCAAATCTCCAGGAGAATGAGCTGGGGGCTGTATGCATTAATGAAACAATAAAGGAATCTCTGGAATCCTGGAAGTTAAGCCTTTTGGCACAGAGCAGCTGTCAGAATTGGTTGAATTTTAGACACCCCTTTAGTAGCCTAGCCCCAAAAAATGAAAGAAAGAGATGGGTTGGGGGTGGGAAGAGATGTGTGTTGGACAGTCTTTGCAGTTTAACTGTGATTATACCCAGGAGTTGCATTCATGTGGCAAACACGAACTCAAACACCACCAGTGTGGTGTGAAATTACTGGGAATAGATCTGAGGGAAAATGTTCTCCAATTACACAAGTCTCGATAATAACTTGTAAGTCTGGCACTCAGGGAGGTGTCAAACACACAAATGAATGAGAAGAAAGTTCCCAACGAAAACTGGATGTTAAATCCCAAAGAAATCTTTGGAAAAACCTCATCAAGTGTTCTCCTTCCAGAGTGTCCACAAAGTACAAACCAAAAGGGCAGAACTTGACTCTAAGGAGTTGCTGATGGTTCAATACAGTGGGAATGCCAGAGAGTCCAGGGAGTGCCTCGTGACATTAAATATTTGAAGTATTAAGAATTCCCCCAGTGCAAATGATGAAACAGTTCATTAAAAAATGAATGTAGCTAATTGGAACACCCAGTAAGAGCTGGCAGTGCAGGGAAACAGTTCCCACATCAGCTGGTCATCCAACTCCCAGCTTTCCCACAGTAGAATTAGTTCTAATCAGGTTATAATAAGAACAATGTGTTCAGATTAGCAGTGTATAATCCCCTTTCCATACCTCAGGAAACTTGTAAAAGATTAATTAGCCATTAAACTTCCATGAAATTCAACGATTTAAAAAAAAAAAAAAAAAAAAGCTCTTGTTTGGATACAAAGAATCTGAAACCAACCTGACAGACCTGCTGATAACAGAAATTTAAGTGTATGTATTACCAAAAATCACTTTTTCCCCCCACAAAGCAATATGCAGACCCTCAGAACACCTCCCTGGGTAAGAAGAAACCCTAAACAACTCCCAGAAAACAATATGCAACAGGAATCATGATTAAATCAGACCTTTATGAGAGAAATGACAACTTTTGTAGGGCAGGATTACCATTCTAGAGAGGCTCCTACCAAACCTACAAAAGATGAGGCAGCTGTGTTCATGGTTCAGTAACTGGAAGAACAAACAGATACAGCTGAGATTTAAACTGGAAGTTCTAGTGAGACTACACAGCCTTAATTTTGATTGAAGCCACCCCAATAACACGAATTTCAGTGATCTCCACAACCCAAAGCAGAAGGAGGTGCTGCCCAGAGCATCGAAGGTGCTTTGCTCAGCACTGGGTGTGACCACACTGGACAATTCTTTGGTGGTTGAAGTGAAGTTCCTTGAAGTTTCCTCCCTTTGGAGTGGAAACAAAACCAGTTCAGGATCCCAGAAACCCCCAGAAATGTTTCATTAGAACTAAGAACTTTCAGCCAAGAATTGTTGCCGTGAGGGAACGAGAAGCCAACATACCTGGAAAGGTTTGTCTGGTGCCTGGAGCTGGATGTGGCACTTGCTGGGCGAGTACCAGCTGCTGATGGACAAGTAGTTGGGCAGATATTGATCCCCTGAGGGTTTCCCATCAATTCCTGTCACTTTGGTCTTTAAAAAAAAGTTACACCTGAATGTTATGCATAGAAATCCTGATCTGTGCTCTTTTATGTTGTATCCTCTTCTCCTATTTTATGCTTTCCAGTGGTTCATCTCTTGTCATTTATACAGCAACATTACTCCCCAAATATCAGACCCTTGCTACCATGCTGAGCTGTATTTGGAGAAGTATCTTTCCATGGTGGTTTCTCAGCATCAGTTCTATTGGCAGCAGGAAACAAAGCTTTTTTTGTTTTTTGTTTGCTGGGTTGAAATCCAGAAGCTGAAAAGGCACCGGTTTGCTGTTTGTAGCACTGGTTTCTAAAGTGCAGGTTTGACAAGATTAGTTACATTAAAGCCTCTTAATCCCATAAAGAGCTTTTACTCACCTCCAGCCAGACATATTGGGCAGCTGTGGGGATGGAGGGGATTTCAAACTCCACCAGGCCATTCCTTGACACCAGCTCACTGGTGTAAACGTTGTCCTTGGGTGTGAGCTCAGCTTTGATTCGGATGGTGACCCCGTCAGCTGGGCTTCCATCGGGGTAAGTGACTTCCACCTACATTTATAGAATGTTTTACATGACCAGCAGTTCCAGTCAATGACAAGTGGGAAAAACACACCAGAGAACACGGTGTGACATCCTGGGATCAAGCCAGGACATCCTCAGGGTGGCTCTGTTTTGATCTTACCTTCCCTTTGTAGGGCAGCCCAGGTTTGAACTGCTTTCTGGTGTCCTTGGAGTACTTGATATCAATCAGCTGCTTCTGGACAGGTGTTGAGTCATCAAATGTGACCTGTTTGCTGCCATCAGAGCTAATCAGGGTGGCCCAGATGTTGACAGTGCCTCGGAAATGCTCTGGGACATCGGCTGGCATCATGTCCTTGACACACACGTCGAAAGCAGCCGAGCCATCGATCTGCAGGTTGTGTTGGGGAACAGAAATGCAGGTTTGCATTCACATCCAGAGAGGGTCTATGAGCAGTGTCTGAATCACAGGTGCCAGAGAGGAGTTTGCAGCAGGATTTTTAAAGGATTAGGAGTGAAGGGAGTTAATTGGGGAGTGGATGAAGGAAGGAAGAAAGCAAGAAAGTTTCATTTTCCTCCTTATCCTTGGTTTGGACTATTTTGTTACAATCTCTCAGTCTCTTGTTCTCCTCAGCCCAATATGCTCTAAAACCAGATTAACACTATGCCAATAAATTCCCATCCCCCCAAATCATAACCAGACCATGCAAAAATAAGTATTTTTTTTATTATTATGCTGGACCTAATTGTCCCATTTTCCTCTTCAGTTTCTGATCTCCCACCAGTAACAAAACAGGAACACAGATCACAGGTGAGTCAATGGTCCTCCTCACCTGGGTGGTCTTGAGGACAGGGTGTCCCACTTCATGCCTGTAGTACCCCACACCATTTATAGTCATGTTGACAATTAACTTCCCTGTCACTGGTTTCCCAAATGTGTATCTGAAATGGAAAGAAGATACGGAATAAATTCCAGATAAGTTTCTTTTTTCCTGCTTATATCAAGGCAATAACATGTTACCTGCACATCTAGAAAACAGGAAAAAAATAGCACAGTTTTCCAGCTTATTTTTAACATTCTAGGGAGGCTCTTACATGAGAAAGCTGATAATGATGACAAGAATTAACCTGAAAAGTCAGCAGCAGGTGGGATCCAATCTCCAGTGGCTGCACTACAATCCAGAGTAATGAAACTCCATTTGGGACCTGTTCCTACCTGGCATGGACAGTTCCTTTCTCACACAGTGAGAGGTCCCGAATGTAGCGAGGGGGGTCGATGAGCAGCTCGAACTTTGGTAACACTGCAGTGAAAAAAATACAGCAGGGTCTTTGCAAGAAGAACTCGTTGCCCAGGTTATGCAGAAAGCCCACACAGCTCTGACCAGATCCTTCTTGTGGCCCATCAGTCAACAACAGCAGCGAACCAAGACCATCTTAGCAAAGCACCCATTTACCCAGGCCGAAAGAATTATTCCTCATGGCATTTTAAAGGCATTATTCCAGGTGTTCCCTCAAGAGAAAACATTTCACAGTGTTCTGTTCTTCCTGGTGCACTCGGGTTCCAGGTCAACTCACCGTATTTCTGAACTTCAAAGGATTTGTTGTAGGTGTGTCCCTGCAGCTCAGCGAAGATGAGCCAGTCCCCGAACACCGGCTGGTCGGACAGGGGGAAAGTCATGTTGACAATACCTGGGGAAAAGGAACCACGTTGTGAACTCTGGGCCACTGCTCAGGCAGGGCCAAGGCTTATCGAGCACAGCTCAGGGGAAATCTGAAATCTGCAAAACTCACCACAACAGAACGGCTTCAGATTGCTCCACTCGATCATCCGGGACCCCCGAGGATCCTGCACCAGGTTTAGGAAGGAGAAACATCCCAGGGAAAATGGGCATCACTGAGGCATTGAACTCATTTTGTAGCACACACACTTTCACTAGCAGCCCAAATGTAACCAATATTTGTGTTCTGGAGATGCTTTACCAGGGTATTTGCTCTCTAAAATTATGGAAGAGCACTGTAACCAGTGCACACAAGCCAATGCTGACAAGCAGCAGATCTTCCACCTGTCCTAAGACACCTCTTTTGGATGGGATGAACTGACCTCTGGAAACACTTTATTGCTATTTCCTTGCCATGGATTTCTGTTGTCCATTATCAGAATGTTTGAGTGCAGAGATGAGGTTGGCCCTGCTACTCCAGCCCAGGCAGAGGAAGGATGGGAGTGGATCTGAAGGGCAGAACTGAGTGGGACTGTTACCCTTACAAATCCCAGTAAATACAGCCAGTTCCTCTCAGGTTGAAAAATGGGAATGGATTTCTGAGACTGAAGGCCAGAACCAGGATATTTTTGTTGGTGGTAACAAAACAGCAAGACACAAAGAGCAGTTAAAGACACAGGGAGAGGGATAATTGCATGGGATAGGTTGGGAATGGCCAAAATGGCCAGGTGTGAGATGGGCAGACAGGTACTCACCACCACATAAGCTTCAATCTGAAAGAAAGGGAAAACAAACAACAAAGGACTTTATGAAACAAAGCTGCTTTTCTGCTTTTTGGGATAAACAGCTGACTCGGCACGAGCAAGGTGTGATACACGAAGTGACAGAGTTCAAACATCTCTTCTTGGCCAAGAGTGGCCTGAGAAACACACATTTCATCCACAAATCTAAGTGGAAAAGTAATACTTTGCTTATCTGTGCACTGCCTAAATAAGGTGCAAGGCAGATAAATTCTTTATTCTGCTCTGGCATATTTGCCTCCTATTTTGCAGCACTCCAAAAGCCTGTGTTCTCCTTCAACAGGAATGTGACCAAGTGAAAAATCTGAATTGCAAATACAGTAAGTTAGCACAGGATAAGATTTAATAGGTTAAAAAAAGCCAGTGAGATTTCTGCACAGATGTGCATCAGAATAAAATACAGGCTACCAAGTCTTCCAACATATTTTATACTGTGAAAGAAAAGTTTCCTTTACCTTGTCATTGACCGGTCTCAGGTCAGAATTCACCATAAAGAGGTTTATCAACACTGAGGAAAGGAAAAGAAGACATTTATTAATCACCAGAGCTGAGGCTGAGCAGGACAGCTCATCCTAGAAACTACCCTTGAAGAAAGCTTTGCCTGAAAGCAGCCCTAACCTGGCCAATTGCCCAAATGTACCTTTCTGCTTGGGTTTATAGACAGGTTTGTCAGTCTGGATGAACACTGAGGACCCTTTGCTGTCGATGGTGACTGTGGTGTAGTTGTGGAAGATGTACCCTTCCCCTGCCAGGTGCCTGTTGCCCCAGACTTTCAGGTGGGCTTGTCCACGAAGCCCTGAGGGCACCTGGAAAACAGAGCAGGAGGTGAGGGAGACACAGAAAAAAACCTTTGAGCTTTTGAGGGGGATTTCAGTGACACTGAAGTGAGCAAGAGCAGTCACTGCTGCATTGCAGTGTGTCAGTGGGAAAGAGCAAAGGAAGAACACACTAGACCTCCTACAACATGGAAACTTCAAAGGAGACAAAGTTCATGGCAGGAAATTCTGTTCTGTCCTCTGTCACTCATGCAAAGTGATATTTGAGCTGTGATCTGCACGTGCAGCTTCCACGACAGAAGGTGCTACGTGGACCACCCAGCTCTACCAACAGAGAAGTAAAACCCAACCACTAGCATAAAAAAGCCCCACCCCAAACAAAAAGTGCATGCTTGCACATTTTCAACCAGTCCCTCAGACTTTTGAAATGACAGCAGATTAAAAATGACACAGTTAAAAAAACCCCTGATAATACAATTCCAGCAGAGGGTCACAATTCACTATTTACATCCCAAAGATGACAAGTCCAAAGTGAGCCCTAAGTTAACAGAGCCAACACTTTGAAAGGCTTGTTCTTCAGTCCAGCTCAATTCTGCCTGCATTTGAAGTCATAAACCCCCCATTAACCACACAAAATTCTGTACCGCCCTTCTTATCAAATAACCCCAACACAGAACTTCGTGATGAGCCACGAGTCGCTGATTTTCTTTAGTGGTTTAAGGGCCTGACAGGTGAGCTGTGATGGGTCAAGCTTTGCTCTTTTCACTCTCCACTCTCTGTCTTGTGCAGGTTGTCTCCTCCTCAGTGTGTGCCCCAGAGTGTGATGTGTGTTTGTGCCTCAGCTGCTCAGAGGGAAACGCCTGATGTGGCTGAGGGAAAGTCCCTCATGCTTTCACCAAAAACATCTTAAAATAATTGACACTCACCTTCAGTTTAATTGTTCCTTTATCTAAAATAAGAGAGAGAGAGAGTTACTCTCAAGATAAGGCACTAACATTTTAGATATTTGCAGTTTAGCAAAAGAGACCCCAAACCTCAGAGCTGCTCCCTGACACACACTCATCACCATTTCACCTGAAGTAATTTTCCTGCTCTGCAAAACAATCTGCAGGGTGAGCAAGCTGGACCAAGAGGAGTTCTCCAATATAAACTCGGTCCACATTAATTCACAATTTTTGGCCCGAGATAAACTGCAAAGTTCTCCGTGGTTGGAGAGCACCATCAGGGCTGAGGTTTCACCCCAGAGCAGCCTGTGCTTACAGAAGTATTTTGCTGTTAAAAGGAACGTGGCCTCTTTTGGGACCTGAGCAATTCTCAGACACTGATAGGATCTATTTTGATTGCTGGATCCAGGCATACCTAAGAGTTCTCCTGAACATGTGCTGTGCACATGTGTAAGCATCACCCCTCCCTTGAATTAATTTGCAATTGTCAGCCAGTTGCAAAGGCAACAAGGGGAGGATAAAACCAGAGCCAATATGTTCCAAGAAAGGAAATGGCTTTTATGTAACTCCCAATTTTAACACACAGAAGGGTTAAAACATATGATGGTTAAAGAGCCTGATTGCCTGAGCCTTGTCTCCCACACAGCTCCCACCCCCCTAGCAGTGGTTACAACAGTGCTACTGCACTCCACTTTCACCAGTGTAAATTCACTCAGCATTAAGTTGGATGTGATCAAAACACTCTGTCTTTATTCACAGGATAGAGGTATCTGCCTTGGATTTTAATGACTTATCCAACTGCACAAATATTACCACCTCTCTCAGCCACACTCAGTCCTGAAGATGGGGAGACTGCATCCCCAGCCCTCATTTTTAAATAAAGGACAAAAAATTATGATGATAACGATGCAGATTTTATGTTTTTCTTTAAAATAAAAACTTACCCTATTCCTTATATAGCTCTCCAGTGTAAACATTCAGGAAAGATATTCACTATAAAACTTTGGAATGTCAACACCTGAGTATCTCTTGGCGTTCCAAAAGATTGACCCGTTTGTTATCACATACCTCAAAACCACACTGACACAATCAGCTGAGCTGGTGTTCATCAGCCAATTAATCAGATATTAGTTTGGCTCCAGTTCCATTATCACTTAAAGTAGTTAAGAGATCTTGTGCTCCCACAGCACCTCAATTTACAAAGTAGTTCCCAAGTGCAGAATGACAGGGCCTCACCCAGAACTGTTCCCTGGCTCTGGGACACAGTTTCTCCTTTCACCACCAGCTGGATCTGGACTGTTGTCTCCTTGGCAGAGTTGAAGATGGTCACACTGATGGCTTCCTCCACACCAGCTCGGAAAACAGAAGGTGCTGCAATCAAATAACCCCTGAGGAGCAAAATTAGAAGCGATCAGTCAAGACGCAGCAATAAGAGCATTTTCATGATTTGTGAGCCACTCTCTGGGTATCAAAAAGAAAAGAACAAACTGCTCTGTGACGTGTTTGTCCCTGTATGGTCACATTTGTGACCACCAGCAGTCCAAGCCTGTGTCTAATATGAATAAATGAACACGGGATGCACATAGAAACCAACCCAAGTGCTTACAAATGGCTTATAAGTCCTTAGGATTTAAATAAAACCAGTTCAATATCGATGTTTATGGCACATATATAATAAATACATTCATTTATATGCAGCAAACTGAAGATACAATGAGCTGGTTATATACTATATGTAACAAACTAAACATTCAACCAGCTAATCATAAAATATCTGAAGTTCATGAAGGAATAAAGAGGTACCTGAACCTCTGGTAGAGTTTTGCAGCCAATGCTTTGTTTTGAAACAGTTTAGATACTTGTAACATTTTTGCCTCAATTATTTTTCATGGCTTCATTTTGATACTCGGCCCTTTCTCAGTGTCAGACTCACCCATATGTAACACCTGAACTTCCAGATTATGCAGGAGCAGCCCAGAAACTGCAATCTAATTACAAGATTAGGTTGATCCCCACTTTTTTATTTAAACAATTATGCCCTGCAAGTTTAAAAACACCAGAAAAAACAAAAAGTATTATTTTAGCAGGCACAAAAAGAGTTTTAAAGCCACCCCAGATGACCTCCGAGAGATGCTGCAATCCCAGTGTTTGTGAATGGAATCTGCACCACTCCTCCGAGAATGGCACCGTGCCATGAACTTGTCAACTAAAAGCATTACAGGCTCTGAGCTCTTTAATGCACTGGGCTGGAAGCAACACATTTATATTCTCTTCGTGACACACCTTTCTGGGGGTTATTTCTACCCAAAAGGATTTTTTTTTTTTTTTTTAACCCGAGGCAATTCCTGAGATGCCTCTCCCAGCACAGTTTCTCAGCCCATGCCCTCACCACAGTCCCCCGAGCCACGCTGCTTTAGCTCATGATTAATTATCACTTGGGGATGAGGATGATGGTGTTTTACAGCCCCCAAGTCATCTTTTATCAAATTCCAAGGCCGTGTTTCTCTCTCAGCAGGCCTCATTGCCATGGAGATCCCATTACCCCCCAAAGGAAGTTCAGAACTCTGTGGCATTCGAGTCAAATCGCATGGGGTACTTGCAGATTCAAAACCTTCTGGCTGCCAGGTTTGAAAGTTCATCAGAGCAGTAATGAATAACAATAAAAAGTTACTACTGAGCCTGCAAATTCTTGGTCAGAAAGGGATAGCTGATCTAGCTGCAGAGTGAGAAGGAGTACCAGCTGTATTCGGGATGAAATTATAGGATTTAAGCTGTCACATGAGCCCAGCTCTGCAGTGCCATATGTGAAGCACATGTACTCAGATTGTTCTGAAGCTCTGCAACTCTTTCTGAAGTACCAGTCCCTTGACAGAAATATTTAAGTCGCTTCCTAAGTGGCATTTGAACATTCAATATTTAACTTGGCGCTCAAAGAGTTAACTTGACAGTGACGGGACGGATCCTTTAAGCACATTTGACAAACAGCTCTGTCAGGTTACACCAAAACTTGGCAGGACGTGAAATATTTTCTAGTAAATAAGTGAAAATAAGTTCTCCGTGGCACTCAGTTAATGCAGCCATTCACGATGCTGACGGGCTACAACAAGCTAGGGATAAAGAACAAAGCAAACCTTAATGAAAATTAACCTAAACGCACTGGAACGAGCTGTAGGTTCAGCATTAACCTAAACACGCAGAAGGAGCCGAAAGCCGGAGAACACTGCCCGCAGTTTCTCCCCGGCCAATCTTCCCCCACAGGATCTTCACACGCTCCTCGGGAGCGCCCAGCATTTACCTCCAACCACCCCCAGCGCAACACCCCGGATTCCTTAAATAATTGCTCGCAGATAAAAGCTTTGCAAGCCGCTCGCCGCAGCAGCTGCAGGCAGGTATTGCAAGGGAGTTTTCTCCTTCTTTTTTTTTCTTTTTTTCCCCCCCTCCCTTTCCCTTCGCCGCGCACTTTTGCACCGGCGAGTACAAACGCGCCGCTGCCGCAGCCTCCGAGCCCTCCGGGGCGCTCCGCGGGCTTTGTGGAGAGGCTGATGCAGCTCCCCGAGCAAAGGGGTTCTCTCCCCGCCGCCCCGGCCGGGGGATGCTGTCCCCGAGCTGCTCCCGGTACTTACTGCCGGTCCCGGGGCTGTGCAGCGCTCAGGCTGCCCAGGGCGAGGAGCAGCGCGCAGGGGCCGCAGCGGGACATGGTGCTGAGGGTGCCGCTCGGGGCGGGCGGCTGCGGGAGCCTTTTGTTCGTGGCTGAGAGCAGCCCGAGCCTCTGCCGCCCGCAGCTGGGCTCTGCTGGGCTCTGCTGGGCTCCCCGGTGCCTCTGGCCGCCGCCCCCGCCGCGTCCCCGCCCCCGGGCCGCCCCCTCCCGGCCCCGGTGCCCGCTCGGCCCCGGCTCTTTGCTCTTTGTCTGCCGTTCCCCCGCCCGCTCCTGACAGCGGGGCCCGCCCCGCACGGCCCCAGGTGCGCTCCCGCACGGCCCCGCACGGCCCCGCATCTCCGGCAGCGCTGACAGCGCCGTGTCCCTGGCTGTCCCCGACTGTCCCCGCGGCTGCTGCGGCATCGGCGCCTCTGCTGCCCAGCCCAAAGCGCCCCCGGAGACCCGCCCGAGCTCCTGCGCCTTCCTCCCGAGTCCCTGAGGAGCCACGGATGCGAAAGCCGAGGTTCCCAAGGATCCAGTGACCCGGCACGGTGTGTTCCCGGTGACTGAGCCTCTGCACGCCGAGGGACTCACTGAGCACGGCCGAAGAACTGCTCCCCAACCCAAACTCCAGTGCCAGCACTGACGCTACTCCGTTTTTTTACTGGATTTTTTATCCTCCCCCATCCCTAGGCCCGAGTCTCTCCCTCTCCATCCCTCTGTCCCAGCCGGCGTTTCCAGGCTCTGGGGACAGGAGAGGGAGCTCTCCCCGCACCAGCCTGAAGAGTCGCAGCCCAAGGGTAGAGCTCACCCAACCCGGGGCAAAGCAAACCCAAAGCGAGAGCGGAGATTCGAGGTGACAGGAGAAATGTCACCACAGTGATGGATTCAGTGCTGCAGAGAGGTAAAAAAGAAATGATTTGATGGAATGATTCCTCCAATCCCTGTTGAAGAGAACACAGGCACACCAGGATCCCAGACACGCTCCAACAGAAAGGAATTCTTGCCCCAGAAATAAGTGAAAACCCTCAGTGTAGGCAGTTTGTTTCCCCCAACATGTTTCCCCCCCAAATACTACACATCTGGCTTAAGGTAAAGTACCAGGAAAACAGAAAAAAATTACAATCTTTTCTTCTAGTTTGGCTCCAATATTTGATCCTCAGTTTTTTATTTCTTCTCAAAATCACAGGTGTTGACCTCAGCATTTTATTGAGCAAAAATACACATTTGTAGCCAGGACAAGCTCAAGAGTTTCCCAAAGTCCCTTCCTTCTGGCTTCTGACAAGAAAAAGAGCAAGTTGCTAAAGCTGCTGTTATTTTTCTCCCTCTTTAAATAATTTCAGCTGCCACATATTTCTGCACTGTCATTCCTAGCTGCCACATTTTCTGCAAGTCAATCCATTCCTTAAAAGCACAAAGTCATCAAAAGGAACAAGGATTCCCTGACAACTTCAGCAACAGGACTCAGAGGCTGATCAGTCCTTAACCAGGAGATAAATAAATGGTGCCTAAATTTCTATCTTATTTGAAACTTACACTCACTTTAATATGACTGCTCTTAAAATAAAGTCATAAACTCAGTAGGTTTTTGATAAATTCAGATTATTTTCAATAGTGGATAACACTGCTAGTGTTACATTTTCCTGCTTAAATCTAACCTAAACCAGCCCTGTCTTATTTTTGTGGAGAGGCAGAAGAAATCTAGAAAAAGAATGAACACATTTTGACAAGAACCACAGGGATCACTTCCCAAGGAAACCAGGCATTGTGAGTAGGAACTTATCAGAAAGTACATTAAAGTGGGCAAGTTTTGGGTTTGGATTTTGTTTGTTTGTTTGTTCAGAGTTTTTGAGACAAACTAAAGAAAAAGTAAAATCTGCTAAATCCAAATTCTTTTTCAGCTTCATCATATTCAGTCACCTGAAAGGAGGCAAAATGAAAATGAAGCAGCTCTGCTGTTCCCATGGTATGGCAGCCTCAAATAAAGTCCAATATCTCACCACCAAACCCACTGACTCTGATAGAAGCCCTGCAGAGATCAGGTGTGCTGGGCTGAAACACCATCCTGCCTTCAAAAACATCATTCTCTCTACACATCCTTTTCTAGAGCAAACCACAAATGGTTCATTTCACACTCACACTTGAGATCTGCAGGATGTGGACCAAAAAAAATCACCAAGTGCCACTGAACAGCCATCCTGTCACCCACATTTCATCTCTGAGAAAGCTCTGGGTAAGGACTGGGAATAAGCAACAGGATTCAGCAGTGGGTGGATGAAAGCAGCAAAGTGTAGCTCTAAAATGGAGCTCCATCACCTTCAGAGTGATACACAAACATCTATTTCTACATTTCAAAAGGCACAGCTGGAAATTCCCCTTCTGTGGAATAGAGCCCTTTGGAATCATTAACTTCTTTTAAGGTGAGATTTCTTCTGAACTGAAGAATTTCTGTTTGGTATTTACTGAGTGCAAGAAACCTCAGGCAATTACAACCTCCAAAGGCTGCAAACCATCTTCCAATTACGAAAGTATGTGCAATCCTGTAAATAAGGCTGGAATCAGCTTCATCTGAAAAAAAAAAAAAAAAAAAAAAAAGAAAAAAGGAAGCTTTAGATATAATTTCAAACTATTTACTTACTGAAATGGAATTTTCTGTGCTTGCCAAAATGAATCCCATTCAGTGTGATGCAACAGGTGTTGGAATTCCAGCAGCCGCCTGCAACCCACATCTGGGAATGGTTAAGGAGTTTAAAGGCAGTTCTGTAAGAGCTGCTCATGTATAAAAACTATTCATCAGTCAGATCCATGGGTCATATTCACCCACTGTGCATAGCTGGGATTTTTATTCGTTTACAGAATGTGTAATTCTGCTCCTCATGAAGTTGGAGGAATCTCAGGCACTTGAAAACATGTGGGGCCTTGCTGGTGTCAGAAAGGTGAGGGAGGGACAGCAGTTCAGAGGAGGAGGTGTGAATACACCTATACTGGTTCTGACCGGGCCTAATTTACATCCTGACCCCTGGTACAACCTCATCACAGAAGAAATGATCCCCCCCATGTCCCACCCATCTCCCTCATAAATAAACCAAGCGATGTGAACATTATCAGACAGGTATTTGTTGAACAAAAAACAGTTAATTTGTCAAACCAAAAATGTTAATTTCTGAGTGCTGTGAATCCCTTTGGTTCCCCCCTCCAACTGCAAAATTCAAATCAGTGGGATCACTCCCATGAACCAAGTGGTAGGACCACCCCATTAATAATTAGCCCTTGTTAATTGCCTCAGCATAGCTGCTGTCACCAACGTGTCACCCAGAGGATCAGATCAGACCAGATCTACAAAAGGTAATACTCACTTAAAGATTTTGAGAATACAAGTGTAAATTGTGCACAGAAAAGGTGCTGTACTAAACCCCAGGCTATTCATTATTCAGTTTTGTGTTAAGTCCTGTAAGCACTGGATGTCAGTGGGAGGGGGGTGAGAATTAAAACCCAAGTGCTCAGTTTCCAGAATCATTTGACCCCACTTGCCAATGGAAAAACCTTTGTCTCAGTCATTATTTAACACCAGACAACAATAAGGCCTTAATTCATTTTTACAGGATTATTAAAAAAGCCACACCCATTCTTGAACTCCCGGTTTGGTTCTCCCCTTTGTGTTTCTGGGACAGCCAAACAGAGGTGGCAAATACAGAACCTGATAACTGATAAATAAATGTCCCAGGCTTTGCCTCACTCCTGGAGGCTCCCCAGAATAAAGGTTTAACACAGACTGCACCAGTCCAGAGTGGTGGAAACCAGACTGATCCTCCTCCCAGGAAAAAAGGCATCCCTAGAACAAAATTATAAGGAAAGGGTAATTAAAGAGCACGTTTTAAATTAGAGTATAATCTGAGTGGCATATAACAGGATAATGATGTTGAGAACATAATTATTAAATAGCTCTGTCCAAAATGGTTGTTATTCATCTGTAGAACAGGAGAGCCTGATCTCTCACAGTAATGAAACATTTTAATTCCTGCCAAAGTGACTGAAATAGTACTGAGAAAGCATTCAAAGGGGCAGACACTGATTTAGGGAGAGCACTGTGCTTCATCACAAGTGGCTGTCACTGAGACATTTACTGAGCAATAACTTCCCAGCTTCCTTCCAAACAGCTTCCCAGTTTTCTTCTCAGCCCCAATATATGACTGGTGAAATATGAGTTTGTGCACAGTCTGATTAACAGTGGAGTCACTTCCCATGTGCAATAGGTATTAAAATGTGGATTTAAGTTCTGGTATCCTACAGGCCACCTCCAAATACACATTATCTATAGAAATAAAAAGATGAGGTAAGCCTGAAGAGGCAAGTTGTGTTTGCTTCCCCAACACACACAAAAAAAATCAAGATTTAAGCAAGAAACTCAATAGGCCTTGCATATTCTATACATTATCACAGAACTATTTTAAAATAAGAGGCAGCTGAGACTCCTCTGCAAACCTCGTGCTTTCTCGCAGGCCACACAGAAACGCAGTGGAAGGAACAAGCCCAAATCATTCCTGAGTGGAGCAGGAATGCTGCCATAATCACTGGAAATGCTCTTAATTGGTGTGGCTCAGTGGTGCATTTCAGAGCTATTAGATCTTCTGCCGCTCTGGAGCTCTTTTCATGTCCTGGCAGTCCCAGCCCAGTCAGCAGTTTGTTTATCATATTCAGGATGAATTTCCGGCTCTCCAACAAAGTGGTATTTACTCCGAGGCAGGGAAGGCTGGAGTAATCCAATAAGTTCTCATTAGCCTAAAATGCAGAAACATCTGCTGGGGTCACGAGCTGCTGGTGTGCTGTTGATGAGAGCAGCAGCAGCTCCCTCTGCAGCAGGGGGAACAGGGAGCTGTGGGGAGGGCAGGCAGGGACCCCGAGGATCTCCCAGGGCACCCCAGGCAGGAGGGATCCCACCTTACCTTGACCCCCGAGAACGGGAATTACAACCAAAAAAACGCCTCGACTCAGCCCTCCCGAGCTGGTGTCCCATCTCCTGGGAAAGCACTGCCCCTGTGATGAGCTGCAGGTTCAAACAGTTGTTTTTCTAGTCAGTACTTTCTGCTGAGTGAACAGAAAGGAGGACCTGTGGTACTTTGGATCCCTGAACTGCACTGAAAGCTCCGTTGCCTTCAGCACAGGGCAATGTCTCACCCCCTCCACTGCCCTTCTTTACACTCTGCTCCATCAGGCTTCTCCTGAGGACCCCCATGTTCACTGCAGATGGAATGGTAAATAAAATAAAAGTCAGGAGATGCAGCAGTTTAAGGTGAGGAACCTTTGACAGTGGAGTTCTGGAGATGATGAAATTAAGAGATGTAATGCAGAGCTGGAGAATGGGAAGTCATGGGTTTTGGTTCAAGCCATGTAGTCGACTCATAACTGTTAAATACCTTTTAACCCAGTCAGAACACAGAGGAATTAAGATCTAAATCATTAGAACTCAATGAAAGAGCCAGCCAGGAACTCAGGAGAGTGTGGTCAGAGCTCTACCTGGATCCAGGCAGGGCAATCTGCAACTGCAAACCCTGTTTAAAAGAGCTGCAAACCTCTTTTTAGACAATCTTTTATTGTCTAAACAATGATACTTCCACTCCTGGGATCCCCCTTCCACCCTGGCTCATTTCTTTCTCAACTGCTTTCAGTTTTTGGAAGGAATAAAAAAAATCCCTTTCCCTCACCCCCCCCCCCCAAAAAAAACCCCACTTTAGAATACATGAATGTTAATAATTGGTTCAGAAGAACTTCTGTTCTAAAAGATTAATAAATAGGTAGCACAAGTTCAGACAAAACTAAACTCATTGGTACAAGTTACAGGAGGGAGAACATTATTAATTCTGGGGGAGGGAGAAGGAAAAGATTGATAACCTGAATAAAAAAAAGAGCCCTTAATTTGTTTGGGATTCCAACCGGTTTAGAGCATGTGACATTGTCAGAAAATAAGTGGAAAATACAAAATAAGTGGTGTCACATCTGTTTAGCCCCTGCTCCAGTGATTCTGCAGCTCTTTGTTGTTGTTTGTACAGTGTTAAACCACAGCATCCAATTCTGCTGCTCTCACAAGGTGAAGGAGCCTAAAACCCTTCTGCAAAGAGCCACAGCAGAACCACACGGAACACTCAGAAAAAAAATCAAGAAGGAAAAATCTCAGTCCAAACCGGTTTCAAAGCCTTTCCTGGAGAGGCTGAGATGCTTTGGCTGACACTTGTTCTCCCATCTGAACAAAGAATTACACAAGTGTCCAATTTAAGGCAAAGAATGGCCAGAACGCTCAAATTAACGCCTCTGGTTGTTCTGAAACAATGAGCCCACAGCCCCGGGCACGGCATTTTTCCGGACAAGTAGTTTGGCTGCAGCTCCAGGACTCCCCTTTTCCCTGGAATTGCGGGAGGATAACGACTGCCGCCTGCAGCAGCAGGGGTGAACTACTGCCCCGAGGATTTAGAGCCTTTAATTGTGCTCACAGCAAGCGCTGCCTCTGGGGGAGAGCTAACAGCATTCCACTCCTCTTCAGAGGGAAAGTTCGCATGGCTGGGTGTTGCTCAAATGGCATTTGGGTGTATAGATGCACTCACACTTGACTGAACAGGATGGGGTTAATTTAAAAGTATTTCTTAAAGAAAAATGCATTTTTAGAGCAGCAATGAGACAAGCAAGAAACCCTAGGAAAGGCATTCTGGTATGTCTTTATTATCAAGAGACATTATTATCAAGGCATTCTAATATTGATTTTAATGTCATCCCCTTCGTGTTTAAGGCCATCACTTCATGACTTTCAGAGCCTCAGAATGACACACTGATGATGAGGAGGTTAAAGGTGTGAGAGCCGTTCTACCCCCATCTCCATCCACCAAAACTAACCACCCTACTTATCTGCAGCTAAGCTATGACTACTGGGCAAAGCTCCCCATCCAGTGGCCAAATTCATGGATGCAGCTCATGCTCCAGACCCAGAACACGATCCATCTGCGTGCAGCACTTACAACTCACTTTTTGTTCTTATTTTAGTTAGATTTTAGTTTTGTGCTGAATGGTAGCACTCACAGGTGAACTACCAGCTGCAGATCATCCAGTGTTCCTACAATAAAACTGCTCTATGGGTAACTTGCAGCTAAAAAAATTACACTGCCATTATAGACAAGCTGGGTCTGAATAATTGTTATACTCCAGCTTCTCATCCAGTGCATGGCATTCTACTGATTCAGTTATTTAATTTACTCCTAATTTTTAACAAAAGGGAACAAGAATCTTGTTAGACCCTTAGTGATACAGGCAGAAAGCCTGAAGAGCACTTGAAGGAGTGCAAGGAGAATGCTCCAAGTTATTTTTTGAGGCTAAAAAGCCTTATAGACACAGCTTAAGCCAGAAACACACCCCTCTGAACACAACACAAAGCCAAGGTTTCGAAAAACCATCAGAGAAAGAGGTTGCACAGCTTATAAAACACAGGATAGAGCACATCCTCCAGAGAAAAATGCATTCCATGTACAAAGAAGGAAAGGATGTTGAAGAAAGAGGCCAGGTCTGGTGTTTATGCTCACAGCCCAGCACAGCTGCTGTCCAGCACTTCCTCAGTAACTGGGCTTGTGGTTTCCCTCCACATTCCCAACCCTTTGGCTGAGCTCTCTGGGTGCTGATGGCTCACCACTGGCACCACTCAGGGTGTACAAATCCATCACTGGACTGTGGAGTATCAGCCCAGCTGGAAACAAAAGCTTCTGTAGGAAAGCAGTGAAGATATTCAAACATGACACAGCAGCGGAAAATAGCCTTTATTATTAAAAAGAATTGAAGTCCTTAAAGAGCATTGGCACCACCAGACCTAATGAAGCCTTTTGAACTGTTCACATATCAGCAGCTGAACGTTGCTCTGGGGGCACTGTCCCAGAGCCTGAGGAACCAGCAAAGGGCTGTGGCTTCTCCAAACAGCTGCACAGTGTCAGCCAAGGGGGCCAGGGTGTTGGGGAGAGGTGTAGTGAATGTAGATTTTAATGGAACTGTATTACAGCCCTTCCCCTGCAGCATCATCATGTTTACACATAACCCACCCTCTCATCCCATTTCACATCAATCCCTCTAAAATTCCCTTAGCACGTTTAGTCCTCTTTTCAAGGCAGAGTTGCAGACAAACATCCTAAGGCCTGGAGCAGGAGAAATCAGACACAGCAACCTTCAAGCTCAGGACTCTGGAGGAACTCCAAGGACTGCAAGTGCTTTGAAGAAGATGAAGATGAGGAAAAAGAGGTCCCAAACGCCCCCCAGATCTGATTCCCAAAGGGGGGTGTCGGGGGTAGAACTGGGGGTGGACAGGACTGGGATTGGATGGACCTTGTTATAAAACCACAGAACCACTGCCTGAGGGGGTGTGCCAGGTGTGCATTCCCTGGGCCCCAGGCCTGAGATTAAAGGACCTGCTCTCTTTATTTTATCTTATGCACTAAGCTGGCCTGGAGTCTTTTTCTCCACAGTCTTTTAGGCAACACCAGCAATATTATTTACTTATTGTTTCTTATTATTTACTTTGCAGTATTGTCAAGGCAGAAAGTGATGAAAAGGCTGTCCCAGGAATCCCCGTTAAAAGGTAGCTGTGATGTGTCCTGGTGGGACAGCAGGCAGAACAATAGTCCATTTTCTGTGTCAGTGCTGCTGGTTTCACATCCCCATATAACTGAAAAACTGGGCAAGCTGTATGTTCATCCAAGAAGCAAAAGGACAGCAAGCCCACTGGCATTGAGTGAGTACCTACCCAGCAGTAAAACTATCCAGAAGCTTAGTTGAAATACCAGTGTTTCACAACATCCAGCCCATGCTGCTCTTCACACACACTTTGGTTATGCAGAGAAACTTCTTTACTGACTTTAAACGACAGGTTCTGCACTTCTCTGAAGCTCCTGGAACACAAGAAGCTGAATCAGTGACTCCAAAGGACAGTGACTTCTGCTTTAGCCCAAAGACTACACCTGGATATTGGTGTCTTTCTCCTGCTATGGCCCCACCAGAATAAAAACAAAATAGAGTGTGAATTTTTTCCCTATGGTCTATCAATCTTCAATGATTTGAGTTGTAATCTCTTCTTGGAATATTTACTCAACAAGTCTTCCAACTAATTTTTGTAATTACCTTTGAAGCTCCTTATCCAGTTTCTGAGCCATTTCTTTAAGCTCTTTCAGTGCAGAAAGTGTTTTTGCACAGTCTGCTGAGTAGCTCGGTGTAATTTCTGTCAGAAGCTCCTGTGTGATCTTTAATTGCTTTCCCAGTTCATCTACGAGGGAGATGTTAAAGGTATTGTTAAAAAGGCAGTGTCACCAGTTAACACTGGGCATCAACAGCTGGAGTAACCCAGAGGCAGGTGAACCAGAGGATGAAAAACTACTGTTTGTTCAGCTTTCACAAACACACTGTGAAACCGTGAGAGCCAAATTATTTTTCATTACTGTGACAAGCACCAGCAACAGGCTATTGAATGAGAGCTTGATTAGCAATTTTAGAGTATGTAAAACATTTTTATAATACAAATGCAAGAGAAAAATCAAGTGTTAAGCATCCAAAATTCCCTGGCCAGTTACATTGCTCTTGGCATGTACCCCCCCAAGAAACCTATCCAGTCATTTCCTTCAGCATTCATAAACCAAAAAAACTCATGGACCCATTTATTTCAAATCTTCTTACAAGAATTCTAAGTTCTTTAATAAATGTGTCCATTTGTTTTTGAGTGCAAGATTATTGTAAATCGTTTCTTGCAGGCCAGCAGTTTAGAAATGTAACTTTTTGTCCAGACTTCAATACAAAACAGGTGTAGTGATTTATTGAACATTCGGATTCAACACAACACAATAATATTTAAGCTCCAGTTCTACAAGAAACATGAGCAAGTCTACCTAGGAGAGTGTATCCCTCAAACATAGAAACAGATCACAGTATTCTTACATTTTCCTCATTAACATTTTCCTTATTTACTCATTTATTCCTACATATTCCTTATTGATGCAGTAGGGACAAGACAGGAGGAGTAATGTCATGAACACAGTTAAAATATACAGAGATTTGCTAAAGAAAGTGTATATGAAGACTGACCCAGCTTAGAAAGTTCAATCTCTTCCCTTCTGCAAGATAAAAAACCACTTCACTGAAGTGCAGTGAAGTGGTTAAACAGAGACAAGAATTACACACTGATGCTGCAGCCAGCCCAGTGCCCACACAAGCTCTAAGAGCACCCAAAATTCCTCCGGTGGCCTTAGACACATGGAGCAATAAAAATGTAAGAATTTAAGCATAAACCCACTGTTTCTGAAAGTAAATTCAGTAAATCAAGTTTCCATACCAAGGTACTCTCGCTTATCTCCTCCTATGTGGATGTTCTTTATGGGTAATTCATGTCTAGTGGCGTCCAGGGAAGCTGCAAAGTTTTTATATTGCTCTTGAAACTGTTCACAGACAGGAACGAGGGGAGACAGCACTTCAATCTGAAACACACACACACAGTGAACCAAGACTTCTCCAACAGCAGCTGCTTTGTAATTAAAACCATGGCTCAACACAGAAAAATAATTTACTAAAAAACCTCTAACCAAATGTCACTCTGAAATGCTCACTGACAGAGGAATTCGAGGAGTTTGTGGTACAATAATCCCATCAAGCTGTTCCATGTTTTCCTCCAAATGCCCAGGTCAATGCCACTTTCTTTGGTCCTGCAGCTCAGAGGTATCAGCAACACAGCAGGCAAAAGGTTTTATAGTAGATGCTTTGATTACTTTAACTGTACTCCACAAGAGTGTTCTCCAAAAGCCTGGTTTAATTTTTGCAGTGCATTATTTGTTGAAAAGCAAAGAGAGGTTGAGTTTTGCACATTAATTATTCAAACATTAATTATTCATCAGAAAGCTGTCTTCTTACAGCCAGGCCAGAGCTACTGCTGGGGAACACACAGAAACCAGACAAAGAAAGAACACAGGATATTCCCTTCTCATTGAGGACTGGCATTTCAGCTCCAGCAGAGAAATCTCTGAACAAAGGGCTACTTCATATTTGAGTTTGTTTAAATGCAAGAGAAGTGTAAATTGAACTAAAACCTACCTGTTTGTCTAATGCTTCACTGAGCTTCTGCTCTCTCTCTGTGAGCAGAATTTCACGTTTCAACTCCAAGAGCTTCTCCTGTTGTCTCTGCTTTTCTTCACACAACATCATCAAGTTTTTTTCTGCTTTCTCCTCCAGCTTGGCAAGATTTTCTCCTGCCTATTACATCCCAAAAAATATGCACAGTTAAAGCAATGCTACACTTGAGCAATTAACATATTCTGAGTAAACAGATGTAAACCAGGTCAAAGAGCTTTAATTAATGGATAGGAGACATCACATAATAAGCACAGAACATCAGAATTAAAGCCTCCCTCAATCCTCTTTCCCCCTGCTGCTTTTTGTAAAGGAAAATGCACACATACAGCACTGAGGGCACAAAGTCACTGCTATAGCCTTGAACCCCAGCAGGACTCACACAGTTTTCCCAAAACTTCTACATCCCTCCAGTTCCTAAGAACCAGCACCAGACAATAAACTGGCACTGAACTCATTCTAGGAGTTTTCAAAGCAAGTAACACGCTTTTACAACTATAATCACATACAGTCACAAAAATCTAACTTTTATGGATCAGGAAGCATTTAAGAAATTAAACAATTCCTCAGTAGCAGGTTCTATCTGAAACATCAAATACTTGACTGACTCTCACCTTTATTCTTAAGTAAGTTAAAAGTAGTGTCTCAGATTCCAGCTCTTCCATTAAATCATTTTCCTTCTGAGTTTCCTTCTGAGAAGAAGAGAATATACTGCATCAAGTTTGGTATTAAAGCAATTATTTTTTTCAATGGTCAAATAAATTACCAGTTTGTGCCTGGCATCATCACCAGCAACACAGAAAAGTTTGGGGTTTTAAACAACTCATGTTCATTAATTATTGATATGAGGTAAAGTGATAGAACTAAACAGGACAGGAATGCAAAAAGAATCCACCTGGGGAGATTCTGTAATTGGAACAGATTCTGTACCAGAGAGAAGCCAAGTTCTGGTCAGTACTCAGAGATCTGATAAACAAACCACACATTGCCAGCAGCAGAACTGACTTCTGCCAGGAGGGTTTAGATCAGCCCAGGACCTCAATTGTAATCCAGATTAAAGAGAAAGAAAACCTTCATTTTGCACATTTCAAAATAAACATCCTTACAAATGAAAGCGGTGAGACTCACTGCTGCTGGGGCTTTCTGTGTCACTGCATCTCCTTCTTCAGCAGATTCTGAACAATCACTCTTCTTGGGGACAGCTTTATCTGTATCACAACAAAAAAGTCAGTGCTCTCTTCTGCCAAGGTCTACAGGGTGGGTCAACAAACCCTCAGGTTCTTTAAAAGGCAGAGATAATTTCAGAGTTATCATGTGCCCCAGTAAAGAAGACTTGTGCTCTGTTTCTGGCTCTGATACACTCCTGAGCAGACATGGATCATGGGAGCATTTAGCTTTAAGTGACAGTTACAGACAGATGGGATCCACTTTTCAGAAGAGCTGACAGTCCAACACCCACCTGTTACAGGATCAAAGACTTGAGAGTACTTCAGTCTTTAATTTTTGATCTTCAGCAAAACCAACAGGGCACCCAAAAGATACTACAAATCCAGAGGTTAATTTAAACCCTAAAGGCCTTAGCACCTCTGCTTAAGGACACCCGAAACAACATTCACTTCACTTAACAAAATCCTTTTCTGGGTATACAAGGACACAACCATTTCTTATCACCACGTTTCAGCACATACATCAAAAAATAATAAAACCAGAAATGGAGTATAAATGGAAATGTACCATTGATAGCTGAGAGATCGAGGTCCGGTCTTCTGGTTTTTTCTTCATCTAATAAGGTGGACTGCAAATCCCCTTTCTCTAAGATACTCTGACTTAAGCTATGGCCAGCACCTGTGAAAAGAAGCTGTTACCAGACTAAAAGAACTAGAACTGCACAAATTCACAAGTACATGTTGTGGAGGCCCAGAGAAGCTGATTTTAGCCATAATCTCCCTCATCTCAGGCCATACCATGACCTGAGAAATGCTGCTTAAGCCTCAGCCTTGCCAAACTGGACTAAGCTCCTCCTGAGCTGATCAGAAACACTGGTGCTCTCTAATGAGCATTTGCTTTCCAAAAGCCTTGGAAACTTGTTTTTCTTGAACCTTCAAAGAAAGTTTCCAATGGAATTGTAGCCAGGATGGAAAACTGCTATGACTAAAGGCCAAAGTAAGACCTTCCAAGCTCTCAATTCCCAGAAGAAAATGGACTGATGTGTATGCCCCAAACACCTTGGAGCCAAGCAAGGACTGTGGGTAACAACAGACAAGAATTCCTGGGAATAACCAATAACTGCTGGAATTAACAGGTGGTGAGAAAGATCAAGATTGGCCGGAGAAGGGTTGCTCCTGTTCAACATTCCCAACTCAGATGTGACAAGGCAACATCGCGATTTCCTCAAGATTTTCAAGTCAAGGCCTTACCAGAGAATTCTTCTGCAATTCTTACAAAAGAAATAAAAACGGACTGGTTTGCAGACAGGGATTTTCAGGTATTTACATTGGGTTTAATAGAAAGATTAAATAAAAAAAAGGCAGAGTAAAGGTGAGGGCATAGGAAAAGAACAGTTCAAAACCTTCTGCATAAGGCAGGAAAAACGATTTTAGGCAGCCCAAGCATTCAATTCTAGATCCAGCACCCGAGTTCACATCTCTTAATCCCACATCAAGCTTCTCAATTTCCATTTTTATACAAATAGTAACTGGCAGAGGTGCAAGTGATAAAAAATATTGCCATCTTAGTGCCGTTAAGAGTTTCAGAGGTTGGAAAAAAAGAAAGAATAGCTTTTAAACACAGGTAAAACCTACCAAGAGAAGTTTCATGTTTCTGAGAAAGAACTGATTTTCGTTTAGCTCCAGAAGGCGGTGGGGCAGCACACAACGAAGGGGAACTTGCTGAAGCATCCTGACAATCAACACACAGGTAACATAACCAGCACATAATCAGCAATGTATCTTATCTTCAACTCGAACGCTGACAACAAACAGCTACAATCCCAGGGCACATCGCAAGACACCTGAGTGCAGCCCCAAGCTCCCACCCGGTAGCACACACAGCTCACTCACAACCCCGGCAGAGCCAGGTTTCTTTGTTTTGCCCAGGTCTCGCTGCCCTGTGTCCGAGCCGCCCCTCACGCCATTTCTACCCTTTGCTGAGCGGCAGTCCAAGTACCTTCTGGATGTTCTTCTTGTACTGCAGGTAACGAGATGGCACCGTTCTTCCTTCTGGAAAAAGGGTAAAGGCAGTTCAGCCGGGCCCGACAGCTCGGATGCTCCTCACCCCTCAGCCGGCTCGGATCAAACCCCTCGAATGGCTCGAATCCCCCTCCTCAGCCAGCTCGGATCAAACCCCTTAACCGGGTCGGGGCTCCCCCCTCAGCCGTACCGGGCTCCAGCCCTCAGCCGGCTCGGATCGCCCTCACCTCACCTCACCCGCCTACCTTTCCGCTTGTTTACAGCCGCTTGTCCGCCCGCCGCCGCCGTGCCGGGCTCTCTCCTGTGCGCGGACATCCCGCCAAGGCGGTGGCAGGGCGAGCGAAGGGGACGGGCGGAGGTCGCCCCGCCTCAGCCCCCGAGCCGCCTCAGCCCCCAAATCGCCTCAGCCCCCGGGCCGCCTCAGCCCCCGAATCGCCTCAGCCCCCGAATCGCCTCAGCACCCGAATCGCCTCAGCCCCCGAATCGCCTCAGCCCCCGAGCCGCCTCAGCCCCCGAGCCGCCTCAGCCCCCGAGCCGCCTCAGCCCCCGAATCTCCTCAGCCCCCGAGCCGCCTCAGCCCCCGAGCCGCCTCAGCCCCCGAGCCGCCTCAGCCGCCATCGCGTTTGAACCAGCGCGCCCGCGCAGCGCCGCCATGGGCGGTGGCCGCAGAGCGCCCCCTGGCGGCGCGGAGGACCTAAAGGAGCTCGCTTAGCCTGAAGGGCCGCGCCCGGCGGCTGTCCGCGTTAAATGAGGCGATAAATCAGGGTCTGGCTGAGCCCGAAAGTGTTATTTTTCCCTCCGGCCTTTGGTGGGAGGTGGCCGCTCTCTGCGGCGTCAGCTGGTGGAACCCAGTTTTGGGCTTCTCGGGATAAGAAAGAGAAGAAGCTGCTGGACGAGGGTCCAGCGGAGGCCACAAAGGTGATGAGGGCTCTGGAGCATCTGGAGCGCTGCCCCAGCGCTGTCACACACCGAGCAGCGGGAACTCCCCAGCGCCGGGTGGCGATGCTCCCAGCTCAGGTTCTTGGGTTTTGACGGGAATCTGCCCACTGCCGCTGACAGACGGTCAGATAGACAGACAGCCAGACAGCGAGACAGACACACAGCACCGGGCTGTGCCGGGAGCCTCGGGAAGGGGGAAGAACCCTGACCGGGTGTCGAACTCGCGTCCCCACGGACCCCTCTCACCCACACCCACCCCGGCCCTCCAGCAGGGCGGCGCATGCGCGGTCCGCGCGCGGCTCTGAATGGGGCGCGCCCCCCCCACCCGGAAGTGGCGCGCGCGGGGCCTGTGGCGGCTGTGGCGGGGTCGGGGCGGCCGCGCTTCGGGACCGGCGCAGGTAACGGGCCCCGCGGGGCTCCCTGCCCGCCTCCCGCTCTCCCCTGCCTCCTCCTCTTGCACTGCGGGAGACCCGGCGGCGGCCGGGGCTGTGCGGGGTTCTGTGCCTTGGGGCAGTTCCGAGGGGGTGCCGGGACTGGGTTCTGAGGGGGTGCCCGGGGGTGGGTTCTGAGGGGGTGCCGGGACTGGGTTCTGAGGGGGTGCCGGGACTGGGTTCTGAGGGGGTGCCCGGGACTGGGTTCTGAGGGGGTGCCCGGGACTGGGTTCTGATGGCGCGTCTGGGCTTGTGAGGGGCTGGCTGTGCGAGGGTGGGCGCCGTGGGGTAGTTCTGAGGAGGTACCTGCGGGTCGGTGCCGGGCGGGTGGAGCTGTGGGTTGGTTCTGAGGGGCTCTGTGTGTGTGTGGGGTGGGTTCTGAAGGGGTGTCCGAGGGCTCGTTCTGAGGAGCTGTGCGGGGGTCGGTGCCGTGGGGCGGTTCCGAGGGGGTGTCTGGGGGTCTGTTCTGAGCGGGTCTCTTGGGGTCGGTGCCAAACCGGGGAGAGCCGCAGGTCTCCTCCGGAGCTCGGGGCCGGTGCCGTGCCCGGGTGCGGGGCTGCACCGTGCGGGGGTCCCTGCGGGGCTGCTGGGCTTGCTCTGCATCTGCCGTGGCCGAGGAGCTGGAGGTGCCCCGGGGAAGGGATGTGCCTGATGCCGGGCTGTGCCTCCCGTCTCCGGGGCAGACCCGGCCGCTGAGCCGGGCACGATGTTGCTTCCACCTCCTGTTCCTCCCATCTTTCAGCCGCGCAGCCTTCTGCTTTTTTCACCTCTGACTCTCGGTATGAACAGCCTGTAACCTTTCTTACAAATATCTCAGCATCTTTCAGAAGTTTCGTTCAAACTCTCGGAGCCCTTTTGTTTGTGTTTGTTGTTTTTTGGGCAGCTGTTTTGACAGTGCTGCTGCCGTGCTGGGGTTGTGCTTTATCGTCGCTGCCCAATTGATTCATACCTCGAGCTGTGTGTATACCGGTAGTGCTCAGGCTTTTTGGTAAGCTTGGTTTTGCAATCTCTGGAAAGTAAAGCTTTTGCAAGCTGAGAACATCCTTTGTTACATGTTTCTAGTCTAAAGTAGCACGGTGCTACCCTGACTCATGACTCTCCTGACCCTACAGTTGATATAGGTGTGTGTGATCCTGATGTAAGATGACTTCCCAGTGTCATTCTTAACCTTGTTTTCTACTACTCCTTAAATATTTCGGCAAAATTCTTACCCGGCTTTATTTGCGAGTCCTGTTTGTGAAAAGCGAGAAGCCCTTTGGGTGCAAATGAGCTCGGTGTTCTTTGATTTCACCTCGTGGAAATGGGTGGCAGCGGAGCAAAAGGGCTGGAGATGACCTCAGGCTTCTGGCAGATGTAATTAGCCTTTCAGAGATGTCATCAGCAGCCTCCCACGTTCCTCCTAGAGCTGGATTGGTATCGGGGTGTCTGCCGAGCTGTTTGCAAATAGCAGTTTGTCATGGGTAATTAGGAACTCTTTGATTTCAGGCCTGGGAGCTGGAACCCAGGGCTGAAGAGCTTGCCCTAAAGTAACAGTGTGAGGTAACCCTGCGTGCTGGTTTGGGGTGGTGGTGTCACACCCATCGGGTTTTACCGAGCCCTCGGTGTCTCGCTCAGAATCTTGTCAGGAGCAGATCCATTCAATGTAGGGGAAGCAGTTCGGGGCACTTTTAATGCATATTCATATTGTCTTCAAGATGAATTTTGGCGTTTTTTCAGAAAAGAGTTCATCTTGATTAGTTTACCTTTGAACTGTGATGAGGTTCTCTACCTGGTCTGCGTTTCAAGTCCCATGTCTTGGTTTTCAGGATGATGCATTAAGGCCACTTCCTCAATCTTTACTCTCATTAGCATAAGACTCAGGATGTACTGCAAAGGAACTGTGTTTGTAGAACTTTACAGTTTGACTTGGTTGGGGCTTGGTTTTGGTTTTTTTTTAACCCTACTTGAACATTTGTCTCAACAAAAAGCTTCTCCAGAAGTTGGATGTTGTGGCTTCTGCATTGACAGAGCAGCTGTTTGCACAAACACGGTGGGAAGACTCCCAGCTCTGGGTTTTCCTTGGAAGAAACACTTCCAGGACTGAATAATTCAGGAAGAGGAAATGCAGCTGATGAAAAATTTAAATGAGAGCAGTGCTTTGTACAGACAGAGTTTTTTGAGCACTAGTGATTCAAACATTAGACCTCTCGGATAATTCCATGTCTGAATAACTGTTTGACTCACATGCACATAGGTCAATTATTTCTGACGCTAAATATGGCCTTTCCCAGCTGGAAGGTCAAAAGGCAGCATTTGCATATTCTGGACATTAAAAAAGGAAAAGTTCCCAAGAAATGCAACAGCATTGGCTGCCCCAGCAGCCAAGGGAAGGAGTGAAAAATTCTGATTCCACAAAAAGCTCGTGGTTCAGAACTGTTTTGCGAGTTTGAGGGCTGAAGGAGTTTGGCACATTTCTAAGAGCCAAGGCCTGTTTATGTGAATACCAAGGAGAAGTAAAGCCTGAGATGCTGATAAGAATTAATTTTTTTAGTAGAGAGGACTAGCAGTGTCTTTATTTCAGAAAATGGAAATTCAGAGGTTTTTGTCTCGAGTAGATTGTGTTTTCTTGGTGGATCAAGTGACTGAAGCGTGGCTTGTGGAGTCGCTTTTATTGAGGCTTTATTGTGTTGTGTCTCTGATTACCGAATGAAACTCAATGCAGACTCTACAAAAATCTGCTCTTCCTTTAAAGGACAAGGATATTTAACAATAAAAGTGGTTTTAGAGGTATTTTTGACATGCACGTGTTCTGTTCACACGAAAGTTCAACCCCAGGTTTCCTTAACAAGTTTCTCATTGATGTAGATGCAGATTAGAGCAGTGACATCTTGACTTTTTTGCTGACAACTGTAATGCTGTTAAGGATAAAATGAAGAAAGCTGTAGAAGGTGGTAGAATAGTCTCCAAAATTCTTTTGGTTTATATTCTTTACCTCTACATAAAGTTGTTTTGCCTTCATTGCCGTTTCCTCCACAATGTTTTCATTGCCCCTGAATCACACTTGCATGTGCATCTGTAACTCTGACATCACACTTTGTGTAAGGTCATAAACGTCATAAATAGACTTTTAATGTCCCTGGAAAGCCTGATAAGGCTTTCGTTGTCTTCAGATGGGCACTGAGTCACTGGGAGGGAGATCTCTGTGCCTGGAGGGGGTTTGAGGGTGTGGGTTGGGATCTCTCAGGGAACTGAGCAGGAACTGCCTGCACCAAAGGTGATTTCTTTACCTTTTTCCTGTGTTACACATTGCAGCCCAGCTTCTCCTTTGCCAGGCACTCTGGGGCAGCAACTTCCCTGCCAGGGCTGATTACGAAGAGCAGTTACAAATGTGTTGTAATTCTGCATGTTCCATTCACAACTCTTCCTTTTGGAGTAGAGAAAACCAAGGGCTTTTAGTTAAAAAAACACCCCAAGGGTCTAAAATTTAGATTTAAATTCCAACCAGCGGAATTTTTGGTAACCGAGGAAAACATTGTGTTTTTGCTGAGCAATATTCAAGTAATCTACAAATGCCTGGAATATTGGGAAAAATTAAAATTAATTCTGCTCAACTAACAGCACCTCCTGTCCTTCTGAGGTGAGGTAGGACCAGAGTCTTTGCTTTACCTGCACTGCACAGTTAATTGTGGAAATTTTAAGGTGTCTCTGAGGCCTGTTTTTTGCTGGGAATTCCTTGCTTTGGAGATCAAGGATGGGTCATAGCTGGATACTTTTGGAATTGCTGAATGTTTTCAGTTTGATCAGACAGAACAGCCTCTTTTGGGGGTGGCCACTGGCAATTCTGGTGTTTAAGAATATTATTGGCCAAGTTACCTGTGATCCTTTTGTGTTGGAAATTGCTTGGTGAGCAATGGGAGAAGCTTGAACCTCTCCATTTGAGGAATGCAGCGACTGAAAATGGGAAGAACTGGAATATCATACAGTTCACTCTCAACAATTTTGCTGTAATGGTAGCTTTCCCTTTTTAGCTTTGCTGTGATTCACTGACTAAATATGTGGCTTCAAAATATGGCCTTATTTAAACTAAACAGATCCCCTGCCCTGATTGGGGTGAAGTTTGTTGCTGTGTTCTGAGGTGGACAGTGCTGGCTGATTAAAAAATTACTTGGAGTCTTGAAAACCCTTATAAAATACCACCAAAATTATCATCAAGAGTTGGAATTTTTGGTTTTTCTATTAAAATTGTGTGAGCAAAAAGTAAAGCTACAGATTTTTATCCCCCGTGCATTGGAAAGGGGTTACTTGTAAGAAAGGGTATTGAAAGAAGTTGAGGTAACTGCAGAATTTCCATCTGCAGGCAGAACCCAGCAGTGGTGGTTGGGCTGCAGGGTTTGCATGGTTTCAGTATTACCTTCTCTCTTTATTTCTCCTTTCTCTCCCAGTATTCTCTGCCTGTGCTTCCTTGATGAGCCAATCACATTGAATAATTATTTCAATTGCTTAAAATTTCCCCACATAAAATTAGAAGGAACCACTGCAATCGTATCTTCAGACCATTCTTGCCATAAATAAGAGGATGGTACCTAATTAATTCTTCTAATTTGTAACTGAGCACTGGCTGATTTTTTTTTTTCCCAAAAAGAGCTTTGGCAACCAGACCTTGTGGTCAGTGAAGTTTTTGCAGAGCAGTTTAACCTTCTGGTGACGTTTATGTCTTAATGTTTGCCCGAGTTTGTTTGGCTTCAAATTCCAGCCGTGTCGTGGCTTTGTCCTCCAGACTGGAGATTGTTCCTGTGCTGCAGGTCCCGTGCAGGGCCTGCCTCTGATAACAGACTCCTTACAGACAGAGTATTTGGCTCTGAGGGGGGCATTTCCTAACAGATTTTGTTGTTGTTTTTGTTGCTGCTGCTCTTATCTCAGCTTCTAATTGAATTTTGGGTTTATCCTTGGTGCTGTACCAGTCACATATCTTCAGAGTACAAGGGGAGGATGGCTGCCTAACAAAATATTAGTTAATGGGTATCTGGGGATCATATTCCCTGTCATGCTTGTGGTGTTCCATTAGAACGCTGTGTTTGAGGGATGGATTGTTTCTTGCATAAATTTGAAGTTATGTATCTGTAAACTGGGTTGAAATTTGTTTAGCATTTATTTCCTTGCGCCTGTACTACTGACCTATATGACTGATTTAACTTCTTGGTTCCTTGCTGCCTTCTCAATGTCTCTTCATCAGTAACTCTTTTCTTTCCTTTTAGAACCATCATGAAAATGTTTACTTTGATGCCAGGAATCTAACTTCACTAGGAGCTAATCCTCCAATTACTTGAAGATACCCTGTCCTTAGTTGAATACTGGGACTCATTAGGTAATCAACTTAAAATCTGTTTACTGAATGCTCTTCTGCTTTTATGTTCCAGTTTGTGGCTTGAAATATTGTTTAGTGTGAGGCCTGAGGTCTGTCTCTTTTGGAGCAGGATTGCCATCAGATAAATTTGATATCCTCACTAAAGAATCTCCAGTAGCTGCAGACCAGCAGGTTTTCCTCAAACCTGTGCAATGATGAGACATTGTCAGACAGCAGAATTGAAGTTTCCAGTTGTGCACACCTGGGCAGACCCTCCCAGCTGCCACATTGCTGCTGGCTGTGAGGGCTTTGTCCCTTGCAGAGCAGTGACATCTGCATTCTGGTTTCCTCTTTCCAAAGCCTGAGCTGGGATCTTGAGCAATGTCCCACATTCTGGGGGCTGACACGAAGCAAGGTTAGGAAATGTGTTAGTAAAGTCACAGCAAAGTCCCAGCTCAGCACCGAGGTGCAGCTCCTCTGGGTGGGCAAGAAGCTGCTGCCACAGTTTGTAGGGAGCTGGTTTGGCCAAAATGCTTACTGAGGGCACTTCCTCTATCTCCCCAGACTGTGTGTCTGAAACTCATTGCTGGGGGGTGGAAAAAGGAAGTCTGCACAAGGCTATCTCCCCTCAACTGAGTGACTTGGGAGGAAAATGGTCACTGGTGTTCTACTTTTGTGCCTGAGCTCCAGACTGATCTTCCCCTGAGCAACAGTTGGCTGTAGATTCTACTGTGTATCAAGGTCTGAGCTGTTACAGATTAAGAGAGCTTAACACTTGCACTTCAGAGATACTTCTGACTTATTTGCTGGTCAGTGATGATTCCAGGAAATGGGGAGGAGACTCGGAGCTCACTGCTCCAGCCTTCTGTATGACCAGCACTTGCAATCAGCCCTCCTTAATGAACAAAGCATGGAATTTAATGGGGAAAAAACCCCATTCTTGAGGGGATCACAGCATTTGGTCAGAGATGTGTTGTGGTTTGCCTTGCCATCTGTGGCTTGCTTAACCTTCCTTTTGATGAGTAGCCACTAAAAATGATCCAACTTATCTAACAGTGTGTTCTGTGAGCTCTGTGTTCCTTTAAACACAACTCCCTACTCAGAGGCTGTTGGTGAGGCACAGCTATGTCATATGTTCTGTGAAGTGATTCATTCCTTGCAGTGGAAGTGGCAGCTTAAATGCCTCCAACTCTGCTGATTTTAATTTGAAATGATTGCTCTCTGTGGCCTTGCACAAGTTCCTGTGCAGTTGTTTAGTGGCAAAAAGTAACTTCTTTGGCATTTCTCTGCCTCTCCCCTCTTTCTTTTTTTTTTTTTGTCTTTAATGTATTTGGCATCTGAGTGTATAATTAGAACACTTTGTTCTTGAAACAAAAATTGAACTGCTATTCTGGATGTGAAGCTTTGCAGACTTCAGACAAAGGGGTGCTTCGTTATCCCCCACCTTTTAGTACCCCTTGAGGAGCAAATAAAGTGTTGAGCTAAAGCAACATGAGCAGCTCAGTCCTGGTGATCTGCAGGCAGCGAATCTCAGGTGAGAGAAAAATCAGAGGAAAAGGCAGAGACAGTGACTGAGTCTGGTTAGCAGTGAGGAAGAGGTTGATTCTGAGGCTGCTGATAGGTTAGGTGATAGGAGGCAGATGTCTGGCCTGCACTGAGGCTGAGAGGAGCAAAAAGCAATCCCAGCGAGTGGATTGCTCATGGATGAGGTTCCCAAACCCACTGGAGGTGGAGTTGATGTGATGGGGTACGAAGGCCTGGGAATGAAGTGGGTTCTTTGGCATCTTGTTTGCTGCTGAAAAGTAGTTGCAGTAGGACTAGTTTTGCTTTGTTGCCTAAAATGGAAGATAAAAGGCAGAAGGATGTGGTTCACTCAGGTGGATTGAGCAGCCTCCTGTCTGTGTGAGTGATGTGTTGTCCAAGAAATCCCTGGGGTGTGTCAGAGGGAGGTGACAGCAGCCTTTGCTCTGCTCAGCTCTGGGCTCTGATCCCTTCAAGCTGAGTGGGGTGTCCTGCACCTCCCGTGAGAACAGGTTAGTTGGGGGAAAAGAGGAGGAAAGAAAAGGTGGATCTCAGTGTCAGAACCACCCTCCTCCTTGCACCCAGGCACTGATCCCTCTGCCACGGGTCATGGCTGCTCTGAACTGTCACTGCTGAGTTAGGAAGTGACCACAAACCCTCTTGCTACATCAGGTGGCTTGTGCAGCTCTAAGGGAGAGTTTATGTGGGAGGGTGGATGAATGTTCCTGTGACCATCCTGTGAACCAGCGCAGGGAAAGCAGCTGGATTAAAAACCAACCTGGGCAAACGAGGAAGTTTTAATTTGGATGTTTCTCCTGGTTGATTTTGCTTTGGCTCTGTGAATGCTTTTGCTGCCAGAACAGGGAGGAAGGGGTGGCATGGGATAAAGGAAAATAAAGCAGGATAAATACTGTGACAGTTATCCATTCCATGGGATATGCCAAACAGGCTGCTTGGAGTAATATCAGCAGTGTGCAGATAGTGCATTTGTTTTTTAATAATTATTATGTAATAACTGTATTCTCATCCTCCAGAAAATACCTAATACCTCCTGTACACACTTCTTAACACCTGATTTTTTTTCTTTTTTCCTTTTTTTCCAGACAATGGGCACTGCACACTAAGCAGGGGTGGAAGACTGAAGCCCATCTGGGGACAGAATGAGTGTAAAAGATGCTGACAGTGCAGTTTGCCAGGCAAAGGCAGCCTATAACCTGCAGATTTACCCCCAGCTCTCCACAGAAAGCGCTCCCTGCTGCAGAGTGACAGCGACCAAGGACAGCACCTCGTCAGATGTCATCAAGGATGTGATCAGCATCTTGAACTTGGACGTCTCCAAGCACTACGTGCTGGTGGAGGTGAAGGAATGCGGGGGAGAGGAGTGGGTGCTCGACATCAACGACTCTCCCGTGCACAGGGTTCTGCTGTGGCCTCGCCGCGCTCAGGACGAGCACCCCCAGAAGGATGGCTACTACTTTCTCTTGCAAGAGAGGAACACTGATGGCACCATCAAGTACGTGCAGATGCAGCTGCTCTCCAAGGAGACGGATGCCCGCAGGTTGGTGGAGCGGGGTTTCCTTCCGTGGCACCAGGAGGACTTCGATGACTTGTGCAACCTCCCCAACCTGACAGAGACCACGCTCCTGGAGAACCTCAAGTGCCGCTTCCTAAAGCACCGGATTTACACTTATGCGGGAAGTATCCTGATTGCAATTAACCCCTTCAAGTTCCTGCCCATCTACAATCCCAAATACGTCAAGATGTACGAGAATCATCAGCTGGGGAAGTTGGAGCCTCATATTTTTGCCATTGCTGATGTGGCCTATCACACAATGCTTAAAAAACACGTGAATCAGTGCATTGTTATATCAGGTGAAAGTGGGTCTGGGAAAACCCAAAGCACAAACTTTTTAATTCACTGTCTCACGGCTCTGAGCCAGAAAGGGTATGCCAGTGGTGTGGAGAGAACCATCCTGGGAGCTGGACCAGTCCTGGAGGTAAAGCTGTGCTCAAACTGCCTTCTGTGAGAACTGGGGCTTGAGAACTTCAAATAGCTGCTGCTGAATGCTGCTTTTGAGTCTCACCTCCTTGGTTTAGGCTTCAAATGTCACTAGTTTTGGGCTTGTCACTTGGTTTAGGCTTAAATGTCACTGGGCTGCTGTGGTGTTTGGCAGCATTGCCTGACTGCTCCTAATTGATTTTCCTTAACTTGTCCTTCTGTTCAGTTGACTTCCTGTTGCTTGTAATTTATAGGTGACTTATTTCCACCACTAAACACTCAGATTCTGGGACAGGGGTTATACCTGTGTTTTCCATCTGAAAGCTTTGAGGGCATTTGAATCCAATTGTCAGCAAATGTTTTCATAAAGATTGTTCCACCGAAACAGCAAGTGCTTGGTGTGATCCTGCCTCTGTGTGGGAGCATGTCCTGCAGCATTTGTCTGAACTCACTGTTTGAGAGATTTATTTCCTTTCTACAACTGTTCTGAAGAGAGCATCGATTTCAGTTGAGGAGAAAGTGGCAGTCTCTTTGGGCTTTTAATTATTCCAGCATTTCCAAGAGAAAGCAAAACTAAACATGTGAGAGGAGAGGGCACAGCTGGTATTGCATTAGGTAACAGCAGGACAAACTTTAACTGATCTCCCTTTGATTCTCCCAAAGGAAAAACCTCTGGAGGTGTGGATGGATGTAAAGGCCAACCCTAATAAAATCTCCAACAGCAAAGAGCTTGAACGCAGGCAGTGTGATTTTTAGGTTTCAATAGTTTCAAATGGAACAGCACTGTCATAAAAAGAAGTTTAGGCTTTTTTCAGAGCTTTTCTGTAAAGAATGAGGAATATGTGCAAGTTCTTTTTTGCCTTGCTTTCTGCTGCTTGAAAGAAGAAGTAAAATTGAGGCTTGTTGGTTGCTGGAGTTCACATTTGCAGTTCTAAACAGAAAACAGGAAGGGGTCACTGTGGAAAGCCCTGTTTGATCAGCTGATCTTGCTGCCTTTGATAAATTTAACTGTTTCAGATCCTCCTCTGCAGACGTGGTGCAGCTGTGTCAAAGCAGGCAGAGATGTAAAACCCTGAGTGCCTGTTTGTCTGCTCAGGGTTCACAGCTCCAATCCCTAACTCTGCTGGACTGCAGGTCAGGGTTGTGTTTGCCTGGGGATGTTCACGAGGAGATGAACATTGTGATTTCCTACTCTTAAGTACCACAACTACTTCAGACTTCCACTGAGCATTTAGGAATGATTTTCATGAGGAAATAGCCTTGTTAGCTGGAAATCTGATAAGTGATTGAAAGCTTAGCTTGCAGACTTGCCAGTTAGACTCTAACATGTTGTCTAAAATGAAATTCTCAGAAATGTCTTTATCTGCTTCTCTGAGGGTGTTTGTCAGTCAGAGTTGAGTCAGTGTAAGCCTCCCAAATATTCCAAAAGATAGTAGATTTTGACAACTAAACGTACGAAATAGTCACATCTGAATCCTAAAATATCTTTCAGAATGGAATATATGTTGATGTAAATTCAGAGTGCATCAGAAAGCATGGCTGTGGTGGGATTAGAAGATAAGAAATGAAATGCAGTCCCCCTGATTGGATTCAGCTGACACTCAAGTTCTACGTTTCCCAATTCCAGTCACTAAGCTTCATTTTTAAAATAAAAAAAAAGTCAAACCTTGCTCCTGGCGAGGGATGCCCAGAAAGCTTCCACACTGCTTTGTAGAAGTTCCTGCAAACTCCTGCCAGAGCTGGTCACGTTAAATCCATCCCTGGTGACTCACTTGGTGTTTTACTGGAGGGAACTAAAGTGCCTCAAGGGAGTTTTTCTGACATGGATGTTTCAGGGGATTTTTTGCAGTGTGCCCAAACTATTTGAGAATGTTCTGTTTTGATTTTGAAGTTTTATTCTGAGTCCTCATCAAAGCTGGCCATGGACTCTTGACTGAAAACCTTCGTGATGTAGACGTGGGTTGTGTTTTGGGTCAGAACTTCCTCATTTCAGCGGTGTAAAAATGGGACTGTTTCTAAGCTGACCTTCTGCAAAAGTTCAAGGGGTTAAAGCACAGAGAGGGCTGAGCACAATTAGAGTGGTGTGGAGGTGGATTCATGATTTTATTGTTGCATGCTTAGGGAACTTGGGAACATTTTCTGCTGTTTCTGTGTTGGCTCATTAATCTGTGTTCAAACCTCCAGGCGATTTGCAGATGAACTGTCGTTAATATTTTAGCTCCTGGCTCCCAATTTTTGACTTTGAAGGATGGATTAGAGCTATCTTTGTCAAACATCTGGGAAATGAAAGATGTGCTACTGAGTGGAGTTCAAAATTCAGTCTGCTCTCAGCACAAGTGCTGTCACATGGGCTGGGGAGAGGAAGATGGTCATGGGTCAGCTCTGATTCTCAGCTGCTTCCTGCTCAATCTCAGCTGTTTCTGAGGCTCCTGCTTGGGGATCTGACAAGCAGAGCTCGATTCCAATACTTCTGATGACACTTGGCACTGTTTGCAGCTTTCTAGAGAAGAGGAATCAAGGGCTGGGGCCTTCCAGGGTACAGTGATGCTGCAGCACAGCCCCAGCCTGGGGTTTGTGCTGCTTTTTAACAGTTCAGGAGACATTAAATTGCTTTAACTCTCAGATTAAGTTGATTTGTTTTTTTAAATTATATCCCCAGGCTAAGGGAGATCATCTCTAGTGAAGAACAGTTTCTTTAACACCAGTGAGAAGAGAAATATAAGCTCCTTTTTAAGATACTCCTAACTTTTTCATCCTCTTCTAAATCTAGTAATTAAAGTACAGTTCCCTGACTTGCAGTCTTGCCTTCTTGTACTGACTGTTAAGTTCAATTTACTTAGGACTGGAATTCCAAAAAAGAATTTACATTTGGGATCTATTATTTGGGTCAAATTGGGAATACTGAATCAAACTGGGAGTAGTGAATCAAAGCTTTGTTTATTTTATAGAGTCTCAAACAAGAGAATCAAACCTTCCCCTGCACACTGAAGAAGTTTCCAATAAACTTATATTTTCCTTTCCTCGAGGAAAAATGTCTCAGCTGCCTGTTTTGGCCACAGAATGCACAATGTGCAACGGAAGACTCTGAATTTCTTTTGGAAACCTAAATTTAACTTATTCTTGGAGCCAATGAATTTAGTGAAGTGGCAGGGGATTGAGCAAGGGGCTGGGAATGTGTGGTGAGGGAATGGAGGGAATTGGAGCTTTGTCTTCTGGCAGCAGAGCTCGGCTTGGCTTGTCTGTCCTGAACTGCAGCCCTCGATATTTTGGCTTTATTACAGAATTCCTGTCACTTTTTGAGTGTGCTGAAAGTTCATTTCCCTCTGAAATGGGAGTTGAGGAGAGGTGGGACAGATACTGGGGGAATCCTCATTTTTCCTGTATTATGTGGAAAACCATTGCTTGTTCCCACTTGGATGTGTCCTTGGAGATCTCCTAATGCCACTGAGCATTCTGTGGGAAGGGTTCAGGCCCAAATAAAATGACAATTCCAAGCAGGAAGCATTCATTAAGTGTTCTTCTAAAGGAGGATTATTGCTGACAGCACCATCAGGTGGAGGGGGATCAGATTTTCTGGAACTCACCACATTAAAAAACTTACCAAATTTAATGTAGAAAGTTTTATGCTTCCCAGTTCTGTGGAGACCAGAGTGAAGCCATTTGTAGCTCTGTTTTAATTAAGACATTCCCTCTGTGCTGGTGGCTTTGGGATAAGATGGACTGAAGCTTCAGCTCTGGTTTTCATTGGTATTTACCATCAAAGCCTGCACATGCATTTCGTGGGTGTAGCCTGGGATTCTATTCCAGGGAAAGTGGTTGTTTTAAACATTTATCTGCATGTGTTTGTTTTAAGAATCATAATCAGAGGAGGAATGGAACTTCCTTTCTCCGTTTGTTTGGATTTTAGTTGATTTTCTTCTTAGTAAAAATGTCTTGTTGCTGCTTTTCCCTGCTGGGAAAAAAAAATCACCTGGTCCTTTTTTCACTCTTCCCATGCTTGGAATTCCCTGGAACATCCCCCAGCAGGTGGAACTGCAAAGTGACCCTGAGCAGTGGCTGAGTGGGGACTTCCCAGCGTGGTTGTGAAGAGCCCTGGTAAAGCAAATCCAACTCCAGGGAAGTCATTTCCCCTTCCAGGGGGTGGAATTGGAGCCCTCCATGTCATTTGGCAGGTTGGAAGATGGGGCTGTGTTGGACCTGTCTGTGATTTCCATGGGAACTCCAGAAGCTTTTTCAGATTTGGGCAGATTAATTTCAGATTAATTCTTAGGAATTAATTCAATGAGATTTGTAGTTGTGTGGCAGGAGGGGGAGCGTGTCTATGGCTTGGTTTGGGGTGGTTTTTCTGACAGCAGATAAAAGGAGACTTTGATGTTTTCCTGAATACTCTGAAATCTGTCAGTGCTGTAGGAGTTTGGAGTGGCAGATCCACTTTATGCCTCTTGCATTCCAGCCTGGGAAGATGGCTTGGATGACTTCCTGCTTCCTGGAATAGGCTCTGATTGCTGCTGCCCTTGCTCTGCTATTTTTGCCTCACCCTCTCATGTAGCTGGTGTTGTGCATTGGAGTCATTTTGGGTCAGTTTTTTTGGGTTTAGCTGTCTCCACATTGACTCACAAAAGAAAACAGTGAATGGGTTTGCTTGGATAAAGGATTATTTCTCCTTACCTGAGATTCTCTTGGCCCCTCACATCTTCTGAATTTATTTTGTACTTGCCAAAATATATGGAAGGACTTGGTAACAGTGATTAGAGTTAAATGTAACAACAACAACAAAAAATTCCCTACCCAAAATGTTCACTGACTTGGAATGTTCTGTAAAAAGCTGTAGATGCTAAAGGCTCTTCTGAGGAAAGCATTCATGCAAACTTTCCTAAAAACTGTTAATATTAGGTCAGCTTTTAAGAATTTGCTGTGTGCTTTGACCAAATACCAGACACATGAGATCATAAGAGCTTTAGTTTTCAACTGTATTCATTGCTTACATGAGTAATCACTAAGAAAAGTTTATCAGGAAGCCCAAGTTATGGGGTTTCTTAACTCTGTAGTGCCAAAAATTAGTTATTACAAAATAATGTGGCAAATGTAGCTGCGCTGTGGTTTGGTTTCTTGGCTGTAACCAGTGAGCTGATGGTTGGCTGGTGGCTTAGGTTAGAAAACTTTAGAAAAGGAGGTTTCTGTGGGATGGATTTGCAAGTCCATTTTTCTGCAGTCTGGCAAAGCTCGCTCCAGCAGATTTCCCAGGGCACAGAGCGGGAAGCTGGGAGGTGTTTGACACAGAGCCTGAGCTGAGCCACCGTCCTGGGGAGGAGCAGGGCTTGGATTTCCAGAGCTGGGCTCGTCCTGGGGAGGAGCAGGGCTTGGATTTCCAGAGCTGGGCTCATCCTGGGGAGGAGCAGGGCTTGGATTTCCAGAGCTGGGCTCGTCCTGGGGAGGAGCAGGGCTTGGATTTCCAGAGCTGGGCTCGGGCCATGGGACTTGCACTGCTGGTTTGGTCCCAGGAGGAGCTGGCCTGGATTTTATACACATGTTAATGTGCATGTGCATGCAAGGTGGGCTCTGAAAAGAGAAATCTGAGTGATCCCTGATGGAAGCTCCAAAAAAGATGCTGATGGCTGGGCAGTGCTTGCTTTGAATAATCTGAGTGGGGGTGCTGTTGGTGCTGGCTGTGTGTCTTGGAAAATCCAGGGGCTGAGCTCAGCTATCTGTGAGATGCTGGGACAAATCCTGTCCCTCCAGCCATGGGTAAGCACTTCTGGATACAAATCCTGTCTCTTCAGCCACTGCTGGACACAAATCCTCTCCCTCCAGAAGCCCTTCTGCAGTTACAGCACAATCCACCTGCACAGGAAGAGCTCCTTTAGCTTGTTCCTTTAGGTCAAAAATAACAGTTGCCTGAAGAATTCTGGACGTTCTCCCAGTTTATAGGAAGTTTCTCAGGCTCTCTGAACGTGAGGTGGAAATCTTGTAAGAGAAAGAAAGGTGGGAAGCTGGGAGAATCTGTTTGGGAATTAATGATCCAGGAGTCCCCACTGCAGGGTGGCTGCAACCCTTGAGGTGCTTTGTTAAAAAAACCCCCAAAACCAATAGAGAAGGGAAGGCTTTCAATATGCAAATAATCTGACTGTCCTGAAAATTATTCCCTGTGGAAATACAACAAAATTGGGCAGTTTTGTGTGTAAACAGCTCAGTTCTGTGCTGTCTGCAGTCCTTATCCCTCCTGCTCCAGATGTGTGTGTGGAGGAACAGGGTGGCACTTCTGGGCAGTCATGCCCTGAATGTTCTATATTAGGGAGGAGGATTTCCTAATGGAGGCTTTAATTATCCTTGGAGCTTTAAGAGGAAATATCTGTGGCAGGAATTGCTGGGGATGGTCTGCCCTGAGCAGAGCTGTTTTTGCAAACAATTAAATCTAACACAGGGTTTCTTCTCTGGGTGCTGCATTGCCTGCTCATGGGGAAGGGTGAAAAGTTCCCCTCAGCCTTGGAACACACAGTTAAGAGTTGATAAAGTTAAGGACATTCCCAATAACTAATTCTGCTGGATTTTTAGATGTAATAACTCACCTTTATGGTTCTTAAGCATGGCTCATGCTGAGGATATTTTGTGCAATTAGGGTTTGTGCCATACCTATTTTTCCCCCCTCTTTCCTGGAACCCTAAAAGGAGACCACATTTTTTGGTGTTGTGTAGCAGAGTAGCTGCCCAGTAAGTGTAAACCAAAGTGGGTTTGTTTGTCTTTCTCCTGTTTTCTTGAATACACCATTTGGGCTAATTTTATAAGTGAGATCTGAACGTTTCTGTCTCACGTAAATTAAAAATGGGGAATAGGATGTAGCTTGTGGGTTTTGTAGGGGAGAGGCAGTTTCCTGGTATTTGTGCTGCCTCCTTCCAGCAGAATATCCTCTTTAAGGTCCTAATTGTTAGGAATTGAGGCTGATTTGTGCTCTCTAACTGTGATTGCCTGTCTTGTGCTCTTAAAAATATCTGAATGTGTTATTCCCTTCCCTCAGTCCTTCAAAATATTATTGCATGAGGCAAATAAAAAACATATGTAGATGTGTAAGGAACATGGGGGCTTCCTGAGCTGCCTTTTTGGTATCCATGTGCTGCCACTTCCATAGAATTCCAAGTTTATATTGGAAGCTCTTGGGGGTCTGGACAATGGACAGAAGAGCTTGGAAAGCTGGCTGTTGACACATTAAGTTGAATGGAAAATGAACTCCTTTTGCTTTGTTACAGGCATTTGGAAATGCAAAAACAGCACATAACAACAACTCCAGCCGTTTTGGGAAGTTCATTCAAGTCAACTATTTAGAGAATGGGATTGTCAGGGGGTAAGTACAGCGTGGGGTGGTCCTGGGGTGGTCTCTGTGCTTTGAGGGACTGGGTGAGCTTTGTTGGATATCAAATGTTTGAGAGTGTCTGACTGAGCTCTGTGGAATTACCAGGTCATGCATAATGTCCTCACTTTGCTGTACAGCTGGCTCAGGTGAAGGATTTGCTGCTGCAGCTTTGCCTTCCTGCTGCAGGAAGGCTTTTTGGTAACACTCCATTTTGCACTGCAAAACAGAAGATCTGGATCTTGGAGAGGAGTTGGAGAGAAGTGAGATAAATTTGAGGAAGCCACGTTAAAGAAACAGTTTAAACACCAACTGGAGAGATAAAGAAAGCAATAAAATCATTACTTGAATTAATTGAAATTGTGTGTCAAACATGAAATATCCTGTGCCTGCATTTGCCAGTTCTGCTGCACTGGGGAGTGTCAGGAGCCATCCCTGACCTTTGTGCTCCAGAATTCCCTTCCCTTGGATCATTTTCATGTTTGCAATCCCAGAAGTGACTGGGAACTCTGTACCACATTTGCTTTGAGTCTTCCCCTGAACAAGTTTGGCAGCTTTTCAGACCAGGTCACACCAGCTCAGGAGACTGGGACAATTTGAATACACTTGTTTTGTCTTCAGCAGGAGGAAAAGCTGCTCAGACTTTGACCTCAGTCATTTTATCCCCTGTGAAGGATTTTAAATCTCACTCAGGAGGTTCCTTTGTCACTGTGGGAGGGGATTTCTGTCTGGCTCCCATTCCAGGCTGGCATCCCCACTGTCCTGTTGGACTGAGTCACCCTGGGATATTTTGGGGGGGTTGTAGCCTGTGCATTCCTGGTCAGATAACTGTTCATCTCCAGGGATAACACCTTGTTACCACTCCATGTATCTTGTTTCTCTTTACAATTTTCCTTGCTTTGTCTGCTTGTTTCCAGTTATCTCCACCAAACCCAAGCACTGCAGATAGATGTCCTTAGCTATTTCTCTGTGTTCCAATCATAATATAGTCCTACTGAAATTCCTGTCTGAGGTTTAAGGTAGTGACTAAGTTATTCTCTTGCATATTTTGGTGCAGATCTCATTATTTGAACTCTCCTGGCAGTTGTTGCCTGATGTTTTCTGAAGTCTTTTCTTTTTGCCCTCATGTTTTTTTCATTTTCTGGTGGCTCCTTAGGGCTGTTGTTGAAAAATACCTGCTTGAAAAATCTCGCCTGGTTTCTCAAGAGAAAGATGAAAGGTAAGAGATGAAAACAGTTTTTTCCAGAAGAATTCCAATCAGTGGAAGAGTTTAAGAACATCTGAAGCACCTAAAATAAAAACCATTATTTTCATGAGAGAAATGTCTTGACTCTGCAGGAACTACCATGTCTTCTATTATTTGCTACTTGGAGTCAATGAGGAAGAGCGTAAAGAATTTCACCTCAAGCAACCTGAAGATTATTTCTACCTCAACCAGGTAACCAGTGCTTTGATAAGGTTTGTCTGCCTGTTGGGCCAAAGAAAGGCAGGACAGATTATACCTTCTTTTCTTGTGATGTTTGGGCCTTGTCCTTAGCCTTTAGTCATGGGTCTCTCTCCACAGCATAACTTGAAAATTGAAGATGGGGAAGATCTCCGGCACGAGTTTGAGAGATTAAAACAAGCCATGGAGATGGTTGGCTTCCTTTCAGCAACAAAGAAACAGTGAGTAGAATTCTTGAGGCTTTTGTTGCTGGTAGTTGATGCTCCTGAGCTGCAGTGAGCTCTCTGTGTGTTGGCATCAGAAGCTGTTCAGTTGGGAGCGAGGACACCTGAGTGTTCCAGGGCTGACAGACAGAGCCTTGAAGTAGAATTAGCCCTGCTAACATGTTGTGATAACGATCTCCTAAGGAAAATTCTTATGAAATTCCATTTTTCTTCCTTAGGATTTTTTCCATCCTTTCAGCTATTCTCTACCTGGGCAATGTCACGTACAAGAAGAAAGCCACAGGTCGGGATGAAGGGTTGGACGTGGGACCTCCTGAAGTGTTGGACATTCTTTCCCAGCTCTTAAAAGTAGAGTATTTCTCTTAATCCCTAATGTGTGATACACCTGTTTGTCATGCTCTGCCTCAGTGTTTCACTTGGATATCCCAGCTGCTCTATCTTGGATCTCCCTTTTGGTACTTCCACTACATTTGTCTTGTGGGAGGGGAAACATGAAATGGGGAAATTGTTTGGGTTAGAGATGAAATATAACCTGTCATGGAAACAGGATTTGTTTACTCCCCAGTAATAGAGCTGAGCAGGAGTAGATTCAGTGTAGGTGTGTTCTTTGCCACCACAGGAAAACATCTGAATGAATCCAAGCTGAGAATAATTTAAAGAAGTTGTAAATGGTTGATAAATGTGGATGTTGTTGAAGAGCTTGGGCTTCTGTGAGGAAGTTCTGTGTCCAAATTACTCACTGAGGAGCTGGAGGGTGACAATAACTCTTGTTCTCTCTTGTTTTGAAGGTTAAACGAGAAATCCTGGTAGAAGTGCTAACAAAAAGAAAAACTGTGACTGCTAATGATAAGCTTATTTTGCCATATAGTCTCAATGAGGTGAGTAGAAGAACATTAGTGGAGTGATTTTAAATAACTGAAACTTGCTTTTTTGGGTTAAAAAAGCTTAAATGGTACACTTTGACATTGTGAGGGTGTTAGGAAAGTTAGAAGTTGGCACTAAAGGAAAATCATGATTTTATTTGTCTCTGCTGGGATTGTAACCCGGGAGTGACACTGCTTGGAAACAGAAATGCTATTCTTTATTTAAAGTTCTGAACATTGTTTGATCTGCAGGCAATTACAGCTCGTGATTCCATGGCCAAGTCCCTGTACAGTGCTCTGTTTGATTGGATTGTTCTGAGAATCAATCATGCACTCCTGAATAAGAAGGACATGGAGGAATCTGTTACAGTGAGTGTCTCCCCAGACAAGCCTTTGCAGGCAGTTGTGTCCTGAGAGCAGTGATGTAATCAGGTGTCTGGGATAAATCTTGAGCAAGAAGCCCATGGTAAATTTCTTGGTAATATTTAATCATCTCTGTTTTTACAGTAGACAAAACTCTGAAATATTCAAATTAAATACTCAGGTATTCAAAATCTATCAGCTTAGACTGCAGTGCTTTCTGCACTGGTTGTCTCTTGGGGGTTAAGGCACTGTGTGACAGACTATTAACTGGATTTCCATGTCTTCTTTTAGTGTCTGTCCATTGGTGTACTTGATATCTTTGGGTTTGAAGATTTTGAAACCAACAGTTTCGAACAGTTCTGTATAAATTATGCAAATGAGCAGCTTCAGTATTATTTCAATCAGCACATTTTCAAATTGGAACAGGTAAGGAACAAGAAATAAAACCATTTTTATCAAGTGCTCCTGTATTATGCAGACCTAACCTCTATTCTGCAAAACCCTGTGGCATAATTGCTTGAATATTTCTGGAAGTCTTCTTACTTTTTTAACTTCTTGTTTCATTATTGCTCGTTATTTTTGAAAGTAGTGGCTTTGCTCATCTCTTTAGTGCTCTGTGTGTACTCATGGTAGTGAGAGGGCTGGCACTGAGTTCCTGCTTGACTGCAGAAATTAAGGCAACATTCAGGTGACCCCAAGTGAAACTGTGAACTTTGATATTAAAAGTCTGTAGGTGAGGTGGTTTTGCTTTGTTTTAGTGGTTTTAGCAGTTTTTAAGTATTTAATAAGTCTTCGTTGCTTCTCCCACCCAAGTGCATTTAGGGGAGACAACTGGCAGCAGTTCTGAGATCCTGATGTTACTGGCATACATTGATTACTTGTTTGCAGATGGTGTCATCTTACAGAGCACTTTGAGTGCTGCAGGAGCCAACAGATCTGTTTCTGGACTCAGCTTTGGGGGTTTTGCTCTAGAAACTTGTAATTTTTCCTGCTTTGTGTGCAAATGTGGTTCTCAGGTCACTCTGCTGAAAGGGAGAAGTCATTCTGTAGTGTGTAGATAACTTGAAACAAGCATTTTAAAGAAAGGCAAATTACTGAACATCCAAATTTTGTGTGTAAACATAATGTTGAGGTCCCTGTTTTGTAACTTATGACAGAACTGGCTGTCCAGGCTGACCAGAGTAAATAGTTGCATTGTCTTCTTTCTTTTTCTAATGCTGTTTTCCCAAATAAGCTTAATCCTTGAATGACCCATTTCCTGTATCTCTTGCAGCCTGAGGGCCCTCAGGGGGATCTCTATATCTTTTTAAAGAAAGGCTTTCTTGTCTGTGGAAAATGGCATTTCAGTTGTGTAAGGCAGCACACACTGAGCAGTCTGTGTTGGGCAGGCTGAATTCTACCTACTTAAAAATAATGCATTTATCGTCATCATCATCTAGAGCACTGAGAGGTGCTCTTTGTCCTTTGTTTAACATAAAACTTATTTAATTTTCTGTATGATACCTCCCTTTACTTTAGTATCTTATCATTATTTTGTGGGTATTTACAACATCAAGACAATCTGATATTTCAGTTGTAAATTAGTGGGAAGCTTGTCCTGTTGAGCATTTGATGCACTGTCATTTCAGCAGAAGAGCTTCATGTTCTCTTGGCTCCAAATTTTCTAAACCTAAGCAATGTCCATTGCTTCCTTGGGGAAGTTCTGGGGGTGTTTGTGTAGAGCTTCACTGCCTCTTTTGAAACTTCTGACAGTGCAGTTTGAACATTCTGGAACTTGATAATAAGTATTTGTCATTTCCTATAATGCAAGAATTATGGAAGAGAAAAACAGACTCCAGCTCCTCTGCCGTGTCCACCCAGGGCTGCAGTGGAATGCTGGAGATGGGACGTGTGAGTGCAGGGTCAGAGGCTGTGATTGCTGGGAAGGCAGAGCACAGCAGAACATTCTTTTTTCAATAATTCTCCCCCAAACAGGAGTTTGAGTGATGTGCCTAAGTGGCCCTTTGATCTGAGTCACTCTGCCTGCTCTTCTGTTCTTTGAAATAATTCTTCCTTCCTTCTGTCTCTGCTGCCTGAACTAACAAACCCCACTGGCTGTAGCTGTTTGAGGATGTGTTTTAAGCACTCAGAGCCCAGGACATCAAAGCTCAGGGCACTGTACTGATGAGGGAATTTTCTTGAGCTACACAGGAGGAATATAAGAGTGAAGGGATCACTTGGCACAATATTGACTATACTGATAATGTGGCCTGCATTCACTTAATCAGCAAGAAGCCCACTGGCCTCTTCTATCTTCTGGATGAAGAAAGCAAGTAAGCAACAAACATCTTCTGGCAAAAGGTGTGGCAGGGAGGAGGGAAGGACTGAAAGGGAACAGGAATACAGCACTTGAAAAAGGAGAGGAATGTTGTGGGAAGCCAAAGGTCATTTATGAGCCTGATTTACACTGTAGTTTGCTTGTAATGACTGCAGTATGGTGGTGATATAAATTAATGTTAGAACTGAACGTTGGTTTAAGCAAATTTAGAAACTTCCATGTTTGTGGTTTACCATGGAATTACTAATTATTAATTAAAATAAAATGTGTGTATGTAATTCCTTGGAACATTAAGTAACAAATGTGGTAAATAGTTAATGTAGTAACTAAACCTGGCTGCTGAAATGGGAGGAAACACTGACATTCAGAATATTCTGCTGTGTGTGGAGCTGTTTGGTTTGGGTCCAGAAATTAAACCCACCTCTAAAATTCAGAGCAGGTGTAGAGATCTTGGACAGCTAATACTTTTCACAAGGGTCAATAGGTGTTCACTCTGTCACCATAATTAACACACCTGTATTTGGGAAATAGCTGGCTTCTTTTGTTTTGTATTCCCAGTTTTCCACATGCCACCAACCAAACTCTGCTGGCCAAATTCAAGCAGCAGCACGAGGAGAACAAGTTCTTTGTGGGAACCCCAGTGATGGAACCTGCTTTTATCATCCGGCACTTCGCTGGGAAAGTGAAATACCAGATCAAAGTAGGTGATGGATCTGATGGCCACAAAATAATCCTTGCCTTTCTGAGGGAGTTTTCTGTCAGGGTGTAGAAAATCTGCTGGGAATGGGCTGGATTAAAGGGTATCAGCTGTACTTTGGGGGGTGGGGGTGTAGATGGGAGGGTAACACCATAGGGAGAATTGTTTAGAATAACGAGTTCTGCTGAACAGCGATAGCTGGGGTCAGAGCACAGCCTGTGTTTCAGCGTGGCTGGGTGTCAGGATTTCAGGGAGAAGAACATGGACTACATGAGGCCGGACATCGTGGCTCTGCTGCGGGGCAGCGACAGCGCCTTCGTGCGGGAGCTGATCGGGATGGACCCCGTGGCCGTGTTCCGCTGGGCCGTGCTGCGCGCTGCCGTCAGGGCCATGGCCGTGCTCGCAGAGGGGGGACGCCAGAGGGCTCAGAAAACTGCAGGTATGGCAGGGGAAACTGGGCTGGGAACACAGAATCCTCTATGGTTGGTCAGTGCCTGCTGGCAGAACCAGCAGCTTTGTGGTGAAACGGCGTCAGCTGGCAGCGATCTTTGGCACCCAGCGCAACGCGGCTGGTGAAAGGTGGTTTAGCAGCTCGCCCGTCAAGGAGGTTGTCAGTGTTTTACCTGAGGTTATTCAGCTTTCCACCTCCAATCAGTGCACCACGTCCAGCAGGCTGTGCCAGATTGGAAGTCCTGGTTGGTCAGAGCGTGGTGCTGATGATACCAAGGCTGTGGGTTTGATCCCCTCGTGGGCTGTTCACTTACTCTGATCCCTGTGGGTCCCTTCCAACTCAGAATATTCTGGGATGCTCTGTGAAGCTGGGGAAGATAGTTCTAATCTGCATTCTCTTTGCTAGTTTTGATCTTCTCAGACATCTCTGAAGTTTCAAATGAGTATTCATAGTTAAAATGAATAGTTCATAACTATTAATTTTAAGAAACTTTTCTGAGCAGCTGCAATTTACTTTCTAGTAGTAGGGAGTTTGAGAAGCAAAGTGCTGTAGCTGGATAAAGCACTAAATAAAAACTCTAGGCCCTTGGATAGATATTTTTCATGTTACAGTTAGTGGTTGGGGTTTTTTCCTGTCTGTTATGCTCATACCTCTGTCAAAATGCAATTTGTTGCTTATTTCCTAACAGGAGTGGTACGTCAAGGACCCAGAGTTCCCCTTGCTGAGCTCCAGAGATCCAACACCCCAGTAGAAAAAGTTTATCGGTGAGAAAACATCCTTAACCTGTCCAGGGAAAAGAGCCTGAACTGCTGAGTTGCATTTTCATGTATCAAATGTCAACTAGATCTGCCCACAAGGAGAGCGAGTTTCATTCCTTCTCTCTTGTTTTCTTTGGCCTTTATAATGCTATCAACACAACAATCCAGCTCATTTTATATAAGACCCAGTGCTACCACACGCTGGGGACAGCCTCAGATCCATTTACCAGTGGGGTTTTGAGTTCTGTGTGCTTGGTGTGTGTTGCTGTTAGCACTGTGTGTTCCTCTGCAGCCAGTCTGTGTCACTGAAGGATTCATAGGAGCACTCGTGTTTTTGCAGCCTTGTGACATCATTAGGAGGGAGGCAAATGCTTCAGAACTGCCTCCACATGTTCTCTGGAGGCAGATTGGCCTTTCTGTGGAGTATTCAGGCTTTATACATGTTCCTTTTGCAGCTCCTCAGTGCTTGATTTCTCATTTGATTGTTCTGAGGATTACGCTGTAAATGCTTTTCAAGACCTCGTTCCTTTCCGTGAAAACAAGAAGTGAGTAGCACCAGGCCTGAACTTCCACATTCCACAGGCACATTTGCAGGCCAGGGAGACCCATTTACGGGCCAGGGAGGCACATTTGCAGGCCAGGGAGGCACATTTGCAGGCCAGACTGACCTTCTGAGCATCCTCTGAGTGCCAGTGAAGCCGTGGGGCACACAAAGGAGTGACTTCCTGCTGCTTCCTAATTACTTCATCCTGGACAGCCTCTGTCACTTGGGGCGATTAAGAACTAAAGATCCAATCTGGGTGACAAAGTTAGTCATAAAAAAAAAAAAAAGAGATTTGTTTCCTTGGGACATCTTAAAACAAGTCTTGATATTCCAAAGTGTTCGGAGGTAGCAAGGGAAGCAACAGCTGTCTGTAATGGTGCTGCTGCTCAGAACAGTGGGAGCATCTGACAGTCAGAAGTGATTCTTACACTTCTGTTATTTTTCATTTGTGCCTCTCTGGAGAGTAAAGAAGGTAAGTTCTGTGCCAGGACACAACGCTTCACAAGCACAGTGCATGCTTGAGGAATGGAATCTGCCACACAGTAGGAACTACCCCAGGCTTACTTTGAAAAGCTAAACGTGAATAACTTGGAAATGGAAGTGAAAACCAAAATTTCTTCAGGTGTCCTCCCAACAGCTTGTTTGTAACTTAGCTTCCTGATGTGTGTTTAAGTAGCCTCGTTTTAGTAGTCAAATATATATAAAAAATATTTATTGTTGATTATTAAGAAGCTTATATCTACCTGAAAGGGCTGCTTGGCTAAACAAAGGGGTTCCCTGCCCATTAAGTACATTTTGCTAAATTTCTCTCAATTTTCCGAATTGATGGCTCAAGAATTTACATTAAAAGGTAGAATTAGGGAGTAAATTCAGAATGAGACCCTGGCAATTAAATTTTAGGGCACTGATGGACTAGAGAGTGCTGACTTGACATCAGAATCATTCACGCTTAGGGAAAAGTAGCCTGGGATCGACCTGCCAGTTTGGAGCACACTCGATAACGGGACCTCTCGAGGTTTTAACTCCTGTTTTCCTCCCCCTCTCACTGCTGTGTGTCTCTGTTTGCCACCTGTGTGTTGCTGTGGACCACTGTAGAGACATGCATGAGCAGATCATCGCCAGTATTAAAGGACTGCCCTGGCAGGGGGGGGATCCCTGCAAGCTGCTTCGGTCACTCAGCCGCCTTCACCACCGCTCCCACTTCATGTGAGTTCTGGTGCTCTGGGGATTGCTCTCAAAGTGCAACAAGAACCAAGCCATTGCTCCACTCCCTAATAAACACAGCTGTCCCAAGCTTGTTTTCTGCACAAAGCCAAGCGAGACAATGAAGAATAAAACATCTCTTCTGAAAAACAGCCAGTAGGGAATGCTTTGCTGCTTCGTTGCGTTAGAGGAAAGCTCAGCCTGCTTCTCATTCAGCTTGCTTTAAACCCCAGTGCGGGCTTGTTGGTGCAAAATATTCAACAGTGAGATCTCTCACAAGGTATAAGGAATGGTTTCATGAAATTCAGGATGCTGGTGCTGGATTTATTCCTGGGTTAAGAGTCTTTACATGTGCAGTTCTGTGCGTGTGTAAGAAAATGAATCTGGGCTCTGTTGTATAATCAGTAAATGTATAATTGTATAATACATAAGTAAATGTATAATAAGTGGCACAGAGCTGGAATCTGCCTCACACGTGCTTAGAGTCAGGAGGATGTGAACTGCAGCCTTGTTTCTGAGAGCTTCCACTTGTTTCCCTGTGTGTGTGGATGGGAGCAGTGCCCGAGGTGTGTCCTGCTCCAGGCAGTTCTGGGAATGAGCTCAGACATTCCACAATTCCCAGGTGAGGTGCTGGGACATGCACTGTCCTCCTGGGAGCAGTTAGCTACTTTCACAGGGGTTCTGCTGCAAGCAACAGTAACTTGTAAATCAAATATTTTTGTTTGGTAGTGCCTTGGTATTAAATGAGAGTTCAGTGACTGTGCAGTAAAATAGAATAACTCACACCAAAATAGTCTCTGCAGCAGTGCAGTTTGGAACAGCTTTAACTTCAGAGAAAATCTTTCACTTTTGAAAGCTTCCAGTACCTCCAGAGTTTATTTAATAAATTGTTCTTGTTGCAAAGCAGTTTGCATTTCTTGCATTGATTACTTGTGAGAGACGTGCATGAACACACCCTGCTGCTGTTTGTGCTCATGTTCTTCTGTCCTTCATCTTGTCTCATAGAACTTATGGCTTGCTGAAATAACAAAAAATCATGTGTATTTCTTTCTTAAATTATATTTATTTTAACAGGAAAAGTAGAGGTGTCAAACAAAAGCAGATCATTCCCAAGGTAAAGTTTATTCAGAAAATTTAGATTTCTCTTTTGGTTTGTTTTTTTTTTTTTGCATTGTGAACTTCATTTTGATTGCCAGAACTCACTGCAGAAAATATTGTTTCACAGGGTAGAAAAGTTGTGTTATTTATGCTCTTCTGACAAGCTAAAGAACAGATAAATGTTCACCTTTATAAGAATTGTTAAACAGGAAAAAATTGTGTGTTGGCATCTCTGTAGTTAGACTGGAGATGCCATAAATGCATGAAATGCACTTCAAGTCAGGGAAGGCAAACAGAGTGATGATGTAATTCCCCTTGTTCACCCTACATTCTTTGGATGGGGCAGTGGAAAAGTTCTCCCTCTTAAGGAGTGTTTTGGTCCAAAATAGAAATAATTACAAAACGTAACATTACAAAACTGAATGTGGAACTCTGGGTAGCTGGTTTCATGTTTTACCCATTTGGATGCAGACAGAAGTATTTCCCCTTCTAGAGACCTGCACTTTGTTGATTCTGAAACATTTCTTGCAGAACTTGCTGGACTCCAAGTCTCTGAAGCTCATCGTGAGCATGACCCTGCATGACAGGACCACGAAGTCCCTTCTGCACTTGCACAAGAAGAAGAAACCCCCCAGCATAAGTGCCCAGTTCCAGGTAGGGGACACACCCCTGGTGCACCCTGAGGGACAGGCCCTCCTGGGCTAACCTAGGCTGGTCTTGCTTGGAAAACCATGGGTTTTATTCTTGATTTGTCTGAAGTAGGATTATTACTTGATTAAAGTCAGAGTGCTTTAAAAGACTCCCCTTATGCTGTGAAATGTGTTAGTTCTCTGTACCAACAGCCTCATCCCTGCATGCAGATCCAGTGCTACTGTTACAGCATAAGCAAACCCTGCTTTAAATTCTTTTGGGAAAAGGTAAAAAGCAAAGGCAGGGAGTGGAGTGTGGGAGAACCTCTGCTTGAATGAAAAAGGATTTGATACAGCCAAGGCACCTGAAAGATCTTATTCCCGAGGCAGCAGCTGCACTGCAGGCAAACACAACTCAAAATGCCGATAATCTGAAGAATAAAAACGTTTCTGAATGTTTCATTTCAGAATTCACTTAATAAGTTGCTGGAGACCCTGGGCAGAGCTGAGCCCTTCTTCATCCGCTGCATCCGCTCCAACGCCGAGAAGGTGAGGCTGCCCTGGAGCTGGGCTGGGTGCTGAGGGCTGAAGGCTCCAGCCTTGTCATATCTCCCTTTCCACTTGTTCACTGTCACTCTTCAGGCACTCACTGCATGTTGTCTGCTGCTCTCTTTCAGAAAGAGATGCTTTTTGATGAGAACTTGGTGCTTCAGCAGTTACGGTACACGGGCATGCTGGAAACTGTGCGGATCAGGAGGTCTGGCTACAGTGCCAAATACACATTCCAGGTGTGTGAGGAACTGCACTGTGCCTGCAGAAATATCTGCTCCATCTGCAAAAGCACATTGCCTCAGAGTCTTTTGTGTCTCTTCATATGAAGCTCATGACTTGGGGTGAGCTGTAAAAATGCAATGTTGTTTTGAGAGAGCCTGCATGGTAAAAAGTTGTAGTTGAACTGTTGTGTGAGTCATCTGCCAGTAAATTGTTCCTTGTTGCATTCTGAGTGCATTCAGGCAGTGCTGCACAGTGCTGCTTGCAGGGGGGAGTTAGTTTTCTGTCAAACACTCCAGTAGCTTTAGGGATCACATACAGGTGATCTTCACCATTAACTGCACTGAAACCTGAATTTTACAGAGCAGGAAAAACAGCTCTGAGTGAAGTATTTTCAGATTTTTGTGTCTTAATCAGATTTCTGTTTTAAAGTAGAACTCTAAACTTGGGAGATTGTCTTCTAACTTTGGTCTCTTGCTGTCTCTGCTTTTCACAGGAATTCATCGACCAGTTTCAGGTGTTACTGCCCAAAGATGCCAAAGCCTCTAAGGAAGACATCTGTGCTTATTTGAATAAACTAAAACTGAATGAAAGCTACTATCAAATAGGGAAGACCAAGGTCTGTGAAACTCTCTGTAAGGGCAGTAAGAAACACTGATGTACTCTGCAAAATTCAGTGCAGTTCCTTTACAGGTGTTTCTCTTTGCATTTTGTACTTAAATGAGCTATTTTAACTAGCAGTTGACACAGATGTTATAGTTGCCTCCTTGGTTTTGATGCCAAGCTGTTTTCTTGACACCAGTACAAATCCATTATATGGATATTTTGGGGGGATCGGTGCTATTGGCATTTGTCAAACAGGTCAATGCTTTCATTTTAGAAGAGTTCTTTGATTTGAAGGCTGTGAATACAGTTGTATGTGTTAGAGTGCAAACTCTGGAATTTAAAAGGACATTTAACTTTTTGGGCATGCTGTCAGCCAGTGAGGTTTGGTGCAGTGCTCAACATTACCAGTATCTCATTATACCTCCAGTGGGGGCTCAAAGGCTCCTGTTAACTGCTCTTGAATGAACTTTTCTTTAACTGGGCAGGTTTTTATGAAAGAGGCTGAAAGGCAGATACTCCAGGATACACTACACAAAGAAGTGATCAGGAAAATCATCCTCCTCCAGAGCTGGCTCAGGATGGTTTTGGAAAGGAGGCGCTTTCTCAGGACACGGCAGGCGGCCCTTGTTTTACAGGTATCTTTAAGAATTCCCAACCTTATTTTCCTAACAAACAAACAAACAAACAGACTGTTGTGTAACACTCCCCACCTCGAAGGAGCCCTCCCTCACCTGAGGAACGTGCCTTGCAGGCCTGCTGGCGTTCCCGCTGTCTCAGGGTGGCCCTGCAGAGGAGCAGCGCTGCCGTCGAGATCCAGGCGGCCTGGAGACGGTACCGGCAGCGGAAACGCTTCCTGCAGCACAGGAGGAGCATCTGCCTCCTGCAGGCCCTGCTCAGAGGACACCTGGCACGCAAGAGGTAAAGGAGGAGGAGCAATGTGACTTGGCTGCTTGGCTTCACCTGCCAAGCTCAGTTTATGGGATGTTTTGACTGAGTAAACAACTTAATAAACTGTTGTCCGGTGAAGCTGTGGCTGCCTCATCCCTGGAAGTGTCCAAGGCCAGGTTGGATGGGGCTTGGAACATCCTGGGCTAGTGGAAGGTGTCCCTGCCCATGGACACTGGATGGGCTTTAAGGTCCTTTCCAACCCAAACCATTTTGGGACTCTATGAACTTAAAGCTAGTTATTATCATCTGGTATTTCAGTATCAGCTTTACTGGGCTGAGCTGCACTGCTGCTGCCAGTCCTGACAAGCAAACACCTCCCTGCAGGCACACTGGGACTGTGCTTTGTGCCTGTATTGCTATTTGGGCTGCACTGAAGCACTTGGTACTTTCTTTGACTGCTGGGCATTAAATATTTGTGTTTTCATCCTACAAATCCCTAACAGATATCAGGAGATGGCTGTAGAAAGGCAGAAAGCTGAAGAAAAGCAGAGAGAAATGCAGGAAGAAGACAGAGAGGATGATAAGAGCAAGAATGAGCAGAGTGAGCCAGCAACAGATGAACTACCTGTGAAACATGAAACAGAGCTGGATCAGGCTGCTGGGGATGAAGATCAAGCTCAACATGAACAAGTTGAAGATCAAACTGTAAATGAGCAATCTGAAGACCGAGCTCAACGTGAGCAATCTGAAGACCAAGCTCAACGTGAGCAATCTGAAGACCAAGCTCAAAATGAGCCATCTGAAGACCAAGCTCAACATGAGCAATCTAAAGACCAAGCTCAGCGTGAGCAATCTGAAGACCAAGCTCAGCATGAGCAATCTGAAGACCAAACTCAACATGAGCAATCTAAAGATCAAGCTCAGCGTGAGCCATCTGAAGACCAAGCTCAGCGTGAGCCATCTGAAGATCAAGCTCAAAATGAGCAATCTGAAGATCAAGCTCAAAATGAGCAATCTGAAGATCAAGCTCAAAATGAGCAATCTGAAGATCAAGCTCAAAATGAGCAATCTGAAAGCCTGGGTTCATCTGAAAACCTGAACTCATCTGAAAACCTGAGCTCATCTGAGAAAGCCACGTTACCCCAGAAGAACTCAACAGAGGGCTCGGAGAAAGTCCCCACCAGCCGGGAGAAGAGGGAATCCCGCCGGCAGAGGGGGCTGGAACACAACGACTTACAGAACAAGCACATTCTGTTGTCCTTCGAAGGACCATCTTCACTGTGCCTTGAGGAACAAACCACTTCTGAAGAGGCCCTGGAAGCTGTTCCAGTGCCAGAGAAATCCACAGCTCAAGATGATACTGTCCCTCAGGGAGGCAGTGAGGAAGAGCAAAGTCCAAGTGAAGAGAAAGCGCTTCCGGACACGCCACCGTCAAGCGAGATAAAGGAAAGTGGTTCTGCTCCCGAGCAACCACCTGTATCAGAAGAGGGTGATGTGGCAGCTGATAGAACAAGAGCACAAGGGAATCAGAGTAACCAAATAAAAGGCAGCCAAAGCTTTAACTGCCCTGAAAGGCCCACGAATCTTGCACTGAATCTTCATACCGTGCTGTCGGCTACTGGGAGCTTTCGGAGTCCATCCGAGCCCTGGGCAGATAAAAACAGACGTCCTGGTCAGAGGGCAACCAAAGACCTGGATAGTCCCACTTCTTCTTCAATCCAGAGATATGTGGATAACCCAGAGAAGCTGAAGTACAAGAGGGAGAAGTGGAAAGGCAAGAGGCAGTCTGATGCTGGTCAGAATGATGTGCTGAGTCAGTCCTTGGATGGAAGGACACGTGTGGATAAATCTCCTCAGGATCAGCTGGAGTAAGGGCAGCTTCCTTTTTATTTACTTTACAGATAAAAAAAACCCAAACAGATATCTGGAATGTTTAAACACAGATGGAGGATTCCTGGGAGCCTGTACATCTGGCCATATTATGGGAGCTATGAACTGCTTTTCCTTGGCTCCCAGTCCTGCAGGGAATCTGTGTGGGCACAATGTTTGCAGAAGCTCACAAAAGACACAAAGCCTGCCTGGCTGAATGAAAGTGGAGAGTCAGGGCTTTAGCTGAGGTGGAGTCTGGAGTGTATTTCCATGTGTCTTTTATCCACTGAAAACAAGGTTTTAGTGAGGCTGCAGTTTGCAACCATCATCCCTCTGATACGGCAGGAAATCCGACATTCCCATCCTTTTTCACTTGTCCAGTAAATTTTGCATTTAAAAGTGAGTTGCAAGAGCTGATCAGGATTCTGTCTCAGATATAACATTGATATGTGTGTTATTTAAGAGGTGTTAAATATGAAGGGGCTACAGGCTTTATTAAAATATATATTCTGAAACCTGTCTTGTAACATTGCAGGAAGAAGGGGAGTTCAGCTTCATTAAGTGATCTCTCAACACTGGCCCAGACTGTTGCCATGAACCAGGTACTGATGCTATTGTGTATATTTATACCTAATTATCCTTGTTTATAAATATTAAAGAACTGCAAAAAATTCTGGAGTGTTCTGTGTGCCTGTTCTGTGTTCCTTCAGGCTGAGGTGTTTTTTTTTTTTTTTTCTTGTTATCCATGTAAAAAAAAATCATTAGCAAATATTATACAAGAGTTTGAAAACTTAATTTTAGATAAATAGATCTTTGGTTAAAGCATTGGATATATTTGGATCTTACATTAGTATGCTAATATCTATTAGGTAAAGTGTTTTGTGTTGATGAAGCAAAGTTTTTTTTTACCATCCTATTTTTTAAAACCATGTAGAGAATCTGTTTCACTCACAGTGTCGTTTTTGATGCCTCCTCTCCACTGCAGCAATCACCAGATACGATAGAAGAAGAAAAAGGCACCAAGAAATACCCTGTGCAGAAGAAGCCCAGTGACCACTTCCCTACCTCAGACACGGCTGCTCCTGTGCCAGCAGCGAGTCAGCAGGGGGATGCCAGGTATGTGCTGTGTGTGTGACTGGCCTGTCTTGGAGAAAATGGGGGAAAAAAAAGGTTGTTTTCCACTTGTGCTTGAATTGGGCATCTTGAGGCTGCAGTTGTGGAGAGGCACGTGTTGCCATCAGCTCCAGGAGGGGCTGTTGCTGCTTCGTGTTGCAGCGAGCCTGACATCTGACCCTGCTGGGGAACAGGTTCTCTGCTTCCTGCATAACACTTGTCTTTGAACCAGTTCTTTTTAAAATAAGAGCCACCTTCCAGCTCAGATCAAAGGTTCTTGCAGTGTAATCCAAGCCCAAGAGAAAAGCTGAAGGACCCAGCAAGCGTGTCACGCTGCTCCCCTGGCCTGCTCCTCCAGCTTGTGGCACTGCAGCTCAGGGACTGCCTGAGCCAGAATGAAAATTGTGCTCTCATCTAGTAGGGATCACAAAGTCCAGGTGTGCTTTCACGTTGTCTTTCTTTTTTTTTGTGCTGCTGGTTTTTTCTGCAGGTTGGACCTAAAATATTCCTCATACAGGTTAATCCTGGGGTGTGTAACTGTTAAGAGCCTGTTGTTGCAGCAGAAGCAGCTTCCATTTCTAATGGGACACACTTGTGTCTGCTCTTGTGTTCAGGTCTGCTTTTAAAAGCCCTTTGCGTAGACTTTTGGGGAAAAAGCCTGACAAGAAGATTCCAAAGGAGAGCTCTGATGTGATTGAGGAAGGAGATGGCCTCTCCCTTGTGTCTTGTGTCCTCTTTACAGACACAGGAGGTAGCCAGAAAGCTTCAGAAGGTGAGTCTGTGTGATTCAGCCCTCAGCACGCTGATGTCTTTTCTGTGAGCTTTTGCATGGCTACAGAGGAAACAAACTCTGCAGAATTCAATCACCCTGATTTAAGGTACAAATTGATTTCTTTCCCAGCTTCTTCTGGGCAGCCAGGCCGCCCCCAGGCAGTGAAGGAGAACAGCAAAGCAAAGAAGAACAGGACCATAAAGATCAGCAAGATCTCGAGCGTGTCCCAGAACTGGCGAGCGTCCATGGTCCGGGAGATTGCAAATGCCAACGAGCTGAAACACCTGGATGAGTTCCTCCTCAACAAGGTAAGAGGCTCTCAACCATGATAAAATTCGAGTCTGTGTTCACTGGTTGTGTGGAATTTTAGAGCCTACTTTTCTAGCTGCGAGTTTGTGTCGTAAATTAAAGCCAAGGGGAATTGATTGGATGTCTTGACTGAGTTAAGTCTTTATTAGGGCCCTTCATATCTGGTTTTTAGGTCTCTGAATGCATTATATTGCATTAAATCCTCAGACCATTCATGTTAGTTCTTCATTTGTTTACAAATGAGTGGGCAGCAAAAGTTAGATTTAAAAAAAAAAGGCATGAGTTGTAAGGAAATATTTCTCTAGAGCTGAACTACCCAACTCTCCTATTTTATATCATCAGCACAGTGCATTAAGGAACATTGTTTTAAGTAATTGGAATGGCAGCTCAGCTCTGGTGGGGTGTCCTGGTTTTAATGACATCTGATGCAGGTGTATTTGTCTTCTAGATCAATGATTTACGCTCCCAAAAGTCTGGTGTCGAGTGTTTGTTTTTTGAAGCCACAGAGAAATTTAGAGGGAACATCAAGACCATGTACTCTGCTCCTGTAAGTAGCAAGGCTCAGTAAAGGAAAGTTGGCAGGCAATAAATGAGTTGAGTGTGCAGGTTAAAGGCTTGGCCTGCAGCTCTTTAACAAAGCAGTTCAGCAATTCTTAGCATAAAGTTCAAAGCTGAATGTTACTCATTTCACAGTTCTGCTGTAATCTTAAGCAGATTACTTTGTTTCCCTTTTCACATTCGCTCAGACATAAATTTATTTTTAGAAATGGATGGATTTTGATGTCTTCAGCCTCTTAATGCTATGTGTTCAGACACCAGTGAGAGGTGCCAACAGCTTTTCCAGGATCTTCTGACGCTGCCCTGTCTCAGCCAAGAGCTGTTGGACAGTGCAGGAGGGAAGTCTGAACTTGTTTCTGTCATGGGCTGTTATCTTTGACTTTGATCATGGCTGTGCTTTCTCACCTCTGAACTTAAATCATGAAAATATGAAATTGCCTCAACATTATCCAAAAAGACTGTCTTAAAAGTGTTTTTCCCTTCTCTAGAATGGACAAATCCATGTTGGCTACAAAGACCTGGTGGAAAATTACCAGCTTCTGCTTACAAATCTGGCCCAAAAAAGGGAAGAGAAAGAAATCAAGCTGGTTTTGAATCTCTTTCAATCCCTTCTGGATGAATTCATCAGAGGATATACAAAAAAAGAGGAATCTGAGCAGCCCAAGGTATGAAAGTTACTCTGTTAGTGGCTTATGGGATGATGAAACACTGTTACTCTCTTACATAAGAGACCTGTGTTACCCCAGAAACCTTTTCCAGAGCAACCTTTTCTTACTTGGCAAACACTTGCCATGCACACACTACGTGTGTAGCAAATTCTGATTGCTGATACACGTTTTTGGAACTGTTAATCTTTTAACTTACTCTTAACATCTTCAGAATCTGAAAGTGTTTGTGCATTTTCTTTGATAAAAACATAGGAGTTCTCTGAAGGTTTGAGAGCTGGAATTGCTTTGTCACCAGGCAGTGAGCTCAGCTGGTTTTTAGGAAGTTGGTAGTGTGAGCTCAGACAACCCAAGCTGAAGCTGCAGGAAAGTGTCTCAAATGTCTGGAGGTGAAGTAGAGCCTGGGAAACTGAATAGCAAAAAAAGGGAATGGAATGTCTGAATTTCAAGGACTAACAGCAGTTTTGTATCCCACTGCAGCAAACCAAAGCCCAGAAGAAGAAACGAAAACAAGATCGTGCAGTGAGTACTTTTTTTTTTTGGCAATAGTCCAAATCCTCAGGTGCACTCACAGAACACAAACACCTTTGGAAGAGCTTGATTTTTGTACTGATGTTCTGTTTTATTTTGCATACTAATTCACTTACCTCTTACGAAGATGTGACATGGTATAAAACTGTTCTTCATAAATCAGAAATCTTGCTTTTATGCAGTGATAGGTGGTACTCAAACATTTTCTTGCTTGTCCACAGCACCTGTTAGAAGCCAGTGGCTTTCTCAATAATGGACTGTTTAAAGGAAAACAGCTATTGAATAGTAACAGCAAACTAGAGCTCATGTATTGCACTGATGAACTTTAAGGCATCAAGCCAATTATGAAATGATCCAGTAAACCCAACTGCCTAAGGACAGGGTGAAATTTGGTTTCAAGTTCAAAGCCTTCAGTTGTAATTGTAAAATAAAAGTGGAAAATCTGATACAGGGTAAACGGATTTACTAAAAATAATAATAATAATTTTTAAAAGGCAAAAAACTTCACCAGTTCCTTTCTGTCTGCCCCAGATTGAAGAGCACAATGGCCACGTGTTCACAAACTACCAAGTGAGCATCCGGCAGTCGTGTGAGCACTGCTCGTCCTACATCTGGCCCATGGAGAAAGCCTGTCTGTGCAGTGGTGAGTGAGCACCCTCAGCCTTCCTGCTCAGGCTGCCACAGTGCAAACTGCTTGTTCCTTTGGCTGCTGCAGATGGGCCTTAGTGCACAGGACATGGGGGTTGTATGGGCAGTGAATAGGACAAGGTGGTGATGTGTGTTTTAATGGGATTTGGATGCTTGTAACAAGTGCTCCTTTCTCTCCAGTTTGCAAGCTGACTTGTCACAAGAAGTGCATGTCCAAAATCCAGAGCAGCTGTACCTCCTGTGGGAAAAAGGTAAGGTCTGTGGATCTGGGATGGGGTTCTGTGGTACCAGACATGCAAAAGGCTGCCTCTCTCAGCAGAGGAACAGTGGATGTCCAGGCATGAATAAAAATTGCCTAAACACTTCCCTCCTCTGCACACAGTCAGGTGCAGCCCTGCACGTGCAGAAACAGAACAATTTTCCAAGAGGTGATGCTTGAGCTAATTTGGGAACTCTTCTCTCAGAGTGTGTGTGCAGTATTGGACAGACTGATAAAGAAACCCTTCAGTGTGAACCATGAACGTCCTTTATTGCTGCAGCTCAGGAAATCTGTCTTATGATCCAAGGCGTGTAGCAAGCTACAACAAAACACTCAGCTTTAGTTTCTGGAAGCACAAGATATAAGATAATTGCAGCATGAAACAGTGGAATTTCCTAGGTTGGGAACAGGATTCACAGTGCTTGATGTGCATCTATTCCAGAACGAGCAGGATGCAGAGCCACGGCACTTTGGAGTGAGTGTGAGCTCCCTGACCAGCGAGAGGAACTCTGTCCCCGTGGTCATGGAGAAGCTGCTGGAGTACGTGGAGATGCACGGGCTCTACACAGAGGGGATCTACAGGAAATCAGGGTCAGCAAATCGGATGAAGGAGCTCAAACAGTTGCTGCAAGCAGGTCAGGCACTCTTGTCCACCCTTTGGACTTGCTTGTGATATCAGCTTTCCCTGCAATTCTCTTCCATCTGAAAGTATCTGGTACTTTCTGGTGTTCTAAGAACCTCTTTTTGGTGCCCATGCAGGCTGTATTATTTTTGTTGGCTGCTAAAAGCTGCTCAGTACCTCTAAATTACTATCTTTTGTTGGTTTGTTGGTTTTTTTTCTTTCCTTCTGAATTGCCACTTGGCTTCTGTGAATGGAAGAGTTGAATTGTAAAGAGGAATAAATTGCTCTAAATAAAACATTCCTTTTCAGATCCAAACTCAGTGAAACTGGAGAATTACCCTATTCACACCATCACGGGGATCCTTAAGCAGTGGCTGCGGGAGCTGCCAGACCCACTGATGACATCAGCACAGTACAATGATTTCCTCCGAGCTGTAGGTAGGTTTTAAAATCATTTTTTAAACATTTATTCTTTAACTCATTATGCCCTTGGGAAAAGAAACTCTTAAGATGCTCATGCTGGATAAACAGCTCCTTCCAGTGCATTTACAGCAAGGATTTTAGACATTTTACATAAAACTTTTCAGGGAATTTGTCTTTAGTTTACTTCATCTTACTTTGGGATTCCTACTTTTTTTTAGGGGGGGAGGAATTGTAGCAAAATATCACTCTACAGCTGCTCTTTCTGTAAACAGTGAGATTGTAAATAAGTTGCCTTTCATGCATGTTTTTTTTCTCTTTGATGGTCTAAACCAGATCTTAATATCCAGATATCCCAAATCCTTAAATTCTTTTAACTCCAGTGGGATTAAGGCATCCTAAGTATTGTTGTAGGTTCTTGATCAGTCACCTGATGATTAAAACAGCAGCGTTTGAAAATGCAGGACAATTGCAGTACCATGAGGGGTGCTTTAACATTCAGTTATAACAGTTGGTGAATGAAATGACAGTGAGACTTCTAAGAATTTGGGAATTTTAGCTTTCCACTAGCCTTGCAGAGCATTTACCACCTTGTGCTTTCTCCCTTTGTGCAGAACTACCAGAAAAACAGGAGCAACTCTGTGCCATTTACAGTGTCCTGGAACAGCTCCCACAAGCAAATCATAATACCCTGGAGCGACTCATCTTCCATCTTGTCAAGTAATGAGTGTAATTACTTCATTTGTAGAGAAACTGTGCGACTCTGAGTGCTTCTTGGAAGCTTTTTAAAGTCTTAAACTCCTTAAGTGTCAGTGTGGGGTTTGTGCTGCTGGTTTAGACATGAAAGAACTGAAGTTGCTAATTGTGCTTGAGAACAGATAGAGGGTGACTTTTACAACCTGGTGTGTTTGGATCAAATGAGGTCAGAACAGCTTTGGAGATAAGGTGGATCTCACAGCCTTGGTGAATCATCTGGACACCAGGATTTATACAGATGGAACGTAATGAAGGATGAATGTATGCAAGTCTTAGGAGCAGGGATAAATGATGCTCTTACCCAAGGAAATTGAGGATTTTCCAAGTGCTCTCTGAGCATGGTTCTTGGAGATGAAACACTGAATCACCAGACATGCTGGGGGAGGTTACCAGACTAGCTTAACCTGGTTGACTCCCTGGTCCTTTCTCTGATGCACAAGATTCTGTCTACTTAGTAGGTGTGAAATAATTTTACCTTTTTTTTTTTTTTTAACTGAGTGCCTGAGAGGCCTCCTTGCATGTTATTTGGGAACTCTGGCAAGGTGTGATCAGGTTGCTTGTGTTCTAGCAAGCTTTGCTTAAAACCTCCTGTCCTGAATGTTGGGTTTCAGAGTGGCTTTGATAGAAGATGTCAACCGTATGTCCCCCAACGCCCTGGCCATCGTGTTTGCTCCGTGCCTCCTGCGCTGTCCGGATACCTCTGACCCCTTAACCAGCATGAAGGATGTTTCAAAAACAACCATGTAAGTTTTAGCAGTCTGCTGAAAAATGCTTTGGAGGGGGATGGAAGGCCAGTAGCACTGCCTGCATTTGTTATGACCTTGTTCATATCGAGCTGACAAACTGAGGGTGCAGAGTTGCTGAATCCTGGATCTGCTGCTGCTGCCAATTTATATGCCCCTCTCAGACCTTCCACCTGTCTCCACTTTACAAAGCATGAAGTAGGATGACTTAGAAGTCTTAAGTATCAGGTTTGTTTTACATCAGGATAATCTTTTGGGTGGGTTGTACATTAATCATCTGTTTTGCTGAGATACAAGCCATAATAAACTATGATACAGAGTTAAGCTGTCTCCTGTATACATCAAACTCCCTGATAATTTCTTCTGTGTTGTTCCTTGAACTGGGGAAGGTTCTGTCCTTGATCCTCTCTGTTCTCACCCTCCAGCAGCTCTGGCTCTCTGAGTGCCCTCGCTGTGCATCTGCCTCCAGTGAAAACAGTTTGAAAAATGACAGCTTTTTGTAACTTTTTACTGACCACAGAGGTGGAAAAGGGCAGTTGCAGATTCATTCTGTGCCAGCACAGGGAAGACAGGTAGAAGCAGCAGAAGCTGTTGGCAGCCTTGGTAATGTGTGTCTGCTCACCATTGTGTACAGTCAGCGTGGGAGGCTCTGGTTATTCCAGGAAGAACGTGTGCCATTGCATTTAACCATTACCTGTCCTGTTCTGCTTGCTGTGTTGGACTCTCCACCCTGTCACCACACAGTGCCACCTGTAAGGGATATCTTGGGACACTTTGTGTGTGACAAACACCCCCAGGCCAGGAGAGCCATCTCATCCCACCGTGGTTGTGCCAGAGTCTTTATGGTATGAGGCTGCTCAATATGCTCCTGCCCTTTTTCCCAGGTGTGTAGAGATGCTCATCAAGGAACAGATAAGGAAGTACAAGATAAAAATGGATGAGATCAGTCAGCTGGAAGCAGCAGAGAGCATCGCCTTCCGACGGCTCTCGTTGCTCCGGCAGAACACGGTAAGCATTGAACAAACCCATCATCCCACCAGGTTTGGGGGAATGAAGTACTACTTATTTATCCTGTGCATCTCATTCAATAAGTCAAAAATCAGTTGCAAGGTAAGAAGAAAAGGGATTTGGACTTGCCCAGAGGTGTAGGTAGGAGCTAAATGTACAGCTAGAGTGGAGTCTGATAAATGAAGGGTGCAGGGGTGTGGGGATCTGCTCTTGCAATGATCAAAGCCTATTCCCATGTAATTCCATCAGTAGAACTAAGATTGAGCCTCTGACGTGGCAGAAGAGTTCCTTCACTCCAGAGATGGCTGGTGGGCAAAAAATACACTGTGTTCTAGTAGGGCAAATAAAGTCATTCTTTGTTTTTGTTGTACTGATTAAAACCAACCAAACTGTGTCTGATCAGAAGTGGCACACAGTGAATTTGGTCTCCATCTCTCTCTAGCTCTGGCCTGTAAAACTGGGGTTCTCTTCCCCTTACGAGGGGAAGCTGGTACGTACAACTGCCTGGGTGTAGTGCATGGGCTTTTCCTGGGGTACTAGTGCATGACTGAAGTACTTACTGCACATGCTGTAACGTGGTGTTAAACACTCTTTTAAACAATCAAGGCTGCATGTATTGGCACAGCTCCCCACCCCCAGACTGCATGCATGGCTACTGGCCTGTTCTGTCATCACCTGGTATTTTATAGACACTGTATGTAACTTTTATTGGATTTAATAATATTACTTGTAAGTGACTACTAAAACTAAGCTCAGGCTGACAGATTAGAAAAGGTAACAAAGCCCCAGAAACCAGGTGAACAGAAGATTTTCTCTTACTCTTTGAAACGTTTGTATGGTTAACTAACAGCTCTTCATCAATTCCCTCAGCCTTTCCTTTGACCCACTCATTTGTCTTCTGCCTTGGAACTCGCAGACCAAGACTCGTGTAGCTGCTTGTGACTGAGAACTGTTACCCATGAATTTGTCTTGCAGAGTAAAAGCTCTCAGGTGAAAGGAAAGGACAGTGGCACCTCAGAGCTGGACTCAGTGCATGAGGATGAAGAAGTTTCTGAAGCCGATAACCGGGAAAAGGAGATTCTCATCGATCGCATACAGTCCATAAAAGAAGAAAAGTAAGTCCCCCTTCACCTGGGTAGCATAAAAGCAGGATACCTTTTGTCCAAAAGGTTCTAATTCCATTCTGTGGAAGGGAAAAAGGAAAACACAAAGGACTAGCCAAGAGAAAATACCATGAGAATTAATATTTAATGACTGCATACTTTACCTCTGACCACGAGCTCGCGTGGGAAGCGTTGTCTCGGTTGAGTGCTCCAGCCTGTGTTTGATGCAGGGAGGACATAACCTACCGGTTACCTGAGCTCGACCAGCGGGGCTCCGATGAGGAAAACGTGGACTCGGAGACGTCGGTGAGCACAGAGAGCCTGCTGGAGGACAGGCCAGGCCGGATGGATACCGAAGGTCAGTATTAAGGTAGTGTGTGCTCTTTTTTTATTCTCCATCTTCTGCTGCGCGTACAGCCAGGTGAGCAGATGTTACCTGCTCACGGTGGCTTGTATCAAGTTACTGCTATCAGTCTCTAAGTATCTTGTTTCTTTAAAGCAATTATTGGATTACACTGCCGTGCTCAGAGCTCCAGCCTGCCTGCCAAAGACATTTGCAAAGTGCCTTCTCTCCCGCAAACCTCTTCACATTCCTACTCTGCACCCCTGGCTTCAAGGCGCAGATACTCTCTAACACTGTCCAAGATGAAAGTGCCCCGTCGAACTCCAGTGATGCCAACAGCAAATATAAAACTCCCTCCTGGGATGTTCAAATGTACGGAGTCCCAGGGCGGGGTTCCTGCTAACGAGGAGTCTCGGGTGGTGAGACGCAGGGAGCAGCCAGCAAGGCGGACTGACAGCATCCACTCGGTGTACATTGCACAAGGGTCTGCACTGACCCACGCTCAGGAACTCGTGGATGAATACGAACCGACTGCGAAAGTCAAAAGGAGGTTCTCAGATCCTTACTCTCACATTCCCTGTATGGAGGAGTGAAATACTTCAGCTCTCTAGACTTTTTTTTGAAGTTGACCACAGCTTTTGGCTTTAACCCTTTGAAAGGCTGTAAACTTGTCTTTAAGTAGGTGCCGGCAAGGCAACCTGGAAATGTACAGTACTGTAAAGGTTCAGCAAGGTTGTTTAAAGCAAATGTTCTCCACTTTAAATTAAAACCTTGAAAAAACCCTAAAATTTAATGCTGAGTAAAATATGTGGGTTGAGTGTACAGGAAACAAGCCCCCCCATTCCGCTGCCGTGCCTTTTTTCATTTGCCTTACAATGGACTCTCATGGGACCAACAGTGAGTTTAGGTCAATGTGTGTTGCCTTAATTTTTTTTAATGACAATTTTCTGTGTGGTTTACAGAACTGTTTAACGTAATAGCCTTAACTGAGACCAAAATGTATAAAGAAGTTTATTAAAACGTTGCACTTTTAAAAAAAATACGTGTTAGCTTATCAATGTCTGTCTAATGAGCAGTTCACTCTGAGGGAACCCTTTAAAGAATCGGTGTTGCTGCCTTTATGAAGTGCTGATAAAGGATGGGGAAAGCTCTGCATGGGGGAAGCACTAACAAGGCTGTTGGTGGCATCGGGAGGGTTTTGGTGCTCTTGGAGTAAACCTCAAGCCAGCACGGCGCTGCCTCCTCCTCCCCACCCCTCACCTGTGCGTGGGGACACACCTGAGGGCGAGGGGCCATCGTTCATCGTCGCTTTGATGCCGCCTCTGTGCCCCAGCCCCTCACGGGGCTGCGCCATGTTGGGGTGAGGGAAGAGCTCAGCTCAGCCACCACAGCGCCCCGAGCTGCAGCCGCTCCCGCGCCCCTGTGCAGGGCTTGCTTTTGTGGGGCGGTTTCGGCTTGATTGGGGGTGTTTTGGGTTTTTTTTTTAAATAAACCGGGGCGGTAACGCCCGCCCGGCACTTCCCTTCCCGCCCCTCGGCCCGCCCCAAGATGGCGAGCGGCGCCTGAGGGAGGATCCGGTGCCGCCATGGCCGCGACGCGGCTGGAGCTGAACCTGATGCGGCTGCTGAGCCGGTGCGAGGCGCTGGCGGCGGAGCGGCGGGACCCCGAGGAGTGGCGGCTGGAGAAGGTGAGGCCCCCCCGGCCCCTCCGTCCCGCGGCACCGCGGGGCGGCCCCTCAGTAACCCGCGCCGTGGTGGTAAACCCACCGCCTCTGCGACACCGGGTGTTTCCCCTTAATGCTGTCCCTGAAAGCTTCATTTTTCTCCTCAGTATGTGGGTGCCCTCGAGGACATGCTGCGGGAGCTGAAGAAGCAGTCGAGGTGAGCGCCCTGAGCCCCTGCGTGCCCGTTGTGGTGTTGTGGTTCAGGGGGAACGGCTTCAAGTTGTGCCAGGCGAAGTTCGGGTTGGGTATTAGGAAAGAATTACTCACTAAAAGAGTGGTTAAACGTTGGGTCGGGCCGCCCAGGGATGCGGTGGGGTCACCATCGCTTTCAAGTGTTAAAAAAAGAGTAGACGTGGCACTTTGTAATGTGGTTTAGTGGGAATGAGGGGATTCAGTCGAAGGCTGGACTTGATGATCTTGGAGGTCTTTTCCAACTTTAGTGATTCTGTGATTCAATAGTATCTTATCTATAAGCTACCATAGCCCACAAACACCACAGTATATTCTTTGCTGTGGAAATGCCTGTGCTCTGAGCTCACCCTGTCCTGGAAAAGGTGATTTGCAGAAGGTTGCAAGTGTGTTCCTATCCCAAGGATACATCTTCTTTGAAGAACCACGTATTGGTTTTTTCTATCTTATTTTATTTGGAAAGTACAAAATGCCAGTAACGTTTGGTTTTCTTGTTATTATCTTTCAACTCCAACAGCAAGCCAGCCCCGGAACTGCTGAATGAATACTCTCGCAAAGTGGACTTCCTAAAGGGACTCCTAGAAGCTGAAAAATTGGTAAGATCCTCTAGTTCAGCTTGAAAAGACTTCAGTGTTCTCTGCTTATATTCACCTCGTTGTTTGGTTCCTTTGTTGGCCTTTACCTTACATCTCAAAATAATAGTTGTTTAAGTCTTACTAGGCAGCCCTTGTAAAACTGGGAATAGATATATTGGATCCAGGTTTTGTTAAAAAGAGGTGCTGTATGAAATCTGCTGCAGAGCGTGTGGTATCCGTGACTTCTCACTGCTCTTTCCCCCTCACAGTCCTCATCGACGGAGAAGGCTCTGGCAAACCAGTTCCTGGCCCCCGGGCGCACCCCCACAACGGCCAAGGAGAGAACCCCGGCCACCAAAACAGTCCATCTGCAGACCAAGGCTCGCTGCACGGGCCAGATGAGGAGCGAGCTGCTTGGTACAGTAGGTTTGGTGCTGCTGCTGCTTTGCTGGTACTTTACAGATTGGCCTTGTTGCCTTCAGCTGCCTCGGGTGACCGTGCCCTGAGCTGTGTCCCAGCCTGGGTGGGGAGTCGCCTTTTTCCCGGTTTGGGTGGTCTGAATCCTGGGCACAGGCACTCTGCCAGGCCTGCAGGACTGGCTCTTACCACTCACCCTTTGTAATCTGCTGTTTTGGTTCTCTTTCTGCCTCCCAGGACCCTTTGGCTACCAATGGTGAGTTTGATCTGTTGTTTTCTCTACCTTTAGTCAACCTGAGTCTTACAGGGAAAGGAGGAGGAAAGTCAGGTGTTAAGAGATTGCCCAAAGTGTATTGTTTTAATTTAGTGGCTCACTTTTTTTCGACATAGATTTTCAAAACACACGAAACAAAAACCAGATAAAAGCAGAAGTGTTATCAATGGTAGCAGGAACTTGCAGGAACCTCTTTTTGTGGAATTTGTACAGAAACAGACGTTCTAATTACAGAATTAGCAAGGACAATTTACCTTTACTGTTGCTCCTGTTCCCTTCTGCTCTGAGCAAATCATGTGATTTTGGGCTCTTGGAGTAGGCGTTGTTCGGTTCCTCTGGAATACACAGCCATGTTTTTCATGTAGGGAACTGGGAGGAATTAATTTCTTGTTTCCATGGCTACTGTTACAGTGGCTGGAGCTGGGCCAATCTAACATGTCCTGAAAGAACACCAAGATACACAGGGTTTAAACCCTGCCCTCAGGGCTGTGAGTCATCTGTTTGGGGTTTTTTTCCCTCCTTTGATGTTACGTGTCCTTTTTTCCCTGCGGAGAGCAGGTAGGCATTTGACATCCATATTCCTTGGGATAGAGGCCAAGTAGGATTTGGACAGCTGGAAATCCCTTACAGAAGATGTGTTTCTTCAACTTGTGATTGCATGGCAATTTATAATGTGATAAAACACGAATTTATCTCTTTTTTTTATTATTATTTTCCCCAGATTCTGAGGAGTTGAACGTAAGGAAGCGGAAGTAAGTTAAAATTTCTCATTCCAGTGCTCAGCATTTTGGAAACTGTTTTCCCAGTGGTCTTTAAATCCCAGATATACCTTGATTTGGGTCAAGTATCAGCTGATAGAAACCAAACTATAATGACTTCAACTGACTTCACTGGCCTTGTTGTACCGTAGAGCTGCAGAATCCAAAGAAACCTTGGGAGATTGACCCAGAGGGAAGTAGAAATCCCTTTTTTCTCCCCTTGTGCTCTTGCAGAGGCCTCCAGTCAGACGAGAAGCAGTCGGCAGTGGAGCTGGATGCTGTGCTGCAGCACCACCAGGACATGCAGGAGAAGCTGGCTGAGGAAATGCTCAGCTTGGCTCGCAGCCTCAAGAACAACACCCTGGCTGCACAGAACGTGATCAAACAGGACAACCAGGTAGCACACCTTGAAGCTGTAACCCCCTCAGCTTTCCAACCCAGGAGGTTGAAGTGCTCATAAGCGAAATCCTGGACCAATAACTCAATTCCAGGCGGGATTAGAGTGGGGAGACCGGAGGCAATGCCTGTCTGCTGCTGTGTGTGGTTGAACCTTTCCTCTGTTGGAGGAAACATCAGCCAGCACGTGCAGCTCTGAGTCTGACACTATTTGCTCTCTTTGCTCCACAGACACTGTCCCATTCCCTCAGGATGGCAGACCAGAACTTCGAGAAGCTCAAGGATGAATCCGACCGCCTGGAGCAGCACGCGAAGAAATCGGTCAACTGGCTGCTGTGGATAATGTTGATTGTCGTTTGCTTTATATTCATCAGCATGATTCTCTTCATCAGGATTTTCCCCAAATTAAAATGATGCTTTTTTTTAATTTCATTTGAAGCTGCCAGCAGTGCAGCTGGAAAGCTCAGGTGGTGTGAGAACTGTCAGCAGTCAATGTCTTTGCCACTTGTCACGTCCTTAAAGAGGCTGTCCAAGGCCTATCCACCCTTGCATCCCTTCCTTGTGCAGGCTGGGGTTCATGGGGAAGGTTTCCCACACTTGGATACTTGGTTACTCTTTACCTGATGACTGTTGTTGCTGATGAGAGTTTACACTAAGCTGCTGACAAGGTCTTCACTGGATACATCCAGTCATTTTTAATGTGGTGGTGGCAAAAGTTACGACTCCTAAAAGGCATTTAGTCAATATGAATATAAACAACAGGTGAAGTCTTACACCCTTTCTTCACAGCTTTTCTGTGCTGACCTAGGACTCGCTGCCAACAGGATATTTAATTTCAGTTCTGTGCATACACAGCTGCAGGGGCAGGAAGAGAATTCTGCCGTTGAGGTACTTGCCTGGCTCAGATTCAGAGTTTCCCACAGGTAAAACCCTTCTCAGGCTCACCTTTCTCCCAGATGGATATTTGGGACTTAGGACTTCACAGTCTTCTTCAGTTTAGATTTATTATTGGTCTGGAGTTGCTGGCTGTTGCAGTGTTTGCTTCCCTTTTGTACCTGCAAACGTTCTCACTTCTCATTGTTACGTTGATGCCGTTGCACGAAGAAAACACCCTGACCTTGCCCCACAGAACTGTAAACACAGAACCCCAGGTGGCACAGACCTCACCTGTGCAAACATGTTTTCACTTTAGGATGAGGGAGAAGGAAGGTGGTGTCTTCAAGATGGAAGTAATAATTAAAAAAAAATACTCAGCTTTTTTTTTTGAGACAAATCATTCTGGTCAAGGGTTTGTGTGACGGTGTCAGTCTTTGTAGGTGCTCGTGGTAAGCTGAAAGCAAACCCTGTTTGTGGAGGGCCCATCTGGGAAGGGTCGGTGTTCAGGAGTCAGGTGTGTCCTCCAGGGAGGAGAGGAGGGCACCAGGTGACCCCAGCTGTGCTTTGGCCATTTCTGCTGCTGTTTGGAACCACCAGTTGGGATGTTCCAGGCCTGGCTGGTGATCCCAGCAGCCCCAGTCCAGGAAAAGGTGGGGAAAGAGCTGTTTGTCACCACTGGGTTCTTTGGAAAATCTGGCTTTGCTTTGAGCACATCCCAAAGCACCAGGCTGTGCTCTGTCCTGTCAACCCCAGCTGTGGCAATGAGCACAGTTAGCACTTGTAACATAAAAGTATTTCAGTTCTTCTAACAGGATGTTTGGTATTTACTGTACCACTCACTTCCAGAATCATAAATAAATATAATACGAAGCTTTTTATTTTCAGCTACTCAGATGTGTGTGAGACACCTCCTGTTCAGGCAGATTTGTTGCTTACCTCGAACTTTATTATAGAGATTTATAGTTGTAACAATCAATTTATGAACATTCCTACTTTTCCCAGTTGTTTTCTTCAGTTGTAACATTTGACATTTCACTGTACTTCGTTAGTCAAGGCTGTGTCACCAAATTATTTTTCAGTTCTAATTGTTTACTACTTTCCCTGCAGGCATTTCAGTGCCGAGCTCTTCTCTTAGAGGCTGAATGTGGTGCTTGGAATGCTTTTTGTGTGTGAGATTTTTTGGGGATGCAACATTAATGCTTCACAGCCTATAACATTTTCTTCTTCATTACTTGAAAATAAATTATTCTTTCCTAGCTTGCAAAAGGTTCGGTGCATCATTGCAGGCAAGTTTAAAGCTGAGTTGCCATCAGCCATGTGTTGCCTGTAATTTTTGGCACTCAAAAATTAGGAGCTCAGTTGGAAAGACCTGAAAGGGAACTATCAGTAACAGCTTGTCCCCAAGAAAACATCCACCCCTCCAAGTCACAGGAGCTGCTTTACAAAGAAACAGAGTGAGTCCAGAAACTATTTAACTTATGACCGTTAATGCTTCGTGGGTGTTTGTTATTGTGAAGGATGAACTGCCAGGATTGAACCCTGTAACCAAGAACACCTTTTGTTATCTCCAGCAGCTGTTAAGCACTGAGCCTCTGCTTCCTGGGGGTTGTCTGCCTGCGATGGAGGAATGTTCCCTTCTGCCCCAATCCCAACCAATCCCTTGTCCCAGCAGCCCTCGATCCCTGCACACGGGGTCGTTGTCTTGGCTTTTCCCGAGTTCGTTTAGCAATTGCAGTAATTCAACACCGCTCTGAAGATGGGTGCCGGTAGTATTTAGAATAAACAATGACTCAAGGCTTTGTGACATTTCCCAGATGAATGACAGCTTTTATTTTGGACTAACCTATGGGGGGTGGTGTGTGCTGTGCTGCCCCAGCTCCATGCCATGGCACGGGGCTCTGGTGTGCTGCTCTCCACAGAATAACGTTATATATAGAAATCACTCTCTCTGAGGGTTGCCCAACTTTCCCAAAAGCTTGGGAAATCTAGAGGGAGAGATGTTTATCAGGCACAGGGCTGGGCCCCGCTTGGCTTCTTGGCAGGCTACCTATTTTGAGACAGTAAGGAAAACGAAATGAAAAATCTTTTGGAGGCTCTTTTGGGTCATGTCAGGCCGGTGAATGCACTGATTCAGAGTCTGGCAGCAGCAGGAACTCTGGGTCAGTCTAAGCTTTTCTGGCAAACCTCCTTGGTGGCAGAGACTGTTTGTTAACAATCCTCAGTGTTTCAGCAGTGTCCTCAGTCCCAGCCAGGAAGGATGTTCTAGGAGGGTTGTGTACAGGTGGAATGGCAGGAGCAGAAGGCTTGGATGTGACGGCTCCTGGGGCCGGGCAGTCCCAGCTTGTTTTGGGCACGTGTTCCCTGGGGTTTACTTGGCAGTCTCTGTGCCCCAGACTCGAGAGGCTGGGAGCAGCTTTCCCAAACTGGCAGCTGTTGGGCCAAAAGGGAGTATCTTGTAAAGAGTGAAAACAAGGGAGTGGGCAAGAGCAGGTTTGTGCTCCTGGCTGCTCTCTGTGACACTCCCTCTCATTGTCTGCTCTAAACGTGCTATGAAAGCTCAGAATTGAGTCTTGTGATTAATATTGCAATCTGGTTTCTTTCAGGGAAGAAATCCTCCCCTGTGAGGGTGGGCAGGCCCTGGCACAGGTTGCCCAGAGAAGCTGTGGCTGCCCCTGGATCCCTGGAAGTGTCCAAGGCCAGGTTGGATGGGGCTTGGAGCACCCTGGGCTGGTGGAAGGTGTCCCTACCCATGGCAGTGGGGTGATAAGTTTTAAGGTTCCTCCCCACCCAAACCATTCTGGGATCCTGTGAATCGGAAAGAAAACTGTAACCACGATGCTGTAGCAGCTGGGGGCAGATCCTCAGATGTGCTGATGTGCAGCAGAGTCCTGCCTGAGGCCATTCCCCAGTCCTGCAGCCCAGTGCCTGGGCTGGCTGGGAGCTCCTGCCCTGACCTGCCCCCTTGCTCCGTGTGCTCCCGCCCTGTGTCCCACTGAACAGGAGTGACATTAAACCCTGCCGGAGCTAAATCAATACCACCTGTCACATGATGCCACTGTGACATTTCTGGCATGAGCGCTCCCTCTAATAGGAGCTGGAAGTGGGAAGCAGCAGCAGTTAGTGAATAATGGATCAGATACGCCTGATTTGTAACATTTACAGAGAGAGGGCGTGTCTCCCAGCGACAGAACAAACCGGTTATCAAACAGGAACTGGGAGTTCTGGGTCATCCAAAATGCAGCTCGGGAGATAAAGCAGCGAGGAGCACCAAGGGTTTGCAAATCCCCGCTGCCAGCGGGGCCATCAGTCCCTCCAGATTATACTCTAGACCAACAAAAAACATGTAAAGAAATACAGAAGCAGAGAAGGAGGGGGTGAGCTGTGGGTAGAAGTGGTGTAGGAGCCTGGTGTGCAGGCTCAGTGCTGTGAGTGGGTGACACGGCTGGGGCCGCTGCCTCGCACAGGGTGGCTGATAAAGAACAGGGTGCCTGGCAGCAGGTTGTGCAAACCACACGTGGTTGGCTGGCTGGCTCAGGGTAGGGCAGAGGCTGCAGGGAAGGATGGAGGATGAGGACAGTCTGTCTGTCTTGTCTCACATCTGGGCCCCCCTCACCACTGAACTGTCACGTGGTTCCTTTCGAGCTGAAGAGTTCGATGCTGAATTAGACCAAAATGTTCTAACAAGGAATGGAAAGTAAGTCCAATATTCCATCTGACTCCGTGACATCCAAAAATCAAACTGAATTAACCCAGAAACTGGGCAAAAACAACCCAAAAAAAAAGATAAAATAAGGCAGTGCTGCCATTGGCCACAGAGAGCTGTGATTTCCTTTGCATCCTCCATCTCCAGGGTCTTTGACCTCCATGTAGCAGAGAGATGCCCTCTGCCATTTTCACCTTGGCCCAAAGTTTTATTTGCTCCTGTAACAATAGAATTCTCCAGAAGGATCTGACAGTGTTTCCTGTTTCAATAGTAAAAAAGCTGGGACTTGTGTCCTTAGCACGTAAAGTGACCGGATCTCCATCCTCTGAGCCTTCTCCCATCGAGGAGAGAAAAGTCACTTATCGGATTTGGTGTGGACGGAAGGAAGGGTAAGAAAGGAACTTTGTCAATCCATGACGTGAAATATTTTATATTAAGAGATCTGGCAAATGCTTCTGTGTGACTCTAAACAGGATGAGATAATTTTCCAAGGTCAGCTCTCCTGTACTCTCAGCTTTAGGTTTAGTCACCGAGAAGTCAATTCTGTAACCTTTGCAGCGACATCCTGCCAGTGATGGGGAGACTTGGCTGTTGTTGGCTTCAACAGCAGCTCTGCTGCATCTTCAAAGGACAGGAGGCTGGACAACATGAGTTCTGCACGGTGAGAAACTTGTGAGGAGGAAAATATGTCTGGAAATCAATAAAAACAGAGCAACTCCAGCCATGGGGTGACTCTGCACCCAGGCAGTTGAAACCTGTTGTTAAGAGAAGGCCATTGCTGAAATGGGTGAAGCAGAAAGGGAGGATTCTGGCCCTCAGCTCGGGCTCCTGCTCTGTGGCTTTGGCTCCTGAACTGCTTTTCAGCTGTTTTGTTCTTTAAACAGAACTGGTACCAATGTAACTTCTTGGTGAGTCAGCTCCTCTAAAGCTCCTTTTTGGGCACAAAGTTTGTGTTCCTTGACAATTCCCCAAGAAACTTTATTTTGTGTGACTAAAACCACCCAACCTAAACCCACCCATGGGTGTTTGGTTCCAGTGCACAGAGAGAAAGATAAGTTCAGTTTTCAAGGTGTGAAGCTTTCAGCAAATGCTGGTTGGTGGTGGGGAAGCTGAGCCATGTCCTCTCTCCACGTGCACTTGTGTCACTACAAGGATGTCACTGCTGGAACAGCAAGCTGGTTTACAAAGTCATCTTCCCTTTTCATTCCTGCAAAGGGGGTTCCTGCTCCAGGGATGGGATTCCAAGGACTTCAGTTCCTGGCAGCGTTGACCTGGAGGGGCTGGGATCTGTCAGCAGATTGGTCCACTTGGGTTGGTTTGATGTGGAAGCATCTCTAGGGCAGAGCAGGAGGACTTTGGACAAGGGGGAATGGCTTCCCACTGCCAGAGGGAAGGTTTAGATGGGATATTGGGAAGAAACTCTTCCCTGCAAGGGTGGGCAGGCCCTGGCACAGGTTGCCCAGAGAAGCTGTGGCTGCCCCTGGATCTCTGGAAGTGTCCAAGGCCAGGTTGGACGGGGCTTGGAGCCACCTGGATTGGAAGGTGGAAGGTGTCTCTGCCTATGGCAGGGGGTGGGACTGGATGGGCTTTAAGGTTCCTTCCCACCCAAAGCATTCTGTGATTTAAATAAGGAATGGGACAAACCAAATAAATAAGGTTTTGTGGGTTCAGGTAGGTGCATACACTCTATTGCAAATCTCTTATATTTATTTTATTAGGAGAGTGTAGAACTGAACCCCCATGGGTTGTGTCACAGTTCACAGCAGACACTGATCACTGCTTATTTCTAAGCTATTCTAACTAAACCATCGAGGAGAGAAAGAAACGTGACTGTTGTCAATATTTAACATACCAAACTCCTGATTTTAAGTAGTTTCTTGAATCAGAAATGAGAGAAGAGCCTGCATTGCAGCTATTAGGGAAAAAAAAAAAAAAAAAGTAAGCAGGTGTTGGCTTCGTTTCTTTGCGCCCACATTGCTCCTGTTGGTTTATCTGATTGCAAACCAAGTGCACTGTAGCATGATGAATATGTAGCAGTGAGTGTAGGGGACAGATGCTGGAAAAAATGGCACCCCGATGTTCCTAATCAGTAATTAGAAACTAAAAATAGTGTTTTAAGAAAAGATAATAAATCTGTAGCCCTTAATCCTCCTGTGCCAATGTGTAAACCGATATCATTATTACATGAAAGGCAATAAGAACAGAAGTGAGTAAGCAGGAACAGATTGCTATTCGAGTCAGAGTATAAATTCCACATAGCTCGAGCTGTCTAGGTGATGTTTGGCTCTTTCTGTTTTATGCAAAGTCTACAGTCATAAAGCAGGTTAATTTGCAAGCAGAGAAGGCAATAGTTTTGTTGTTTATTTCCATTCCTTAACTGCCCTTACTTCCTGAAGTGTTCTGGCATGAGTGAAGTTCCCAGTCCCTCTGCACTTGGGAGCTCGAGGCAGCAGTGGGGATTTGGGAAAATGGGCAGAGATGGGGGAAATGCCTTCCCATGACACACCAAAGGGCTGAATCAACAGCTCCTGTGCTGTGCAGACACACATCTGCTGTGCTGATG